GCACACAATTCGCCTCTTCATCTCTGTCCCTGGACGTAAATAAACAAGTGTATACACATATTCATCGGCCACAAAGCCTCGAATGCGTTAATTTGTTCAGGAGCAATGGTTTTATATTAACAAACTCTGGACCGGTGCCAACATTCAGCGTTTTATCAGCAGCGCTGGGCTGCTTAAATCACTGCCGGAGAACTACCAGGTGGTTAATCTTCGATGTTCTGCGAGATGACCACAAGATGGCAGTTTTGAGTGGCAAAGCCCTCCGATGCAACGTAGCGAGTCCTCTCCATGGTGTCCGGTTTCCTCCAATGGAATTGGCCAAACACCTCGATGCAGTCTTGAGACTCAGTGAAGTCTTTCTGGTTAAACATCTGAGAATTTATGCTTGTTAAACGAAAACATTGACTCGCTCAGAGTGCCGATATTAAATCATTATAATTAATGTACAGCCATGTGTCAATCCACTGCGAGATGAAAGCTCTTCCACCACGTGTCGGTCATGGATGTTTGACCATACTTCACCACGCTGGCCAATGCAGGTTCAGATATCACTCGCCACGGATGTTAACCGTGACTGGGAATCGATGTCAGGACGTCAGGTAAATAGCGAAGAGCACTAACCACTGCGTCACCGCTCCACACAATATCAATAACCACAAAAACAAGAAGCACAAATATCATTACGCATATTTTATCGGCGGTAGTTACCATGCACATGGCCTGCAATTAGCACTGTGGAGGCGATGGTTGGTGATCACACACATGATGCGCAACTCCCTGTGGGCTTCGAGGTAGTGCCATGCCCTGGCTCGCCAGGACAATGCGGTACAGCAGGGTGTGTACTCCATCGGTTGCCTCTGTATGGGGTGAAGTGTTGCCGCCTTGCACGCGTGTGTTTTCTCTGGGTACTCCGGTTTCCTTCCAGGTATAAACAAGAACTAAATGGCCGATAACAACTTCATATATAGAAAGGATCGCAGAGCTTGGGGAGAATTTGTCGCCAGGTCACAGCGTGGCTGCTGCAATCCCGCTCGTCTGCGTGTCCTCCACGCGCCTCTTCGTAGCCCCCTTTTTCTCCGAGAGTGAGCGAATACTGAGCGCGTTACAAGTTTACATCATTATGATTATTGGAGGCCTTGGATAAATGTAAAGTGTGTTGTGTTTTCAAAGTGCATTTTATTTCACTGACGCCCTCCTCGTTATTTCCCCTCGCGGCGCGGGTGACGGATTGAGTTATGAATCTGTTCAGAGCAGCCACGATGCCCTCCCTTATGCATTTCTGCTAATATATCGTGAGATGTGTGCGTGTTGAACCTGACATTTCAACGATTTTCTAATACGGCTGTTTGTTTCTGAATAAAGTCAAGGTGCAAAATGAATTCCTGAATCTGGACGGGACGTAGTGGAGGCGGGAGATAGAGTCGGTTTCAGTTAATATAACAAATAATAATCAGAAGCTATGATCGATCCACTGCTGGATTAAGGACTCGGATAATAGTTTGGCATAATGGAAAAGCAATAATGCCACGCTTTACTCGGCAGGTCAAATGAAAATAATTACAATAGTCAAAATAAATTCGCTTTGCTTACTCATGAAAATCAAGAATATTTTTCAGCAGGGTCCTGCTTTTAAATGTTTGGACAATTCCAGTAATGAGTTTGGCTTCGTGTTGGGAGGACATCCGAGAATCCTGGGAAACCCCAGGACGCAAATGAGGGGGTGACGCTCCAAGTTCAACCCAGATGGATTGGCTACGAACTGTGTGAAAGAAGTTCAACATACGTACATACAATCAATCTGCTGGAGTCATCTCATCCCTGCCTCGTGGCCCAAGCCTACAACAACTGGCATATCCAGGGGGTTTCATATTTGAGTACTAACCAGGCTCACAATGTAGTACTCGTTTTATCGACGATGAAGAGATGATCGCCGGGTTAGTGGATTAGTTGAAAATGGAGTCTGGGTGAGACGCCCCACAATATAGGCAGGAGGTTCGAATGCCGATGGAGAGTATATATCACAGTGCGTACATGAGAACGTTTTAAATCGGTGAACGTCCTTTGATGTATGGAGCATAAAGATTGACAAAGAAAATGGAACAAAAGATGAGAAGAGTGCCAAGACGCAATCTTGTAATGACGCTGAGAGAAGAGAAGAGGAGCATGTAGAGGAGAGAACACACGCAGGCTTGAGACAACATGGGGACTGCCGAGACGACGGATTCCTCGGCTTGGGCTAGAATGGTGATGGCCATTGGCTGAGGCTGATGACATAGTGACAGCCAAGAGGACGTCCACCTAGAAGAGATGGAGCGATGACATCCGCTCGTGTGACGAAGATAAATTCTAACGAAGATATTTCCATTTTTGCAATTGAGATGGCTTGGGGGAGGTCTTCATGCATCAGTGGATAGATCATGGCTGATGATCATAGCTCCACTCAGCTCTTATCGGCAACCGAGAGCTGAGTGGCGAATTCAAACATTTCCGCGAAAGCCCAACACTGTCGCCCGCTCGAGCTCTGTGATCAAGACGAGTCAAGTCTCGAGCGCCCCAGGCTCAGTGCCGAGCTCTGCCTTGCTCCACTTGGAAGCGACGACAGCGGCGTCTCAACGCATTTTACATCTACCCATGCTGCCTGTTCAGTGGCTGATGGAGCGGTGGCGCAGTGGTTAGCGCGCCGCACGACAGGAACCGCTCGCGACCCGAGAACGATTTCCCAGGCCGCGGCTAACATCAGTGGCACGTTATATCACAGCCGGTCTTCTTCACCAGCCGGAATTGACCAGCTTAGTGAAGCATGGCATTTAAAAAAATCATGGACAACATACCGCGAGACCTTCATCCATTGGTGGATTGTGGATGGCAGCAATGTATCTTTATTTATTTAATTTATGCTCAGCGCAGGTTTCACATCTCCTCTTTCTTCCGCTCCACTCTCTCACCACCACCACCACGGCGCTCGAACCACCCGCTGACGCTGCCGCAGCAGACGACGCCGCGGCTTCACTCGACGGGCAGCCCAGGAGGTGCTCGACCCGGGGGGGCGGGGCGGGGGGGTAATTGAGTTTCCGTGTGCCGGGGTTTTCCTGCGTCGTGTTAAGCGAATGCACGCGTGCACACACAACATGTACAGATCTCCCGTATAACATTTAACAGGGTATTGGGGCAAGTGCTGTAAGCGAGCACATAATGAAGGCCGCCATGGCACACGAAGGGTCGGGTGGGGGCAGCACACAACGCCCGTCTGCCTTTGCTTCCCGAGGACTGCTGTTTCCATGCCGCATCAGACGCTCATTGAGGGCTGAGTCGACCTAAGTGAGGCCAACGAATGGTCAAGATAATCGTCACTGGTATTGGGCGTGAAAGGGATATAAACTCGGGTGGCCGGGTTCAAAGTTCAGCGCGCTAACCACTTCGCTACCGCACCCCCAATACACGCGCACAAAGACACGCACACACGACCCCCTGGAGCTGTTGCAGGCTGTTGCTGCACGGAGAGGTCGACTGCAGAGTTAATATGTTCCTCGGAATTAGAAAAAAAATTAAAAAAATGTAAAACCTTTGCTAAAATGACACGTGTGATTACTCCCCCCTCCTGCAAGGATTGGAGCCCCCGACAGGCTCAGCAAACATTTCCTCTGCTTAAGAAAACACAGACATGCTCGTCTGTGTGCGTGTCTGTGTAACTGTGCGTCGGTGTGCGAGTCCGTATTGGGGAGCGGTCGCGAAGTGGTTCGCGAGCTGCGCTACGTACCCGGCCATCCGACACCAGTGACGATTATCTGTACCGGTCCTGGGCTTTCCCTAGATCGACTCGGCCTCAAATTAGTACCTCCTGCGGTGTATAAACATCGCCGCCCGGAGACAAAGGCGGCCGGGAGTCATGGCCACCCACCCCCTCGTGTGCCGTCCCGGCCTTCATAGGTGCTCGTTAGCAGCACTTGCACGAACGGTATGTTAAGGCTATACGGGGGATCTTTGTCTTGTGTGTAACTGCGTGAGTCTGTGGGGCAGCTGTAGCGTAGTGGTGAGCACACTGCGCTACGAACTCGGTGACCTGATTCCGTTTTTGAATCCACGGCCAACATCAGCTGTGAAAATCTAAATATTTCCTGGGCCTCCGCTCGGTCGACTTGGCCTGGTATCGGGTGCGTAATGTAACATATCAGCACTGGGAAGACAAAGGCGGCCGGGCATACTGGACACACCACTACTTCGTGCCCCAGTGCCGGGCCTTCTATTATCAAGTTCTAAAAGCACTTGCTTCAAAGATCACGTGTAGGCTAAATGGGAGATCTTTGCATTTGTGCGTCTGCGAACCACGGGAGGGGGAGGGAGTACCCGCGCCCACACAGGGGAGCATTGTTCACGTCTTCGCCTCAACTCCGAGAGAGGGGGGGCTCCACTTTGTCAACTCTGACCGCCCGTGCGCGGCATGCGGCTCCCAGAGACGGCGGTGTAACGAGCGAAGTGACTGCGCGCCGTGCTGCCACGGCTCGTTTTGACCCTCGCGTTCGTATTACTCTTGCTCAGTCCGCATGCATATATACAAGTAGTCGTTTAGTCCATTGCGTATGTGGTGGGTGTAATGGGAGGCGGCTGGGTGGGCGGGCTAGGCGAGTGGAGGACACGAGTATGGATGATGAGTTTGCTGACAGTGCAATGCTCTCGAGGCGCCGCGTCTCACCTGCAGAGGAGACGACTCCGCGGCGCAGCTTCACTCGCGACCTAGAACTACCTACACCACCATCAACACTGCCTTCGTCATTCTCGTCATCAGCAGCAGCAGCAGCAACACCACCGACATCACCACCACTACTATTTTCATTAGCAACACCACGACAATTACAATCGACAACACCGATGTCACTAACATCACCTTTAGGACGATCATCAGCAACAACAACGCCACCACCCATCATCACAATCAACATAATCATGGCAGGGAAGACACAATTGGAAACATGGACACTAAAGCGACTGCAATACTCCCAGTAAACTATGCGACCCCTAAGTGTTTATTCATCGAGGCGACCGTCACAAATCAACAAGTGTAAAGCAAAATCAACAGTAACAAAATGAAGAGGAACAACATCCATCGTGGTGAGCAGCTTGCTCGTCGCTCCCTTGCACGCCCCAGGGGCTCTGATTCTCCACAAGCCGCGCACGTGCATGGCGCCACGCAATGCGGAGTGACCGTAACAGGTCTGGGCACATCAGCAGCGTCTTATAGAACACGACAGGGGTTCGACGATAGCGAGGTAATTGTAAGTTACTCCAGATAAACATTCCCCACCAACGCTGCAGGCTCAGTTGGCATACGAGTCACTCTCTCCCTTGCGCGACTGTGACCACGACCACCAAACCACACACACCATGTCACTCCGCACTGCCTCAAATGTACACGCGCAGGCGTTAAGCGAGGAGGTGAGTGGGTGGCAGTGTCTGTAATCCACCAACTCTCAAAGCAATCGAATGGCTAACTCACTTACAACGGAATATCGATGAGTTGCTCTGCATTGGCCATCGGGAAGAAAACGTGGGCACAGAACCGATCGAGGGGAAGCTGAAATTCACGATACTGTACAAGTATTCGAAAAAATATTTTTTCAAATTAATCGTAATATTAACGTTACTATTTGTCAACTTAGGCCTACACACTATCTGGTATCTGAATGGTGCTCGAATAATAAAACGTAAATTGAGATTTGAAATTTGGACTTCAAGCTTTCGTGACTGCAGGAATTCATATTATTAGTTCTTTCGGTAAAGTCACGTAGATAATATACGTGAATATGAGATTTGAAAGTCTAAAATCCACAGCTATTACAATTCGGCTCTCAGAACACGTCAGACAACAATGGCGAACTCCACATTTTCTTTTGAACCCTTGACCTCACTGGAGATTGTAAATGTGGGGCTGAACCCGCATACGTGGAATAACCTTCATATCAACTCGGGGTTTCGGATACTTTAGTGTGACGTTAAGGGCAATTGCGAGCGTGAAGCAGAGATCACGTGGCCCACAGCTACACTGCACGCGATGAACAAACTCGGTCCACATTCCGGGTCACCCTCCTCGGTCACCCTCCTCCTCCATCGCAGCTCTGTGAATGCGAATTCGCGTGCGTACCGGCAGTGCGGCCAGTCGCTCTAACCGGACTGTTTCGTTTCATTCATACTGTGTTCAACCACGACACTGCAGGTCAACACGAAGACGAATATCTCACGAATAGCCCTCAACAGACTGTTGGGGAAAGTGCTGTTTGAAGGCCCGAACGGCACACGAGGGGGTGGGTAGCCAGCACCGCGATCGACCGCAACACCACCCACTCACCCACCCACTCACCCACCAACTCACCCACCAACTCACCCACCACACTGCAGGTCGCCTCACTTTTCAGCTTCTTCACTCGCTCTGCTCCACTCTGGAATTCCCTGCCGTCGTCTAAATTCCCAAGCCTTGACAATAATAACCTTTCTCAAACGTGCCACACTCTTATCAATGACGACTGATAAGAGTGCTGTTTGTTGCTGGCTACTTGACGTTTTGGGTATTCGCTGAGTACCTGAGTTTAAAAAGAAAAGTCGAGCATCTGCAATGGGCCTCTGGGTCGGAATGGACACTTCAATTAGTCATTCAACCAACAGGTTTTAAAACGTCAGGGTCTAATTAGCAGTCGTTTCCCCTCCCTTTTCTCGATGGGTTTTGTGCCTACCTAAGCCGAGAGTGACCGTGGGAAATATCAATCCAATGATGACAACAATCTCCTTAATTATGGAGCTTTCGTGACTGCAGGAATTATTCTTTGGTTCTTTCGGTTAAGTCACATCTAAAGATAAAATAATATTATTTTATCTTTAGACGTGACTTAACCGAAAGAACCAAAGAACAATCTCCTTGTTACGGTGAACATCTCACGCGGTGATGAACGGGCTTGTGTCACACCGGTTGTTGTCACGAATACCAATGTTAGAGTGCGTTTAATTAGACCAATTAAATTCATGGACTTTGCTGATCAACTGCTGATTGAGAATGCCTCTCTACGTTCGTGGAAATCTGGTCCAGCAGGAGACGGAGGCATTGTTTTCCTCTCCAAGCCAGGAACGCGATAAGCCTTGCTGAGCAGGGGGTTGCATATCACGAGTTGACACGCATGCGTCTGTCGGAACGTTTACAACGTGCATCTGCCTGTCTCTCGTGGTTCTTACCTGGAGTGCACGCACACCCTGGGGGTGTGGAATGCCCTTTCGGTGGGTGTGAGACGTGTCAGAATTGTTTAGAAGGTAAATCATCGAAACACAAATTAAACACGGGCATGTAAAGTAACAACTTCCTTTGTTTTATAAAAAAAAACTAAGTATGTATTTATTAACATTATATTTTTTTACGATTGAGAACCAAAGGCTGCAGTGAAAGTTAAGAACCGCTGCTCGAGTGAGAACACCTGTGCCGTAATCATACAGACCTTTCAATTTCGTGATGGGGCGGTCATTAACGTCATTATCACTTGAGTGTGACGTCTGCAAGGGTCATCCCGAGGATGAATTGACCCTCGCCATGACAATGTGGAATTTCCAACACTATCCTGGCGAATATATTGTGTTGTCCCATTGCTCAATTGATTCTGTAGAGACGTTGACCTTGGCTTTAGAATGAATTAACTGGCCAGGTGGCACAGAGGTAGAGCTATCGGCTTGCAATAGGAAGGTTGTGAGTTCACATCCTGATTGAGAGTCGATTCAAACGACCATCCCCCCCCCCGAGGTGGATAGTGATTTGTATGCGAATGAACTCGCCCCCGCCATAGAAATTTGGAATTTCACCCTCTGGCTTCGGGCTATAAACGGGAGATGAGCACCACCCCAACGTTATTATGAGCAGGAAATAACTTAAGACTGGTTGCTGGACTATTAGAGGTGGCTCAGTAACAACCAGCGACACTCAAGGTCTCTCTGCTCACGTTTATAAGCACCGGGTACGAAACCCCCTTGAGCTGGGCAAGCAGTGGCCCAGCTTCGCACCAAATCACCCTGAATGCGCGCGATCACATTGGATATGAGATGCTAATCGCTATCGGCCAGTACTCGGACTGGTAATGATCAGGGCTAGTCTAACAACATGAGCACATCTCATAACGCACGCCACTGAGAAACCCGTCCTCTTGTGGACACGTGCACACGGTTCCAACAAGGGAACGTGATCTCAGAACGTCCACCACTCGCAATGGCAAGTTGTGAACTTTGTGATGAGATTTCAGCTCAGGTGTAAGAGGTAGACTTAGAACACAGGACAAGTGTTGGACAACCTTCCGAGTCGTCCGACTTTAGCTACGACGTGCCGATGCGGATTTCTCCATTGCTAAGGATGGGCGATGCGTTTCGGCCCCTGATGTGGAACTGGCTCAGAATGCAGGTGAATGGGAGTGCCAGGGCTGATAGAGAGAGGTCCGTGGTCCCACACAGAGAACGGCGAGTGGCTTCACGCAGCCGTGGTCCTGCTGCAGGGGTCGCCCTCAAGGGCCGTACACGCGGCCATCGTCACCACCATCACCGTGGGTGCCCCATAGCCCTGCCTGGGAGAACTCTCGCTCCCCAAGCCACTCGCAGCTTACACCGTGACTTCATCGTCACGAGAATAGTAATTTCCCCACATTATTCTTCAGCCGTGGACGTAAAAACTTAACACATTCGTCACCTTACCAGGATAATATATGCATAAAATAGGCAACGTTTTGGGCCAAAGCCCTTCTTAATATGCAATGCATTAGTGTCATTGCCAAAAATGTCGCCTATTGTATATTAATTTCCATTCAAGGCGAGTATTATTGGTGAATGTGTTGAGTTGTTGCTGTCTGTGCTTGTGCACCGCTGAATCCCTTGGGCTGGAGAGACACGGAGACGACGCTGCGCGCCAGGTCCGGTAAGCGCAATCACTTTGCTACAATCACTTTGCTACAATCACTTTGCTACAATCACTTTGCTGCAATCACTTTGCTACAGGTTCGACCCAAACGATTTTGGAGATCTCCGTGTTTTAGAAAACGCGTTAAACGAGCTCATCTCAGAGACCTGGAGAAAATAACACGACAGTTAATCTCATATTACATTTAGTTCATTGTTAAAACAATAACGGAATTTTAGTTACCTGTCCTCCCCTGTGTTTTAACACCATTATTAGTAAGCACCATTGTAAAAATCTTGTTCACTCTATTAGCCTCAGTGTGACGGGAGCATATCGTATCATAATTTCTGGAGTTGGCCAACCCTAAAACATCGAGGACTACACAAGTTGGTCGGCGCAGCTTCTGGCTGCCGCCTTGCGGTGTCGTCTGCGGTTCCCTGGGCCTCTCTGAATCTCTCAGGCGGGTGGGGTAAACGAGAAGTGTTCTCCTTACACATGCCACGTGATTAGTCAAGTTGTTATTTGCAAACATTGGAAATAATGGCTTCGATTTGCATTGTAAGCAAATCTATTGTAATTGGTGAACGGGAAGGTGGTGGCGCCCTCTATCTCGTGTTTGGAGATTAATTAGTCCCAATTTCGGAGCGCGTTACTTCACTCCAATGAAGAACTCGTGCCCTCGTGAACATCAACAACACGAGGTGACACCCCGACACAGTCCGGATAAACAGCACAGCCGCTCTCAGGCGGAGGCAAAGCTGAAGTTTCCTCTGCAGACTAAAAACACCCGAAAAGTAAAATTAAAAACTGAGAGCGATTCCGCAGACTCGTCACGTCGGCTACGGCAGAAGGACAGCGAATCTCACCGAGGGTGATTCCGAACAGCACCTGCAGGCAGCCGGACATCGAGCGCTCTGCACAAGCGGTGGGCGCACCCATTGGACAGGGAGGGGTCAAGGAACGGAGAAGAGGGAATTCTATCCGGACTTTGGGGGAGTTGACAGCACGGGTGTCTGGGGGAAGACAACTCAAGGCCTTCTGGACAGCAGAGGAGAATGAGCGACCTCCCACTGGGCGAATCAAGACAAGACAGCCGTGATGGCTGGAGCGGAGAGAGTGTAGAAGGGAGTAGAGTGAGACTAGAGGATGCAGGTGGAAGTGTAGAGGGGAGTAGAGTGAGACTAGAGGGTGCAGGTGGAAGTGTAGGGGCGGTTGAAGGGGAGAGGTAGGAGCAACTCTCAGCAACTGAAGGCGCTGTGCGGTGCAAGACGACTCATCACAGTGCAGCTAATGAACTCCCGTGTCTGCCATAACCGAGATCACGCGGTCGCGGGCGCTATCGTGGCGAGCGGCGGAAACGAGCCATCCACCGAGTCATCCCGGGAGACGGCACCTGCTCCTCCTCATCCAGCCCCGCTGCTCCGTCCGCCGCGTCCCCGTAGGCGCCCTCGTGGTGGCCGTAGGGCCCCGCGTAGTCCCCGTAGCGCCCCTCCTCCTCCTCCGCGTCCTCCTCGCCGCCCTCGTCTCCGCCCTCCTCGCCGGGCGAGTCGCCCCGTCTCGGCGGCGGCGCCGCGGGCTGCTGGCGGCCTCCTCTTCCTCCTCCCTCGGAGTTGTGGTCACCTTGTTGTTGTTGTCGTGGTGGTTGTTGCGTGTGTGTTTATATTCGTGTGTTTATGTTCGTGTGTGCGTTTCGCGGTTGTTTGTTGTTTCGCAAACAACGATGCAATGCATCGGCCGTTCCCCCACCACCAGAATAGGAGAACGCGTGTTAGACCTGTCAGAAGTCTGTTTTAATATCACACTTTATGTACAATCAGAAAACAAAACGTATCAAAAATCATTCACCACAGAACCAAATAAGGCCACGGTGATTGCAACACCTGTTCCACAGGTGCTGTTGAGGCGGTGTGCGGGTTGTCCCGTCAATGTTCTGACATGCGGCGTGTGACATCCTCAGCGTCACGTGTGGTGTGCGTTCGATGTTCCAGGGAGACAGGGAACGGTATGTGGCAGGCTGCTCCCGAACAACGACTATGACGAAGGCTAATCAGCAAAGGGTAAACACCCCAGTGGAGCGTGGCACGCCACTGACAGCGCCCAGCTGTGTCTACACTGCCCCCCGTGTGCAGACGTCGCGATTAGCGCGTGGTGCTGGCCAACAACCCCCTCGTGTGCCGTGCCGGCCTGCAAAGGTGCTGCTCGCGAACAGCACTTGCTCCTACAGTCTGTTACGGCTATCGGGTGATCTTTGTGCGCGTGTCTATGTGTGTGTCGGTGTGCGTGTGAATGCAACGTTTCAAAACAAGGCATAATTCTCGCGTAAGATGAGTGGATGAAAGAGAAGCGAGAGGTCGTGTCGAGTGCGGGCAGTGGTGGTCCAAGTCGGGGGTCAATCGCCCCACCCCCGCCCTTTGAGATCTGTAATATCGGTATTATATTTGATATTTACTGTAGAAACCGCATATCATGTTTTTATTTCATTAATGTAGTGGGCCCGATGAAAAATCTTTAACTTCCAAGACCGCCCCCACTCCCCCATCAAGTGGGAGGAGCTGCCGGGTGGTGATGCGATGGTGAGGAGGGTGAGCGCACAGACGCTGCTCACCGCTCTCCGCCCGGCCCCTGCGGCGCGCGGTGTCGGTCGACGCCGCAGCGACGGCGCGCAGTCGGCAACTGGCGGCAGCTCTGCGCCTTAGGCATCACAACAGCTCAGCCCCATGCTGACCCTTCGTTCTCTGTGTTGTAGAATGTGTCTGTCGCGGTGTGTATGACCCCTGGACGTGTGCATGCGTGCGCGTGCGTTCGTGCTTCGGGCGGGATGGCAGGCGCGTCATCCATCATAGTGCCGATCCCCACCATCATAATCCCCCTCCTCCGCCTCCCCAAGCCTCTCCACCCCAGTGTGGACTACGCGTTGAGTCGGCCACACGTGAACGCAAACGCCGGCGACCACCGACAAAGAGGAGAGAGAGAGAGAATGAGAGACACACACACACAAGGGCAGAGACACACACAAGGGCAGAGACACACATCGTCACCGTCACCACCGCGACGTGGGGGAGGCGGCACGCCACACCCTGGCACCCACCACGGCCCACCTCTCCGCGCTCACTGAATTTCTCAGTTTCAATACAAACCAGGTTGTTACACACTACCTGAGCCTGATGATTGGTAAACATGTCCCATGTCATATAGAGAGCAGCGATTTGAATCACTGTCAAAGATCCCCCATATTGCCTTGAGCAGACTGTAGGGGCAAGTTCTGTTAGTGAGTAGAACCTATGAAGGTGGACACGGAACATTATGGGGGTGGGTGGCCAACACCATTCCCGACTGCCTTTGTCTCCTTAGTGGCGATGGTTTACACACCGCACAGGTATTTATTTGAGGCTGGGTCGACCGAGGTGAGGCCCAGAACCGGTTCATATAATCGTCACTGGTGTTGGCCGCAATGGGGAATCGAATTCGGGTCGCCGGGTTTGTAGCACAGCGGGCTGACCACGACCCTACCGCTCCCCGCCCATGTATATGCACACACTCACGCATAGATTATATTTGTGAATGCATATATACATATAATGAGCCTGTAGAAATTCTTTGAGAATGCAGTCTTTTAAGTCTGTGATATGCTCACTCTGGTAAGTGCACATTTGGGGTATTAACTCCCGAGGTGCACGCACGCCCTGAACGAACGGCAGAGTGAGCGGTAGCCAAAGGAGACGTCGACGAGGAGGAGACCGAGAGGACGGATCAACTCGCGTGCGGCAGCGGCAAGGCGGATTGTTGCATGGCGGAACCGCGATGGACTGCAAAGGTTCGGGGAAGCCTTCATCCAGCAGTGGACAAACCAAGTTGTTTTTATTATGCACCTATACTAGGCACATCATCATCAGCCATGATCATTCCACTGCTGGATGAAGGCCTCTCCAAGCCGCACTTGCGTACGAATGGATTTCATCGCTCCATCTCCTCGGCGGTCGACGCCTTGAGGCGCGTTCCATTCCTCGGCTGCCACTCCGTTATGCTTGACCCTCGAATCGGTCCCCACGAGCACACTAGTGTTGACGGTCACCAACGGATCGCTAGACGCCCACCACACTGGGTGTGAAACGTTAGACGCCTATCCTCAAAACACTTTCACTGGCCCTTCTACCTAAAAAAGACGTGAACACAGTGCAAGCAGAAACTCAAACGCACACGTTGCTAACATTTGCATACGCATGCATTATGTATGCACACAACTGTCGGTTAACTTTAAATAACAACGCGTTGCTTCATTGCCACAGAGTCCCGGCAAAGGATCCACTGCTGCAGGCCCCCACCAGGGTGGGACGGGAACCGAGGGTTTTAGCGCCGAACAATTACTTGATGGAACGTTACAGCCAATGGGTTAAATTTTAATTTACTGACCCTATTATCCTAACTGATCTTACGTGAAACGGAAACAATAAAATAACAAAATAAATTAGCAAACAAAACGTCTCCTTCACGTAAAAATATGGCCTTCTGGGAGTGTGTCAATTCAGCAACGTTGCTTCCAGAGAAGCAAACCGAAGTTTATTAAATATCCATAAAAATAGCAGCCATCTGGAGCGTGGATGATTGGTCCTTTCCTCTCGGTGACTGGAAAGATTATTTTTGTGTTATTTTTCTGTAACCTTAGTTTGTGTACAAGTTCGCTGAAAGAAGAACTTGACGTCACAAACGGACCTACAAACACACAGAGCAGACTCCCAATTCACCAGGGTATTGGGTGGGGGAGGGCGGGGGGGCTGGGAGGGGGGCATGGCCAGAAAGAAACAGAAATAAGTCGTTGTCAAGAGTAAACTCAGCTCAACTCGGAGGAGGTTTTCGCAGCCAATATGATGATAGATAGGTTAATTTAGGGTGAGGCTACGCGATTATCTGGCCAAATATATGGTGTAAAGCCCTCCTCCACCAAACACAGCCAAGTAAATCGAATTTGTCACGTGGTGTGCAAGCATTTAAAGTTCCAATCAATATGTTGCTTCAGCTGACCAGTTAGTTGAAAATCAATGCACACAGCCAAAATTTGAGCGATGAAAATTGCTCTCAACTCACTGGTGAGTGAGCTGCAACAATGAGAATTGGCACGTAGTTCAACGCTTGTACACGCAACACTTTGATTGTTTGGCTGTGTTAGGGGGTGGAGGGTCTTACGAAATACATTTTGCAAGATCATTACGTGGCCTAATCCAAAACACAATTGTGAGTCTTGAGTGAATGAGACTATCAATTATAATTCTTGTCGGTACAATCGGTGTGCAGATGTAGAAGGCGACGCGTCCGCGGTCACGTGGGTGCCAAGTCTGCGACCCTCGACGAGTGAGGAGCAGCCAAACGTAAAGCGAATAAAAGGCGCGACAGAGCGGAGAGTCCGCCTACAGCTGATGGAGTTAATAGCGCACACGCACACACGCGGAGGAAACCTCAGGTTACCTTGCCAAGACGTTTCGTGGATTTAAACGCCTCGAGGCGTCGCGAACGGTCGCATGCGAAAGAGGAGCGCGGCGGTGATGGCGAGACAAGGATTCACGCTGTCAGTGAGATCCATCGTTTAATTTCACAGGCAGGTTTAATGCATTCAACACACACGAGGCACAAGGAGGTAGGCCTGCACAATGCACCTTCAACACACGGCTCTCCACAGAAGTGTAATTGTTATTGGTGTGTCGGTATTAATTGTAGTCGCTCATCGGACAGGGATACACGGGGTGTTAGGGGCACGTGCGGCGCCAGGTTAGTGTGTCGCTGTGCCGCGATAGCGCATGCAAAGCCACCCAGAAATCACGAGATTCGAGGTCACCTGGGTTCACGCCCGAGTCAAATCGGGGCCATTGACAATGCGAACAGGCGTTTACGTGACATGACCGCCACGCGGTAAACTTGGCCGGGCAGCGATTCGCATGTTCACAGAACGACGCTTCGCTTGGGCAGTGCCGCAGATTGGCCAACGTCACCGTCCGGATCTCAACATCGTCGTCCTAACCCAGGGCTCCATTTCTCAATCGGTGCATTCTGGGTCGCTGCTACACTGCAGTAGGCAGTCACGTGATCAGAGGCCACGGCCAGAGCAAGAGATATATTTGGATGGGATGTGCAGGGCGCGTGAACAGTTTCATGGTAATTGACCCAGACAGACCCGGGTGAACCCGAGTCTTGACCCTAACACCACACAGGAGATGTCGTTTTGCAGGTAATCGTCTGTACTTTTAGAAGGAATAAGTGAAAGGTCTAACGAATGAAATGGAAAGCACCATCGCCACCCTCCCCACGCGGATGGGAAAGCCGAGTTCGTCCCGAGTTCGTTCCGGGTACGCCCGACACTGCCGCGGTATTTTACGAGCGCTTCTCCCTCACTAAGGAAGGCGGACAAATGATTCAAATCTGCATTAAAGAATTCCTCATTGGTTTACATCCTTCACCACATACAAATAACTTCAGAGTGTCTGAAATGTACGTCCAAATCTATGGAACTGCCACTGGACGGCTAAGATTTCATCGTAAAGTTGGGCATTGCCAATAGGCGACCGACCACATGTGCTCCAATTGCAGCACTGCAGTGGAAACGGTGATGGACGGCAAGTCTGTTGCCTGTGGTTGTGCACGACTGCTTGGTGCAGTGCAGTCAAATTTAAATTATTCAATATATTAAGTTTGCTTTAAATATCTACAATCATGGCTTTTGGAATAAAAACTCAAATTCCAGATCGTAATTGAACGGAGACTTTGATTTATCGATGGGTTTGGGGAATTTTCGTTATTTGTTGTTGTTGCAATATTTGCAAGTGTTTGATCCAGACAGCCGTGTCACAGCCAGCCCGGTCATCGCCTACCCCCGCTTTCGTAGAATCGATCGCTGGAGCTGCAGCGTGACCAAGGCGTTCCCCTCGTGAAGAAACTTGTCGATATCAAATCCCTGACACCAACATTGAAGACCATCTCCACCAGCCTACCGCATGGAACGCATTATCCAGCACGGCCCATCTCTGGCTCTACCATCAGCCAGCTCCCATCTCTTGGTGTCCCACCAACCTCGTCTGACTGATGCTTGTATCAAATCATCTCTGGAATTGTAAAAATGTCTTCCTTTCCAACTTTGCCTATGCCCATCTTTGTTTTATGTCAGGTCTCTAATAATGTTTTTTCTTCTAACGAATTGGCAGCATTTCTGAGATGGCAAATGTTTGAATTCCTATGATAAGTATTTGAGAGCAGTGTGACGATTGTTATGGTGTATGATGTGTACGCTTACTGCAAGGTGCCTTGGAGTAGTTATATAAATGTGAGTATTGATCATTCTATCATTATTATTGTCATGCCAAATGCCGCACACAGAACGACTGCGCAGGTGGAAGCTCCTCAGAGTGAGAACAGCGACGGCAGCGCTGAAGCCACACGAAGCTCGCGGCTATCTTCGCTATGTACGGGCACGTGTGCGCACACACGTGCCCGTACGGTCACCATTCTCCTCTCAAGCTGCAGGCGCATGGCTGGTTTTAACCGAAGTTAGGGTGGAATGACTGAATAAGCGACGGCTCTGAGAGGCCTTCGTCTAACAGTGGATAGATAATGGCTGCAGATAACGATGATGGCGATGAGGTGGGAATGGAAGAAATCTGCCGTGCACAGCCATCGATGTGTCCCTCGGCTAACCGGCGAGAAATCGTGGCACACCCAAGGAGGCGACCGTGCCGATGCCCAGAGGCAGCAGGGGGCGTGCGAGAGGAAGAGAGGAGAGCAGCATTATGGGGATGCCTCGTAAAGCCGGTGGGGGGCGATGGGGGGCAACATGTGAGTGCCCCCCCACTCCGTGCGCAAGCTGAAAGCGAGCATGCATCACCGCGCTGGTCCAGCGCGACACTGGGGTTTGCAGAGACGCGGTTCCTCCTCCTCCTCTCAGCAATGCTCCGCTCGGGGTCAGACATGTGATCACAAGCTCATATCACTCTGGGTGACTGACACCAGAATAAAGACCGAGATCGGTTGAAGAAGGGATCATGTTGCTGCAGAATCCCCAAGGTCACGCAGGGCGTCACCGTCCAGTGGGACGTCAAGAGCCGTCCTTCACCGATACGAGTGAACCGCGTTCTGACTGTGGCTCAGAATGGCATCGGTGGCGTCATTTAGCCATCGGTAATGTTCATCGTATAAAAACGCCTTTGGCAATAAAAACATTCTTCTGAGTCCATTGCTTACAAGAGTGTGAGTGTCACGAAAAATATAACACAGAGTGGGTTTCCACAGGCAACAGTAAGATCCGTAATTGATTTTTGTGTCAGGCCACAAAATTATTTGGTCAAATCTATGTCGTGAAGGCCCCTCTACCAACACACAACATGGCCACACAAGTCTGATTTTCACGCACAAGCATTTACGTGGCAATTCTGATTGTTTCAGCTCACTCTCCGGTGAGTTGAAGAGCAATTCTCACAGCCAAATATGGCGTTAAGATCAATAACGTTTACTTTGAAACTGCATCAAGGTACAGGCAGTCAGAATAAAAATTCAGCAAGTGACAAATGTATTTATTTGGCTGTGTCATGTGGTGGAGTGTCTAAACGACACATATATGGCCAGACCCTTAGATGGCTTGACCAAAACATCAATCGTAATAACAATGTCAACTTAAAATGCGCACAGTAGTTGCCTGCTCTGCGAGAAGATGGATGACGACTCGGAGGCGTGAGGAGCCGCCGCAGACGATTGGGGAGGCAGCCAGGGAGTAATCCAGCACCACATTCCCACCAAGCTCTGCGGCCGTCTATATATCGACGGTGTTATCAGCCTTTTAATGAGTGTTTACACGTGGGAAGAACCCAGAGCACCTGGAGAAAGCCCACGTGTGCGAGGGGGCAACACTCTATCCTGTACAAATGGAATAGATGGACTTTAGTCTACACTTAGCTGTACAGCCAGGAAGTGAACCAGGGTATGGCACCTGGACACCCACCAACCCTGGCTGCTGCCTCCGCAATGCGGGATGAGAGGCTGCGTGTTGCAGCTGTATGAATATATTACGAGAGGATGTTTTTTCTCAAAGAGAGGCAATGGACGAACGGGACGGGCAACTATTAAGAAGAGGGCCAACGAGCAGACAAGAGGGGCAGACAAGGGGGGCAGCAAGAAGAGGGGCAACGGTCGAATGGGAGAGGGGACGAGTGTTCGATATCGTGACGGGCGAGTAAATAAAAACATAAAAGCAAAATGTGAGAATATCAAATGACTGGCCACAAAAACGAAACCTCGGCATCAAACAAACGAAGGAGGATGAGGAGAGGGCCCGCGTTTAAACGGCAGGCCGAGAACGGCAGTGCCGGTACTGCCGGAGGCGGTGACGCGTGCCCGCGTCAGTAGTTACCTCCGATGTTGTAGCCGCCGCACATCGACGCGTCGCAGTAGCCGTTGGGGCCCGGCGAGCCCCGTAGCCCAGGCGAACCGAAGGAGCCTGGAGGCCCCGGGGGCCCTCGCATTCCCTCAGGGCCCGGAGAACCCTGCCGACCCTCTCCAGGGGAGCCTGAAGACAGAGAGGAGATCGGTCGCCATAATTATAGTTCGGACAAATTTAGCCTTGCTTAATGCAACCCCTAACTAGTCTGCGTTTCTAGCACTGGTCTCTCACCAAACCTGCGCAGTGTCCTGCACCAGCGCACAGCACCACGCCGGTGCCAGATCTCGGGGAAAATAGATTCCGGGCACCTGGAGACAGATGCCGGATTGGCGGACTCTGCAGGTCAAACGTGGGACAGGTGTCGACACAAGCGGGCCCTTGGCAAGCGCTCCGATTGCTCCTCTCTCAATCCCCCCACTCGGCTGCCTTCCACACAACCGCATGTGCGAAGGTGGAGCGGTGGTGCAGCGGTTAGTGAACTGTGTTATATACCAGGCAACACGCAGTCTGATTCACTGCCGAGGCTAACGTGAGTGGTGAGTGACATCTGAACTGGTCCTGGGCTCCACCCATCCCTCCCCATCCCTTTGGTAATCCGCACTGGCCAACGAGGTGAAGTATGGTCAAACAACCTCCACGACCGGCATGGCATAGGAAGACCTTCATCCAGCAGTGGATTGGCAAAGCGTTGTAAATATGTATTTATAATTTTACCTAGAAGTGTGGTTCAGCGTACGGTATCATGCACGAGGGATCTCTTTGTAGCGTGAGCCCCATGTGGGACCGCAAACCCAATGACCCTTTGTTGCCAGTACCCGCACAATGAGGCACTCGCTCAAGAATGTTGTCTTTACGACCAGGGTGAAATGCTTTATTGTGTAAAAGCTGCTCGTCTGTCACTACATTAATACCACGGCAGTAGCAATCGACATCTGGGGGAGTAACTCACAGGGCCGGGTCTGTTTTGTTGCTCACATGAAGTAACGTTTCACAGTCTCCAGAGCCACGAGCGCTGTGCTCGCATTTCCCAGGAGCAAACCATAGACCAGTTTCACTTTCTCTGAGTCTCATCAGCAGGGTATGTGACTCATGAAACAAACAATAGGTGTCAAAAATGACGTCGTGCGTCTCTCTGTTTATCCGGGAGAGTCTCGCCGAGTGTCGAGACTATTCTTCCGGGTCCCACTACTTTGGGATGTCTGGCCAATTACTTGTGGGAGGAAACTGGAGTAACCGGAAAACCCACCACACACACGGGGGGATAGCACGCAAACCTCCGCACAGATAGACTTAAGGATCCACTTCTGTCTCCTGGCCACCTCGCATCCAAATCGACCAAGGAGTGTTTTTGACACTGCACGAGTGCGCTACGTTATGGGCAATATCTCTCCACAGCCAGGACCTATCCACTGCTGGATGATGACAATCGCATTTCCTCCCAGTCTTGCGTTACAGCAATCACCTGGCTCCGGCAACCCAGAGCTGGCTGGCGTGGTGCTGGTGACACTGCCCTCTCGTGCACTGTTCCGGCCTTAATAGGTGCTCTCTAAAAGCACTTGCCCAATGCGTGCACGGCTGTAAGAGAAGCTTTGTTTTTAGCCGTGCGGACAGACCACACTTTATTTTCCCGTGACTCACTGAACACGACAAATGATAAATATTCGTTTAAAAACACGACCATTCGCTTCCAATTCCCCAGCCAAATGGCAGAGAACCATTTGCATTCGAATCAGTGCCTGCACAGAATATCCATTAGCATAAAAATGTACGAATATGGAAAATGAAAAAATGGAAAAAAAATCAAGCGGCAAGGGTTGCGTGTTTTTCTTCTTTTTCTTCTTCTCTTCTGTGTGGAAAATAGTTGGCAGCTCTGAAGGAACTCAAGAAGCCCGCCATGGAGGAAGGCATGTGTTCTATATTTTCTCCCTCTGGGCACGAGTCCAAGTGCGCGCTCCGGTGCGAGAGTGGAGGGCGCAGCGGAGAAGCGGAGAAGCAGAATCGGAATGGGGGTCAGGGGCGGCGAGCGTCACTGGAAAATACTCACGCTCGGCCGGCCAGCCGAGACAGGCCTCTGCGGGCTGGGTGGGGGAGACTGTCGGGGCAGGAGCCGTGGGGCGCGGAGAAAGGGGGGCTTGGGGAAGAGTCGGCAAGGAGGGGGGTGGAGAGCCGGAGAGAGGAGCGAGCAACAGAGACGCAGGAGGTGTCGGAAAGAGATGGGTAGGGGACAGGGGAACGGATCAGAGAGGACGCCAGTGCAGACACAGTCACGGAGGTGAGTGAGAGAGGAAGTGTGGGAGGTGAGCAAAGGAACAAAAGAAAAGCCCGCGTTGACACGCGAGGTAGACGCAGCGAGACAGATGCGGTGACGGGGACAGGCGCAGACACGCGCAGACACGCAGACGCACGGGGAGGAATGGGAGGCGCAGTGAGACCAGGAGAGAGGCTTGCAGGCTGCGCGTGTGTGCGTGCGCGCATACGGAGAGGCAGGGTGCGACGATAGAGAGGGGGAGGGGGGTGGGGGGCATTTACCTGGAGAACCTTGAGGGCCGGGCAGTCCTGAACTTCCAATGCCCGTGGATCCCCGCTCGCCCTTCTCTCCAGCGAGGCCTGAGGGACGCACACAGTCCACGCCATGGTCACCCCACGTCCCCCAAATACAAGATCCCCTGTATAGCCTTAACAGACTTTTGGAACAAGTGCTGTTAGCGAGCACCTATGAAGGCCGGCACAGCACACAAGGGGGTGGGTCGCCAACAGCACACCCGGCCACCTTTGTCTCCCCAGTGGTCATGTTTACACACCACACCAGGTACTCATTAGAGGCTGAGTCGACCTAGGGGAGGCCCAGGACCGATTCAGGTAATCCTCACTGATGTTAGCTATGAGCAGAAATCGAACTCTAATCGCTGGGTTCGTCGCACAGTGCGCTAACCACTGCACCATCGCTCCACCCCAGGATGAGTTAATCTCCGCCAAGCAGTGTGACGCATGGGACGAGACATTCAATGAATAAATAACCAACAACCCCGGCAAAACAAAACAAAGGAGTGACGGCTGCCATAATATATCGTGCACTTTGAAGCGCAAACTTTTGTCAACGCATTCTACAATTTAGCAGAGCCATACCTTAGATGCCCGGCGGGCCCACACGTGGGATGCGCCTCGCGGCAGGGAGAGTACCGCTGCTCAGAGGGCCGCAATGAGCGGGACGTGAGCAAGAGGCAGAGAAGAGAAGAAAGTGGACTTTTTGGATGAAAATTAAGAGGTGGAGTAAGGAGGGGGCATTAGAGGGAGGAGGAAGAGGTGGATGAGGAGGGAGGGATGAGAGAGAGGGAGAGATGGGGAGGGAGGGTGCTCCATGGAGCGCGTGGAGTCAGACAATCTCGAGAGTGGAGCCGCCTCACCTCTCTCCCCGCCGCGACCAGGCATACCGGGGGACCCTGGGAAACCCGGGCGACCCAGAGGCCCCGGCTCCCCAGGCGGCCCGGGGGGCCCTGGGCGTCCCGCCTCCCCTTTGGGCCCCGGCAGGGCCCGGACATGGTGGTGGTTGTTGCTGGGGATCTGGTTTATGATGCTGTTGAATCGGCTGATGTGGCCTGAAGATGGGATACGGACACAGTGGTGAGAGCAGAGGACACTCGACGTCACCGCCGGTGCTGGCAGACGGACACGAGCACCGTGCCCGTGCCACTACCGGGGGGAGCGATGATGGCCCTTCCTTGAGACCCCGAATTTTTGTGTTTTATTGACGTTTCTTTGTGCCAAGACTAGTTTTGTAACCGAAAATTTTCTATGAGAAAAAAACAAGAAATGACATCAATTAAAAGCATTTTCTTGGAACATGCATGTCACGTTTTTATTAACTTCGGGGTGGCCTGTTTGTAAAGTTTGACATTTTGCGACCACCCCCACCTTGAGAAGTTACTCGTTTCATCACTGTAACGACACGTCGACTTATCGATTAAAATATATTTAATGCTTGCGACACATATCATGATGCCTTAAATAATTGGAGGATTGTGGGCAATGTATGAATAACTCGCTCTTAGCTCCGAATGGCCACGTTAACATAAAGTATCGTTCAGGCAATCAGACCAGCGATACTGGAGGTCAAGAGGCAGAGAGGATTAAGAGATAGGCTTCTGCAGAGATGATTGAACGGAAGCCAATTTATTTGTAACCCAAATTGAATGCAAAGTTTGGTGCATTTCTGAATGTTCGCCATTCTGACAAAGCATGCTCTGAGCCGCTAGACTCGACAAACGTGCGTTACTTGCTGCCAAACCTTGAGGAACATTTTTTTGGAATCACCTGCAGCCGCAGAGATGTGCATGACATAGATAAGTAGTACACATCTCCCACCGCCGGAGCGGAGACGGAATGGAGAATTCCAAATTTTACGCCCTTCGGCGTGAAGTGCTGCAGGTTGTGCGAGTGTGAGCAGTGACGCAGCTCACCGGGAGAGCGTGACGACAAGCCTCTCTCCTAAACGATCCTGAGAGCTTGCGCCTTTGCAAAACTGCAAAACGCGTTTCTTAATACCCTTTGTACCAGAAACCACTCGTGCAAGGGCCTCTTGCTCGTGCCAAGTCTATAAAGCAATGGCAACCGCACATTAACCGAGAGATTTACACGTGGTTTATAAGTGGCACGTTCTGTTTAATCGCTGCATCTTTCAGAAGCCACTGTCTCGTGGGGTTTTATGGAAACGCAGGTAGCGATGTTTAAGAAATTACGCCACGTGCGATGGCTCCACAATTCCAACTGCAGGTGGCACACCGGCGATGTTATTTAACAAAAAGAAGAGTAAAACGTGCCGGCGTGCATCACGGCATTTAATTTACGAGCTGGGTCTGGCAGCGAGCCTCGGGGACGTGAACACGCCAGCACGCAAACTCTCCGCATTGCGCGCTCCCCAAATTATTGCGCGTGTTTACAGCAAATTTCACAAACATGCTGGAAATTACACAGCAACAACAAAGAATGACTCGCGCTGAAATACGAAGTCATTCTTTCCACAGACGTTTCCCGGGCATGGATTTGAGCCAAAGAGCGACAGCAACTGCAGCCCCGCAGCGCTGATGGCGGTCGTTTAATCATGATCAGAATATTTCATTAAACTGGAGGAATCCGATGAGCTATGATGCTCTTAATCACGAATGTCCAGTTGGGGCGGGTAAGAACGTTACAACAAACAATAAAATAACATGATAGGAGTGCAAAGTACAAGAAAGGTCAACAATCACCCAAACACGAAATAAATACAACACCAAACCATCCCCATCCTACCAGACAAAGCTCACCGAGGTAATAACTTAGTTTTCAAAAGCGCCTGGTCACTGCCACTACCCCAGTGTCGAGTAACTTCCCAGGTGGTCGAGTGGCTCGGGAAGTGGAGCGCTGATCTGGCACCCCTGAGAGCCGGGGTTCGAATCTGGTTTCAGCGGTGGTGCGTTGATGGTTTCAGCTGAGTCACCACCAATGGCTTAGATAAAAACCCACAGGCTCACACAGAGACCCACAGGCTCACACAGAGACCCACAGGCTCACACAGAGACCCACAGTAATGTCCTGCATAATATGTGGGTAGTCGGTCCTGGCTCTACGAATACCACTGGTGTTGTTATTTTCTGGCACGACTCTACGAATGTGCAGCAGCAGGAACTCACTGTTGATCATCTGCTCGCAGACCTGCCGCGCGAGCATCCGCACCACATTCTGTCCCTGAGCATCGCCCTGTGGGGGCATGGGGTGGGGGAGTCAGTGGAATCGATGGGGGGGGGGGGGGGGGAAGCAAAATGAGTCTCCACCATGGCGCCGTGCAAGAAAATGAGGGAGTGAATGGGCACCACGTAACCTTGCGTGGGAAACAAGGGTTAGGGAAACAGGGTGAGGGTTCGGTATAAGGTTTATATTAGGTTTGAGGTTAGGTTAGGTTTTGGGTTACAGATATCGTTAGATATAGGGTTGGGGATTAGAGATAAGGTTAGGAATAGAGTTGAGGACAGGTTTGAGGTTAGGGTTAGGGGCAGGTATCAGGGTTGGATTAGGGTTGGGGTTGGGGTTAGGGTCGGGGCTAGAGTTTGGAATGTGGATACGGTTGGAATTAAAGATTTTAAGGTTAAAGTTGGGTTCGCGTTCTATTTAGGGATTGGATGAGGGTTAGGGTTCAGGCTAAAAGGTTGATGATCGAGATCCGCTATCGATTGGCTACAGTGCAATTAACCATCACTGTAGCGCTGCTCCCGCCAGTGCCCACCACGGCTCCTCTGCAGGGTGGACACCACCTGGCCGCACGGTCGAGTGCGCTACTTCTGCAGAGGCCGTGCCAGCAGTCACGATTACATATTTACGAGTCCTGACGGCGAGATTGCTGTTCCCGCGAGTGCTCCGGCCAAAGGGCAATTGGTAACGTGCGCTCGTATCGAGCCAGATTACCGCGCAACGCGATGATGACCGGAGCGCCATTCTGCCGGCTCACGTGTGGGGAGCGAGTGAGGGCCGCGAGGAGAAATCGCGAGCTCAGCTGTAGCACTCGATTTGAGCCGTCGGGAATTGAAGCGACGGCTCGAGGCTGCGAGAGACGGGGTGACGGAAGGAACGGAATGGAGCGCCACGCTCACGAGTTTGTGACCTTGCGGCACGTGGTGGTGTGGGTGGGGTGCCCATCATGCACCAAGTTCGGTTCATGCGCTCAGTCGGCCCTACCACGTCCCCTCACCTGCTGTGACTGCAGCAGGTGAGGGCATGTGGGGAGAATTTAGTTTCAGCTGGGCCCGAAAAATATATCAGCACCCGGCACACCACAACCAAATAAACCCCTCGCTTTGGCTGTGGTTACCAGTCACGCGGCTGCTCTAGTCGACCATGGATGTGGCAGTGAGACATTAAACCTTGGACTGCGTAATCCTGAAGCCGAGGAGTGAACATCCAAATCCCTCCAATTCTCTGACCCCCGATCCCCGGAACACCAGCGGTGCTCGTGTTGCGTACACACTCACCCTCTCTCCCTTTTCTCCTTTCGTTCCTGCTGGGCCCTGACGTGGTGGGGAGACAGACGGACAGAGAATAACACACGCGTTGTGAATCAGTGCCAAGCGGGAGTTACACGCGTCGCGTGCGTGCAGATCGCCGGGCTCCAGGCAGGGAGGCCGAGCGTGGAACCGCGCTGGCTCCACTCCCCGAAGCCGGGAGCCCAGAGCCGCGAGCGGCACTGCCCGGAGCAGTATTCGGCGGCGCAAACAGCAGCCACTCACTCGCACTCTGTGCAAGCTTGTGAGCGAGCGAGCGAGCGAGCGAGCGAACGAGCGGTGTGACTCAATATTGAAAGAAAAATCCACACGGGTTTCCCCCCCCCATCCCCCTTGAGAACCAAAAAATATAAATTTTATTTATATTTATTAATATAGAGCCTTGTTTATAGAGTTTGGGATTTTAAGACCATGCCCCCCACCCCCTGCCTGGCCCCCGCCCTTCACCCCTACAGTGGGAGGTTTCTCAATCCACCCAGCAGAAAAGCCTGCGGCCCGGTTCTAGACGGTGACATGGCAGAGACCGGGTGGCTCGGCAGCCAGGGGAGGCCGAGTCGGCACAGAATAGATAAAACCCAGGCTTGGGCTCAAACCAAGTTGATCTCAACTGAGGTCACCACTGGCTGTTCAAGCAATAAATAAATAAATAAAACAATGCTACACTGGGATTAATACCTATTTTGGCAAAATTGACGGCTGTGAGAATGCAAGATTGTTTAATTGCCATATGATGAACGCTTCTTCGTAGCAGCACATGTGGCGCAGTGTGGTACCCCGGTACTGTGTGTATAAGTGATCACTGAAAACAGCCTCAGAAGTAGTTCTGCGATGTCTCCTTCTACAGACCGCTCACTAACACACTACTCTGGCAAAGTTCAGAGTTCATGCCACGACATCAGCAGCACAACTGTAGTAAGACAGACAGACACACACCATGGATTGGGGTGGTCTGCATCCAGCAATAGATTTATCATGGCTGCTGCTGATGATGATTATATATACATAAATATTTATTACGTTTAAGAATTTGGTTTATGGACCACGCTCTTGGGCGGAAATAAAGAGAATTTTTCACAGCTGCTGGTGCTGCCAAACACACACGTGTGGAGGTGTGCAGACTGGCACAAAACACCGGGCAGCATGAGCGAGCAACACTTGCTGTCGGTCGTAGTCTTAATATGGCAGGTCTGGGGATGGGCATGCACGCGGTGAGCGGACTGCAGTGAACAGCTGAACTCCACTTCAAGCAAAACACGACCCCAACCCCACCCCCCGTGCAGGGTCACCCCGACTATAAAACGCACCGCGTTCATCATCTTAAGCCTTGATCTACCCACTGCTGGAGGAAGGCCACTCGTCTGGCTCTTGCACAATAACTTATTTAGTCGCTCCATCTCTGCCGTGGGCGTCCTCAGCTGTGCTCCCTCCTTTGGTTGCAACTGTGGAGTCAGTCTCTCTCTACCCACCACCCCATGCGTCATTGTAAGCATTCCCGAACCCTCGTGGCACATTACAAGCCCTCCCTGCCCTCTGCTGGGCCATTTGAACCCATCTCTGCACCTCACGAGCCATCCCAAGCTTTCTCTTGCCCCTGCTGGGCCATCATCGGACGTCCCTAAGACGCGGAGAGAATTCCGCCCCCGGCGCTCTCGGCGTGCCGTGCCAGCACCGCCTCCGCTGCCGCCAGGGCCCAGGAGCGTGCACACAAACACCAACGGTCAAGAAAAATGAAATATTATCATGATATTAAAATAATACGATTTTGTGCCAGCTCATCTGAAATAGTCATCAGCATCTGCACTGCAAGGCGCCATCGTTGATGGGAAGGATGATCTATGCTTCTGTGCACGTGTGCGCGTATTTGGGCAGCTGCAGTTTTAAAGACAGCTGACACACAAAACCATGCTTATGCATCATGTTTCATCATGTTTCTAGAGCAGGCTTCCCCAGACTTCAGATCTCGCTACCCACCATCGTACGCTCTGCCGAGAGTTTGCCGTTTAATAATCATAATCATCATCTTTGCACTAATACGGTGCTTGCTTAAAAACCTCAGCACTCAAAACCAGCTGGCATCACAACTCATCTCAACCCTTGATAAGGACACCACCAGTGGCAACTGTCCCTGTGCGGCACGAAGTGCTCATCACGTGGCCTGCAAGTAGGCACGAGTTCACTAGTTGGGGGCGATAATTGCTTCTACATGAAATCCCAATTTAGTGATTTGTAGGTAATTTTTCTAATTTGGACCGTGACCCCGGCAGACAAAGGACTACTTATACTGAACGACGTCACGGGATCTTTCACGTTCGCTGTGAAGCTGATGTCATGTGTACAGTTAATACGCCGGCAGTGTATTCTTGTGACCTGCAGCACAGTGGACACAGTGTGGGTGAGACGAGACAGTGTCTGGTAGCCCGATTCCTCAATGTGGGTGGAGGAAACAATGAGCAAAGCTTACGGACACAGTACCCATGGCCATAGTGATATGAGAGCAATAAGGAGAATGACATCCAAAGCGTGAATGCTTTGGAGCGTTAATGGAGTGAGCTCTCAGTTGCTGGAGCAGACGTGCGGAACATCGAGACAGCGACAGCCACCAGCATGTCGGGAATCTGTGCACAAGAACCAGATGGCCCGGAGTGGGGCCCATTCAAGCGCGGCCCAGGTTGGTAACGTCCATGCTGCCGGGCCGCTCACCTGAAGTCCACCCTCGCCGTTGAAGCCAGGTTTGCCGCTCGGCCCCGGGGGTCCAGGGTTTCCTGACGTGCCCTGGTGGACAACACAACGACGGGTCGAGCAAGGGCAACGCAGCCTCTATCACTGTGCCCCTCTTAGACACACGGCACCTCTGCACAGGCACACCGCACGCAGCCAGCTCAAGCTTGGCGAGTTGATGATTTAAGCGATCGATTACTCTATCAATTATTAGTTCATCACTCCATCAGAAAACACAATTGGGAAAAATAAGAAATGTCGCCTCTGTTCCCATGTGTGCTGTTGGATGGGTGCTGATGGGTGGGGCTTGGCGACTTCATTAACATCATCAGTGGCACTATGCTGGGTGCAGATTGACGGGGGTTTCCTGCCTATGGGAGGCAGGATGTGGGGGTGGCCGCGGTTTTTAAAGGGGCTGAACAATCGAGTGCAGCGAGCGGTCGATTGCGATCGTCGGTGAATTCGTCGGCCCACGCCACGTGATGCACGACCACCCAGGGGTCTCGCCACTCACCATGGGCCCCGCTTGACCTGGCAATCCAGGTCCACCTTCCTTCCCCGGAGGGCCCTGCACAGGAAAACACACCGCGATCCACGTGAGGGCACAGCGAGGGGTGCGGTTGATGCAGCGTGAGTGGCGAGCGGTCAGGGAGCCGAGGTCGGGGTAGCCACCGGTCCGGGTTTATATGTTCACGGAATACAAGTAGAATCTATACGTCACATTCCTTTACAAAATAATTTCTAAGTTATAAAGTGAAGGTTATTGGGTTTGCTTGCTGTTCACACACACTCGTGCGTGCACACAAAAGACACACATCTAAAGTTAAAAGTCTCTTAAGTTGTAATTAAACACTGACTTGAAGAGTACTAATGTCGTGGAGCCACTCACCCGCGGGCCCTGCAAGCCCTCCCTGCCCTGCTGCCCGGGAGGGCCAGAGGGACCCTGCAGACACAACGTTCAGAGATGGTGAAGAATATTACAAATATTACATAGAAAACATAGGGGGAACATAGACATGGAGTAGGGAGAGAGGGGTAGAGAGAGAGGGGGGTTAGAGAGAGAGAGGGGTGTTAGAGAGAGAGAGATGGGGTGGAGATAGAAAGAGGGTAAATAGAGAGAGGGGGTAGAGAGAGAGAGAGGGGTAGAGAGAGAGAGGGGGTAGAGAGAGAGAAGGGGTAAGGAGAGCAGAGCGTGAAATCTATTGTGAAATATTTTTATTTAAAAAGGGGGGGGGGGGATTTACATAAAGCAAAGCATAAAAAACTAAATGATGAACGAAGCAAAGTGCCGACTACACTGAGGTCCCCATAGTGTAGATGTTTGCCCCGAGCTCTCATACTCTGATGGTGCATTGTCTTTGAGTTGTGCGCCTTTTGGCGTCTTCTGGTCCAACCCATGTGAGACTAGGCTCTAAGGAAAGCTGTCTCGGGTGTGGACCAATCAACTTCAAGGACAGTGCACATTATCAGAGTTATGTCTTTTGTTTGTATTTATGACTGCAGGTATTGCGGTCTATGCAAACATGACTCCTTGTAAAAAGGTGTCAGTTTTGTTGCCAGATAGAAGGGTAAAGAACCAATTATCATATTTTTACTGGCAAATGAGGTCCCCATAGTGTACACCGAGCATATTCTTGTTTCCTCTGATCGTAAAAAAAAAGAGAGAGGGAAAATAAAACAAAATAATCAGAGGGAGGGAGGGAGGAGAGACGCGTTCACCCAGAGCTCCGGCCTTTACCTCTAAAATCTTTATTTTTCTCACCTTTTTTCGGGATTTATTTTCACCAACAGTAAGTGTCTTGCTTTATACACATTTGTGATCAGTTTGTTTGTTAATTTAGACTTCCTTTCTCTTTCTTTCTTTGTTCTTTTATATTGTTTTCACTGTTCAGTGCGCAGCTGCGCTCACTGCAGTGGAAAGGTGTGTGTTTTTTTTCCGCACAATCCTCCAATTTTATTTTGATAGTTGATTTCATAATCACGCTCTTCTTTGCTTTCTTTTCGATCTTGATTTCCTTTAGCAATCTTTGAGTTTTGTGATTCTTTTTCGTGTTTTTCGTGTCTTTTTTCGTTCCTTTGTCTGGTGTGCTCCCACGTGTTTCACACCCGTGTTCGCACTGTACCACACCGGCCGGTGTGGGTGCTGGGCAGACATCCCCTTTAGAATCCCCTCTTGTTTATTGCTGCGAGCGTGTTTACATTATTTTATTTTTATTGGTGTGCTTTTTTTCTTACGTTTTCGTTTTTTTCCTCCTCTTGTAAAAAAAAAAACCAAGGACTTAAAATAATTGTACTCTCTCCAGGGGAGCTTTGGGTGGACAGCAGTAACAATAATTAGCAGAAGGTGGTCATAACACAGATTTGACCATCTTTATATAAAACATTTTTTTTTTACGTTTCTTGGTTTTTTTGGTAATTGTTTCCTGACTTTAGAAAGTAGAGAGGTTTGCTTTCGTAGTTGTGTGTGACATCTCACACGTGAAGATGTCCACCCGACCCGCAACAACGTACGCGAAAGCTACCGCACCTACGCAAGGCCCGTCTCTGGGGTCTGCAAGGCGCCTGCAGCAGCACCCGGAGCCTCCACGGGAGGCTGGGATCCGCTGCCCGGCTTCTCACGATGTTCCGATTGAAGTTTACGTGGATGCGCTGCGCGCCATCGTGCCAGGGGGCTCGATAAGGTACGCCTCCAAGGTGAGCGGAAGAGTGGTTTTCTTCATGGAGTCTGAAAAGGTGGCAAACGCCGCCATGGAGAAGGGGCTGACGGTTGGCGATTGGCACCTTACCTTGGAGCCAATGTCATCACCATCGGTACGCGTGATCGTATCCAACGTCCCCCCCTACATTCCCGATAAAGACATCCAAGACCACCTGGCTAAGTTGGGCACGCTGACTTCCAACCTTCAGCGTGTGCCTCTGGGCCTCAAAAATCCTGCCTTGAGGCATGTCTTGTCTTTTAGAAGGCAGGTCTACATGCTGGTGCCCAATGGGCAGCTTGAAGAGGGCTCCTTTGTGGTCATGAATGGAGGAAGGGCCCATAGGCTGTTTTACTGCAAGGACGTGCTAAGATGCAACCTATGCAAAGCATGTTAAAAAACACTGCCCAATGACAGCAAATGCCCAATCTACCAGCGAGACAACGGTAGAAAAGGGTGATAAAGAGGCACACCGAACAAGTGACTCAGGAGAGGGTCCCTCACCACGGAGATCACACGAGGTGGCGGTAGACCCCGCTCCAACCCCAGCTACTGCCATGGAGACCGAGGCTCAGCCAGCCACCCAGCCGTCATTGACAGCTGGACCTCTGAAGAGGAAATTTACGGAGGACTCTGCTTCATTATCTCCAGAGACCAGTGGGGATGAGGTCAGTCCCTTTAAAGATCTCCCAGAGTTGGAGTCTGACATCGCACAGACGCCTGGGGGAGACGCGGAGAGCACTGGTGGCAAGGACGGGGTCTTCGCCATCCCAGATGCCCCTAGAAGTGGGACACGCAGAGGGAAGAAGCCCCGTGCAGGAACCAAGCTCAAGCGCAAGACGCCTGATGAAAATCTGGAGCCTGAGATGGAAGCGGGGGAAACCGCAATCTGCGAAGTGGCGAAGGACACAGGTGAAGAGGGTCGCACTTCAGACCTTGACGACGCGCCCAGCGAGGGGGCCGAGGGCTCCCAGGAAACACGAGCAGCCAAGAGCACGGAGGAGCCCACACAGGACCCCACTGACCAAACAGTGGGTGACCAAGACAAGGACGAAGGAAGGCCGTCAATTGAGGGGCAAGCGGCATCGCCCGATAAAACATTGACGGAGGATACCACGGCGACTGAAAATCCTCAAAGCCTGGGGGATGAAGGGGGAAGCCAAGAAGAGGAGTTGGAAGAAACCCTCAGCACAGGAAGTGGGGTGAGCCTGACATCAGCAGAGCTGACCGAAGGGGCACCAATATTTTCGCAGTCGGAGCTATGGGACTTTCTAGATGAAGTACGTGGCACAGACGAAAGGGTGGCTGCAACGCTATCAAGGTGGCGAAATGTGGAGGCAATAATAACCTCCCTACTCCATGTTGATCGGGGCTTCAAAAGACAGGGAAAACTGTCAGATGGAAAGGAAAGGAAAAGGATCAGGTATTTCCTGGGCCAAATAAATACGTGGAAACAAAACACACCTGACGACAACTCCACTAACATGTAATGCTGCGGATAGCGGAACATTGTAACCATAAATGCCTTAATAGTGGAGTATTTTGTATCACAGTGGCCAATAGAATCTGAGTAGACCTAATGTACAACAACCAGATCCTATGTAATTTGTGTGTATATGCGCCGAATTTTGAGAATGTTTGTTGATTTTAATTTTATGCTGTGTACCTGCTTGTGGAAAGGAGAGAGCAGTACTTTCCGCAGGGTTTTTTTTTGTAAGAGTTTTTTTTGCCTGTTTGGCCATCCTTAGCAGTCTGGTGTATCTTACTGGGCGTTGGGTTGGCTCCCCATGAGGGTGTGCTCACTGCCATTGCTTACCGAGTTACTACATGTTTTGGGTACCAACCATCCCTGTGTGCTGGTTGTTCACTCAGTGCTGTGTTTGGTCACCTGATATGCCAAGGTCTCCAGTAAGTAGTTACTGTGTATTGCAGCTGATGTTCTTTTTAATTATTGTAATGTTCAAGCTTGCTTAGGGATTTAGAAGAAGTTTAATAAAAGAATGGTAAAAAAAGGGGAGGGAGGGGAGGGGAGGGGAGGGGAAGGAGGGGAGGGGGGAGGGAGGGGAGGGGAGGGGAAGGAGGGGAGGGAGGGGAGGGAGGGGAGGGAGGTCAGGCAGGTGCCTTTCGCCGCTATGGTGCTGGTAGAGCAGCAGCAGGGGATCTGGTGATGGGTATTTTGAGGATGATTTGTTTTCTTATTGGTGTCTATGAACACCGTAACACACAATGGGACTAATGTTACACGGGAAACTCGCGTTAAATCTTTGATTAAAAGAAAAATACAAACAAACGACATGATGAACGAAGTAAAGTGCCGAAAGACTGAGCATCTTTCTCGTCTGATCGTTTAAAAAAAAAGGAGGGAGGGAGGGAGGTGAGGGAGGAAGGTGAGGGAGTGAGGGAGTGAGGGAGGGAGGAAAGTGAGGAAGGGAGGTGAGGGAGGGAGGGAGGGAGGTGAGGGAGGGAGGTGAGGGAGGTGAGGGAAGGAGGTGAGGGAGGGATGGGGGGAGGGAGGTGAGGGAGGGAGGGAGGGAGGGGGAGGGAGGGGAGCCAGAGGGACGCGATGCCAGCAGGGAGCATCGTTGGCACGATGTGACGTTTTATATTAAAGACGCCGCCAACCACCGCAACCACCGCAACCACCGCAAATCGGGAATTCAAGCCACTCCGTTTTGCGAGCGGTCTCGTCGAAGATGAGACGCGCACAATCGTGGTGGTTTACGTTAAAATAAATAAACGTGCGGGTCTGCATGTGCAAAAAAAAAGGAGGGAGGGAGGGAGGTGCAAACAGCTAAACTGCACGGCCACGAGTCGGGTGCAGACGTATGCTTTGATTGAAATGGAAAGTGTGGCAATGTCTGGAATCTCAACATATCGCCACGTTGTTGGTGTGTGCGGCAGAAGGAACACAAGCGGAGCGCGAGACGGGCGAGGGAGCGAGACGGGCGAGGGATCGAGGCTGCCAAGTTGAAAGTTCGGCGCCGGTGTTACCATGGGCCCTGCATGTCCGGCCGGGCCCTGGTCTCCCTTCTCACCCGGTCGGCCCTGCCATCAGACACCAATGATGAGGAAACGATCGTTAGTATTGCGTCAGAGAATATTGGTAACAAAATTATTACGCAGACAATTTGCCTCCTTCACATATCAGTCCTGGCAAATAAAAAATAAAGAAAATATTTTTTACACATTGCATCAATCACATGCCATTATGTGAGTGCATAATTTAATCGGCATTGGTTCAACACGAGAAAACTCTGGACCAGTTTTGACATTCAGTGTCTCATTAAATTATGCCAATTGTGCACTTCAAACAAGCCTGACTATGCTCATGAGACTATGCATGTGAAAAACCAGTCCAGCATTTGCTCAGGATTAGAGAACACACGTAAACTATGGTGTAATTCTGACTCAAGAAAAGACGATGACCGGTGGTCGAGACTAACAATGGAGTGGCAACCAAAGGATGCAACTCGACTTCGAGAGACATCGAGCGCAGAGATGGAGAGATGGCAATCAGCTGGAGATGAATGGTCCATTGCATCGCAATACCATCAGAGATAGCGACAAATTGCGGAGGCCTTCATCCAGCAGTGGATAGAACCCCTACTCACCGGCTCTCCCTCCATTGATATTCCATTGGGGCCTTGAGGTCCAGGCTGTCCCTGAGAGCCAGGGGGTCCTTGCTCCCCCCGTGGACCCATTGCCCCCTGTGCTCATGACAACAAAGACAAAGATCCCCCATGTAGCGTTTAACAGACAGCTGGGGCAAGTGCAAGTGCTGTTAGGGAGCCCCTATTAAGGCTGGCATTGCACACGAGAGGGTGCTTTAAAAGCGAACATTACGCTGGGTTGCATTTGTCTCCCCATACAGTCTGTTAAAGCCGAACCAATCCAGACGGGGCCCACGATCGGTTCGGACAGCACTCGCCACTGATGTCAGTTGTGACCGGCAATCTGATTCAGGTCACGAGTCCGTAGTGCAGTGCGCTAACCACTGTGCCACCATTCCCCACGCACAGAGACAACACTCCCCACGCACGCTCGCGCACGCACACGCAAGCATGCACCAGCACGAACGTGCACGCACACGCACGCACAGGCACGCGCTTCGCCAGGATGGAGTAGTGGACGCTGGGCGCTCACCTGGGGCCCGATGCCGCCGTTCTCTCCTCTCGGACCCTTGGGGCCAGTCCCTCCCTGCGCACCATGACGCACGCACCAGCCCGGTTAAGCATGGGCAAACAACCCCCGTGACAGTCGTGGTGTGGGGAAGCTGTCAGCCAGCATTGGGATGACAGAGGGCTGCAATCAGCGATGGGAATTGTAATGAACGAGCTGCACTGTCGCATGTGTGTGACGTCCTTCCACTGGAGTGGTGTGCTTAAACATCTTTTTGTTACATTCCACTGAGTTTTTTCACGACATTAATTGGCAGTGTGGGTAATTGTTTGAGATGAAATAGTTAACATTCCAGTCATACTTAATTGACGTACTTTTGCTAATCAACGACCATGAGGTTGTTTGACGATGCTTCCCCATGTTGGCCAATGCGAATTGATTAAGTGGGAGGAGCGGGTGGGAGACGCACACGACCAGTTCAGTTACTGCTCCCCACCGATGTTCGCCGCGGCTTCAGAGCATGGCAGGTGCTAACCGCTGTGCCACTGCTCCACCCGAATGACGGTATGTCCCGTGCGTGACGTCACTCCACATGCCCCCCCCCATCATTAATATTCATGAGCGGGTGGATTTTTACACTCACGCAAAAGAAGGTCGAGCGGAAATACTTTTTTTTCGTAAATTCGCTTTAAGTTTGACGTTTCTTTATTGAAAGTGCAGCTAATAAATAATTCTACGCAGCAACAAAGTGGATTTATTTATTTATTCAACACTTGAGACAAAAGGTAAGTCTCATTTATGCTTCTACATTATGGTAAAATAGACATTTATTGGTGATTTCCCAGATATTGTATCGATTTCCAATTTATTTCAACCCCAGCGACCGAAAGCAGAAGAGAATAAAGTATCAGAGCAGTGAATTTGAACACATAGAAGGTCAGTTATATACAGTGCTACAGTGACATGAAGTGAGGTGTTTTATGACATAGTTTTGTGGAAGATTCACTGCCATTAATACAGTGCTACAGTGAAATGCAGTGACGTGATTAAGTACATACTTTTGTGCAAGATTCACTGCCATAAAATTTACACAAGATGCAATTATACTCTGCTAAATTTTTTCGTAAATATTACAGCTTCCGTCCTAGGACGGGCAAAGAAGCTAGTTCTTATATAAACGTTGAGGGTGTTTATTGTGACTGTTGTTTCGTATTATTATTTATTACCCTGAACTTATCCTTGGCCAATCACTCAAAGTGACGTCATCTCTAAGAGATTTCGCTCGGTCTGGAACCAACACTTCAATTCACCCGCCCGCTCGGTCACACGCTCCACGCGGCACTATCAAGATCGACGGCGGTGAGATGAGACGCGCCGGCTCAAAGGGAAGTTCGTGAGGTCGGTGGGAATTTCCACCGCTGGCTCTGGGCTGTGAACGGGAGATGAGCACCAATGCCTCAATGCTCCGCTGCGACTTGACTCATGAAAGACGATCGGCAGCAACGCGGCTCTCGCCCGGCGTGGGAATGCCGCGGCTCCCACCGCCGACTTGCTAACGGCCCGGATGGACGGGTTTAACGAGCTGCACGTGGGAGTGCGCACGACGTGCCCTGACTGCGGGCGCTCGCTCCGAGCATCTGGCAATTTGATCCAAAACCGATCGAGCAATCGTGTCGCGGACAACTGACCCCGTGACCCCGCGTCACGCCCGTGTCAAGGACACCCCACTCCGGGTCAGGAGACGCCAATTGAGAAGAGCGAGGGTGGGGGCGGCCGGGTGGGTCAGAGGTAACGCACCGAGCCAACAATACTTGGAATCTGGGTTCTAATCCAGGTTTCAGCCACTGACGGTGATTATACTGGCCTCTCCAGGCGTGAGGCGATAGTCTCAGTCCGGTCACTGGTGACTCACACTGAGACCCATAGACTCATATAGATACCTACAGACTCTTATGAAGACCCACAGACTTACAAAGACTGCTTTGAGATTAAGTCAGGTTTTCAAGTGTTATGTGTTTAGTGTTTTACGTAAGTAATCGATTCCTTAAATAATCAGAGACACAGTTCGACTGCCAAGTGGAGTTACACATCCGTGATCCTGAGGACACCTTTCTAACAGCTTGTGCATCGCGAGGACCAGTGCAATGACAGCAGAAAACCACCGACGTTTGCTCAAGCTCGCTGGGATGGCACAATTGGCACAGAACGACATTTAGAAAAAAATATTTAAAAAAAGTATCGGCAAGCAGACGCATCTGTGCAAATAAATAACCAATGAGCCACAGCTGTAACAAAAATAACCACTGAAAAAAACCCACATACCAGATGACCAACACGAGTGGGGCATTCTGTGGCGTCGGCAGACTCCCCGTCAACCCCAACATTGGGCCGACGTCGATCAAACGCGTCCAACCACATGCTGGGTTGGGACAACGTTGGCATGTCTGCCGGGTGGTGCTTGAATGGCACCGCATAGCTCCCCACTTATGGCTCACCTGACACCCCCTCCCCTCCCCCCCTGAATGGTTGCCTGCGCACGGCACGAGTGACCGGGAAACCGGAGTTCAAACTCGATCACCGCAGGTTGGCGGCAACTGGCAACCGATTCCAGCGGAATCCTGGTCACGAATGCACCGATTGGAACTACGCCGGAAGATGAAATTGTTACCACTGTGGCAGCTCCCTTCACTTATCAGTTAAAAAGGTTAGAATTGTTATTTGGTTACGAGACCAGTATTCACCGGTTTTTACCATTGTTTTTTTTCATGGATGTTCCAGTCATCCAAACAAAATATTTTAACTGTGATAAAAGATTCCCCATATAAGCCTTCCTATATTAATGCAGCAAGTGCTGTTAGCATGCACCGATGAAGGCTGGCATGACACTGAGGGGGTGGGTGTCCAGCACCATGCTCTGCCACCTTTGTCTTCTCAGTGCTGATGTTTACACACCACACTAGGTACTAATTTAAGACTGAGTCAACCTAAGGTAGGCCGTGAACAGATATATTCGTCACCAATGTTTCCCAAGAGAAGGAATCAAACTCCAGTAACCGGGTTCATAGTGCAGAGCACTCACCACTGCGCCACCGTCCCCCACATACGCACACATAGCACACACACTCGCGCACACGCACGGAGGCAGACGAGGCTCGCAGACACGAGAACGCACGCGGCGAGGGAGAAGGACAGGGCGCAGCCCAACCCCCTCCTGCGGCAGCCCTCGTCACGCTACACTGAACTCCATAGACCAGGTGCCCGGTATCTGACCAAAATCAGATGCACTCGCTGGCTCTGCCGTTTGCTTATTTGGCCAGGAGGTGGAGGAGGCGCTCGAGGCTGAGCAGCTCGCCGGAAGACTTCCGTGATTACCCCTCTTCCCGCACACACGAGCCCATCTGGACGGCATTAATCTACAGACCAGGCTCGTTTGTACGGCGCGTGGACGCGATTTGTTGATTCACGCGGTGGGGGGGGGGGGGGTGTCTGATTTATTTGCAGCGTTCACTCAGCACCTAGGGGCATCTTGCTCGCCCTGGCACCCAGGGAGGGCGAATCGGGCGTCACGACCCTGCCCTTGTTGCAGAACTTTGTGGTTCGCATCCAGCAGGGCACCCTAGTTATTACTGTGGGTGATTTAACCAAAAAACAAACCTGTCGTTTGTTTCACATTGGACTTTGTGGAAAGTGAGTGCCGGCGTCAACGTCCAAATTAAAAAAATTCGAAAATTGACAAAACAAATGAATCAACTGGGATGACACAAATCAACGGCAATTATCGCTCCCCCTCCCCTACTGGCAGACTGATGGCCTCTTGCAGGCCGGGTGCTGAGTCCCCTTGTGACGTAAGCCGCTTATCGCGTGTAAAGATTTCTCTGGGACCGCGCGGCATAAAGGAGGGCGGCAGTATCAACAACACAATTCATGATCATTAATACCGATCTGTCGGACTGGCGCTTGGCACGCGAGTCCTATCCCAACCGCACGCCAAGAATCCCACCACCATCATCATGAGATACGGATGCCGGGGCCCAGCGGGACCCACGGAGGCGACTGCGCAGGATCTGTGGGCAGCTCGTGTTTCTTATCGACGTTATGATCATTTCATACGTTTCTGCTCCGACTCATCCATCTCTCTCGCGGGGGAGGGGGAGGCCACTTCCTGTACAGACTGCGAAGAAGACGAAGGGGCAAAAACTCTGAGGAGTGGGCGAGGAGCAGGTTGGAGGGGTCTGTTAACCCGTGACCACCCAGCGGTCCAATCGTTGCAACCTCGTCCAAAGCAGGAAAACCTCCGGCACAACGGCACCGTAGCAAAAACACCACGCATGGGTGGACATAGGAAATATTGTATGGAGATTGCGTCTCTGTGTCCCTCTTTTTTTGTGTCTCTCTGTTGCTGTGTCCATGCGTCTGTGTCGTCTGTATGTCTGTGTCCGCGCATCCGTGAGTCTGTGTTTATGTGTCTATACGTCACTGGGTTTGTATGGCTAATTGTCTGTCGACGTGGCTCTCATTCTCCCAAGAAAGCAGACACGGAGACAAACACAGAGAAAGCGAGAGAGCAGACCGAGAGACAGATAGTGTGTCAAGCGGTAACAGGTTCATGGGGCACTTACGGGGGGCCCTGGAGGTCCGGGGGGCCCCTTGCTGTCCTGGGCGCAGGAGCAGGCGAGCGGCAACGTGGGGCACGTCGCCTCGTCTCTCTGCAAGTGCAAAGAGGACGTGAGGGGGGCTCTTGGCCACAGCTCGATGCACACTCCACGGCACCTTCCTTTGCTTTAAACGAAGCCGCCGAGTGCAGGTCCCAGGGCCCAAAACGTTCAGTGGCCAGCAACAAGCAGCAAAACCACGTGACCCCAACCAGCCAATCGGAGCTCGTGCTGCTTGTGACAACGCATCAAATGCTATTTCTAAAACAGAGTTCCCGCGTGTTGCAGAGTCGAAGGTGAATGCGTTACACCGGGATCCGTGTGGTGTACGGCAGTACACGGCACACCAGCACTTCTCACAACACCACACGTGCAAATACCGGCAGTGTCCACAACAATTCTTATCCCCACCCCACGGTGTTCCCCTACTAGCCCTATATTCCCTACACCCCTTACACCCCCTACATCCACACTGTCCAGGACTGCTTTCTGCGTTAAACAACAACACAGAGAACAACAACGTCGTCGCTTGTTACACTAATGGCGGCTTAGTGGTAGAGTGAGCGCCTCGCAATCGCAAGGTTGCGAGTTCAACTCCTAGTTGGTGGGGGGGGGGGGGGGTCACTCAGAAAATCATCCCGACTGGATCTATAAAATGAGTATCATTTTGTGCGGATGTCGAAAGCAGCTGTCTAATGGATAGACTTACCCCCCCCCCCTCCCACCATTAAAATGTAGAATTTCTAACAAATGGCAAATTATAGCACAGGGCTATGATGAAGACACCATCTGCCAGGAGGCAGCGACGTTGCTCAGTGTGTAATCGAAATTGAGTAACTCTTTGGTTCTTTCGGTAAAGTCACGTATAAAGATAAAATAACAAATTAAATAATAGCATACTATGACGTTTCGATTGCAACACAAGCAATCATCATCAGGTATAAAAGAAATAGCAACAAAAATCTAACCAGAAAACTATAGACAGACATATAAGCAGACAGATATCACAAAGATACACAGAGAGAAAACACGCATCGGCACAAAGAGAGAGATCGTCTCTGTGATGAGGCCTTAAATAGAGAGAGGGGGGCGGGGGCGGAGAGAGGGGGCAAAGAAAAAATTAGCATGTCAATGGGTAGGACAACGCGTGGTACGGTACGCAAGCTTGAAAAATTAGGAGAACGGGAGAGAGACACACTAAAATTAAATAACCTAGCAAAATATAGAAATGTAATGTAATGCAACACAGAGAGTCGGTCAACACACAATTAACGCATAGCCTGGTTGATTACGTATTTCAAAGATTGCTAAGTTAGAATTTAAGTGTGAAAATTCCAAAGAGAGGACACAGGCAGAGAGAGAAAACAAAAAACCCAGAGAGAGAGAAAAAAAGATAAGCTTAAAACTTCCCCGTAGAAGTGGTTCAATCTAAATTTGGAGCTTTCGTGACTGCAGGGATTACTCTTTGGTTCTTACCGAAAGAACCAAAGAGTAATCCCTGCAGTCACGAAAGCTCCAAATTAAGATTGAAATTGAGTAACTTGCAGTGTTTTATTTTTTCGAAATCTTGCAAGTTTTAACTGTGACTCCGGGACACGATGGCCTCCTCACTTTAGAATGACATCAAGGGACCTTCAACGCCCGCTGCAAAGCAACTGGCAGAGTAGTTTATGGTTAAATACCGTGATATTAACCGGGGCGGCCTTCCAGAAGCGAACAGCGAAACATCTGCAACAAGCGGTCGAAGGCGCCACCGCTGGCTGGTCGGTGCCCCCCCCCCCCGCCCCCCGCGTCTCACAAACGCCCTCACCAAACGGGACTCACCAGCGCCGGCAGCTCGCAGCACTTGTCCTTGGCGGGCCAGGTGGTGCCGCACACGATCTCGAACATCTGCAGCTGGAACTGTAGGGGAAACCGAAGAGAGCGTGCGAGCACATTCGTGCGCGTGCGTGTTCGTGTGCAGGTGCACGCGCAGGCGTGCTTGCGTGCATCTCTGTTTGTGCGTGTCTGTGTGCACGTGCGCATCTCGTCCATGCGTCTGTGCACACGGCTTGCATGTGCGTACCGTGGCGGACTTTGGCGCGCTGGGTGTGGAGCGCGCAAGCCGGCCTAGCACTTCACTGCCATCAAGCGACACGTTCCCCGGCACGCGGCTCTGCTTCTCCGCGATGAGCGTGCAGTCGACGAAGAGGCGCACACTTTGCTTGGCCACCGTCACGTGCACCTGCGGCAGGGAAGCCGTCGCGCGCGCGTCCACCGCCCGCCCTGCTGCACGACGCCCCTCGTCCTCGTCGGACCGCGAGAGATTACGCGAGCCCCCCCATCGCCCCCCCATCGCCCCCCCATCGCACCCCCACCCCCTTGCACACTCCGACTCCTCCTCCTGCCTCCCCATCCAGCCCCAGTGTCGCTTCACACAGCCACGCATTACCCCCATGTGCCCACATTATATGACTCTTTTTCAAGAGCGGTGGTTCTCACCCTGCGATCGGCGATGCTCTTGCAGACACGAGGATTATTTTTCTTCACATAACACCAGAACTTTTCCTGACTGGAACGTTAGCACGGTTGGCTATGTACAGTGCAAAAGAAGTTCAACATACATACATACAACTGCTCCGATTCATAAATCAAAAGCACAAGCAGTAGGGTGAAACGTTACGTGGCTTGGCAAGGGATGAGGCGAGGACCGGTCCAACAGCCACAATTCTGCCCTTTGCCATCGATAAATGGCCGGATTGTCACGGAAAAGACCCAGCACCTCAGTGCTGTATACCTCGTGGCCACACCACCTCATGCCTGCAACATCTGGCAGCCCACCTTGCAACTCACCCAAGAACTAACCGCTTCGCTTCCGCTATCTGATGAGGTCGAGCACGGTCTGGGTTACGTGGCCGTAGGCCAGCAGCCCGAAGCCTATCAACTCAAACCGCTCCAAAACAATGGATTACCTGCGGGCGGCTAAAACCTTGGATTAGAAAGCAGGTGCTGGGCGATGGCGGCTCAGTGCCCCGGACACGGCCACTTTGATCCTGCGAGACTGCATGTCCATACCTTGTGGAAGGAGCCAAAGAAGATCCTCTGCACGTCGGGGCCGTCGAACGAGATGAACTGGGGCTTCCCCTCCTCATCCACCGTGAAGTAGGTGAGGGTGCGACCGCCGACTGCGTGCACATGCACAAACCGGGAGATTGAACAGCTTGCGAGCCCAGTGCTCCGACCGTTACAATGCACCGGAGCGGCGTGCCCTTAATGGGAGATGCGATACGCGAGTGTTCCCCGTCAACCTCTCCGTGACGCCGTACGGGAAATCGAACCCGGCCCGGGCGGGTGACGGTGGCGCGGCGAGCGGTGCGGACCGTACCGTCGAGCTGCACGCCGGCCTGCGAGGAGCTGTCCTTGTCGAGCACCTGCCACACGCTAAACGGCTCCGTCGACGTGTCGGGCAGGATGCGCAGCATGAACGAGACCGTGTACTCCTGCGGCAGCCCCTCGGGGTGCAGCTCCCTGCAGCACACGCAGAAGAACCACAGAAATACACGGGGATGCACAAAGAGACACGGGGATGCGCGGAGAGACGCGGGGCTCTCTGTGCATCCCTGCGTCAGAGGAATGCCGAATGTCCAATGCAGGAATGGCAGCGAGCACCTGGTGGCCTGAGAGAGCATGGCGTCCTTGTGCAGGCGGAATGCCGGGAAGGCATTGAAGGAGCCGGGCTCCATGGACACGCCGCTCAGGGACGAGTACAGCTTGTCCACCAGCCCAAATGCCTCCATCATCTTGAAGCCTGCAGCAAGCAGCCCGGAGGGGCACACAGAGGCACAAAGGTGAAAATGGGAGAAGTCAGCGGCGCAGGCCCGTTTCCAGGCACCAGCGATAAAACTGGCGCCAAGAGCACGGGCCTTGCCAGCCAAGACGATTACATGACATGTGGCATCTCCACGTGGGGCTATTATCACAAATGACAAACTGTGGTTACTGTTCTTGGGAACTTCACTAATTGATTCCTCCAGAAATGTTGAGGACTCGGTCTCTAGCAGACACTCACCGTTTCATCACATCCACACTGCGGTCACCTCCGATTAGCACGGTTAGACACATACGGTATGAAAGAAGATCGACAAACATACAGACACTAGCATCTTTGCCCATCCTAGGACGGAAGCTGTAATATTTCCAAAAAATTGAGCAGAGTATAATTACGTCTTGTGTAAATTTCATCACGGTGAATCTTGCACGAAAGTATGTCATCAAACACTTAACTGCATTTAACTGTAGCACTGTATTAATGGCAGTGAATCTGGCACAAAACGAAGTCATCAAACACTTCACTGCAGTTCACTGTAGCACTGTATTAATGGCAGTAATTATTGCACGAAACTACGTCATAAAACACCTTACTTCATGTCACTGCAGCACTGTATATAACTGACCTTCAATTTGTTCAAATTCACTGCTCTGATACTTTATTCTCTTCTGCTTTCGGTTGCTGTGTTTAAAATAAATTGGAAATTGATACAATATCTGGAAAATCACTGAGAAATGTCTCCATAAAGAAGGGACAAGTTGCGTTATAAAATGTCCTTTGCGCCTAAACAAATTCAACAGCTTTAGGTGGAGTGCTCTGCGACTTACTTATTGTGGTGTGCTGGAGCTCGCCAGAGTAGCAAACAATTTGAATAGGAGGCAATAGTGGCAAAACAGCAAAGAAATGTTGATTTTAGCATAATTTGCAAGTGTAAAGTTGACCTTGCTATTGTTAGACGTGGCAAAGATATAAATGAAGGTAGAAAATGCAGTGGGATGTGGTGTGGAATAAATTGTCTGGTTAGCTCTAGATAAATTGGGGACAATGGACGTTAGAAAATGTCATTTGTGCCTAAACAAATTTTCATTTCTGCTCCACGTTTCTCCTTGCGGAGTGCCTTCAGTCGTTAACGTTGATTATTTCGCTGAATGTAATGGCGGGGAATATTTGCACAAAAAAAAATCATAAAACACTGTACTGCATTAGACTGCAGCACTGCATTGATGGCAGTGTTTGTTGCACGCAACAATGTGATGAAACAGCTGACGCAATTGCGCTGTGCCACTGCATTAAACGGACACTCAAAGACTTGAGGTGCAGTGCTCCGAGATGCAGTGATGTTCCCGTTTAGCTCACCAGAGTTGCAAACAATTGTAATTGGAGTCAATGGCCGCCAAGCAGCAGAAACATGTGGAGTGACATAATGACGCGGGGGGGGGGGGTACCCAATATGGAGTGACGTCAGCCGTTCATGATTATTAATGAGGAGGGGTAGGGGGGTGTCCATTTTCAGGACGGCACCTGCTAATGAATATTAATGAGGGGGGCTGGTCGACGTGGAGTGATGTCACGAGCATCAAGGACATTCCTGGGTGATTATAATAAGTCTTACACACTGCAGGTCACAACAACACTCACTCATCCAATCTCTCATTTACCGACTCACTAACCCACCCACTCATTCATTCATTCATTCACTCACGCACTCACCACACTGCAGGTCACCTTATTTCTCTTTTGGAATTCATCATTGTCGTCATCGTCTCCTTCCCCAAGCTCTTACAACAATAACCTTGCTCAATTCCAGACATGCGTTACACTCTTATCTATCGCGGCTTTCACAAAGGTGTTGTTTGTTGCTGGCCACTGTTGGGCCAGTGGTCAGCGACTAATTCTTGAAAGAATCCATCGTGAAGCGAGAGGGGGGCGGGGCACCGCACCTGCCACGGAGTATCCGTTGAGGTAGACTGGAGGGCAGGCTGCGGAGAAGACAGGGAACATGGACACACGCGCAGGCGTCACAATGCAGGGAACACGTGCAGGCGTCACAAGACGCCCCCCCCACGTCCCACATATGGGCGGCACGCGGCGACGCATGCTGCTGCGTCGCCGCGGTCGTTTGCGGTGGGGCGCCGGTGGCCCTGCTGCTGCGTGCCCACTGGAACGTGAAACTCCCTCCCTACCCGTGAGTATCGAGGTGGCCCTCTTCTGTCTTAGCAGCACAGTACGATGGCAGTACAGCAAGCGGGTTAATTTCCATCTTTTGTGTACTCTATCTTCTTAAGGCCACATCCGGGTGCTGGCCGCTTTCCCCCTTCTCTGTGGTTTTCCGCGCACCTCTGAATCACTCTCTCTTTCTGCGAGTGAACAAAAAACTGCGCGTGTAAAAAATTATATTAATTTCTTTCATGTGCATTTATACGAAGGGTGCACTTACTTGCAGAGGCCGCTTCACACATGAAGCCGATGAGCTCGTTCTCGATTTTCCTGAAATCGTCGAAGCTGTCGACGAAGAAGCGGTGCCGCTCACTGGGCCGGCTCGCGATGTTCGTCAGCTCTGCCACGTCGGCGTCCGCGATGCCGATAGAGAAGACGCTGTAGCCTGCGCCCGCGCCCGCGACCGCCACCACCACCACACAGAGAAATCCGTGTCCCCCTCATCTCTCCAGCTGCAGAAAGTGGCTCGAGCCTCCCCCCATAAAACACGCAGCTTCGTTGTGGTGACGCTCACTCGGAACCCCTCCCCTCTCCCCCACCACCGCCCACTGCGAAAACAGACTCCGCTCTTCCATACAGATCACCGCTGCTAGCTCCTTCCTTCTCTCCCGCTCTTCCCTCCCCCCTCATCATCACCCTTCAACCCCGACATCTTGGCCTGGTCATTAGTACTATGATGCCTCCCCCCCTTCCCCACCCCTCTCCCCCCCCTTCCTCACCCCTCCTCTCCCTGTCTGGTCTTTTTCACAACTGACTACACGACATCCAGAATACTACAGCTGGAACACCACAGCCAGTACACTCTAACTGGAACACTACAGCCAGTACAGGAACCAGGATTCCACAGTTGGAGCAATCGGAGCCGGACTGTGTTGTGGGGCACGTGGCCGCGCTTTCCCGGCAGCGCTTCCCAGACCACCGTGGCATGCCCCGGTACACCACGGCATGCCCTGGTACACCGCGGCATGCCCCGGCGCGTTCTGGCGCTCACCGGCACGCGCACCTCTCCTCCGTGCGCCACAGCGCAGCTGTCGATTTAGATTTTCCTCAACTCTTGGCAAAGTTGGAAACAAATTAAAGAAATACTTTCAACAAATCGCTTCCAACCGCCCACAATTCTAACAATTGCAGTTGTACTGCAGCCCAAAAGATGCATTTATTCGTCTTATGCCACCAAAAACAAAGCTCCTCCATACAGCCTTAGATTGTTGGAGTAAGTGCCGTTTGCGAACACTTATAAAAATCGGCACCGCACAGGAGCGGGCGGGTGTTCAGGACCATGCCCGGCCACCTTTGTCTCCCCAATTATGATGTTTACACACTGCACCACGTACTCAATTTAGAGCTGAATTGACTTCGAGGTGGCTCAGTACCAGTGCGGAAGTGTAAAACATGAGCACTGGGGGGGGGGGGGAGATGACAAAGATGGACTGGCGTGGTGTTGGCCACCCACCCCATTGTGTGCCGTGCCGGCCTTCATCTTAGGTGCTCGCTAGCAGCGTATGACCCAACAGTCTTTTCAAGGATATGTGGGCGATCCTTGCTGTTGTTGCTTAGAATAACCCATGTGTGTGCGTGCGTGCGTACCCTCATGCTGTACGCCCCTGGTGAAGCGCGAGTGTTTGTTTGAATACGTATGTTCGTGTAGAGACATGTGTGCACGTGCTTGTAGACATGCGTGTGTGTGCACGTGTGCGTGTGTGTGCACGTGTGTGTGTGTGTGTGCGTGCGTACCCTCGTGCTGTACGTCCTTGGCAATGCGCGTCACCTCGTCCTGCGAGCGCCCATCCGTGATGACGACGAGCAGCTTGGGAACGCCGCGGCGCATCCCAGACTCCGACACGAACATCTCCGTGCGTGCGTGCTTCATGGCCCGGCCTGGGGGGTGACCAACTCACCGGTCATTCAGTGGACATGTGGTTTGTCTTGTTAGTTATATAGCAAGCATGATTAGGCAAGTGGCCAGAATTGTGAACATCTGCTCCAGTCTTGGGCCTTGAGAAGGAGGCGTGGTTTCATCAACATGCCCCTCTACAGGGTGATGGCGTCTCCACTCGCTATGTTGCCCAATCCGCGTGCCCCCCTTTGTGTATGTGCAGTTCACACGAGTGAACATCCACACACATCCATCTCCACACGCCACCTTTGCGGACACTTCAACACTTGGGAGGATGCCCACCAAGGAGCTGGAGCACTGAGAGCTGATGCTCGTGTGCAGGAGCGAGGTGGATTGTTGCATCACGTGACCGTGAGAGATGGCGACGGCTTGATGATGAGGGCTTCATCCAACAATGGATAGATCATCGCTGCTACTGCTGATGATGCTGATGATGTGACTGTGGCGTCTACTGGTGAAGGGAGTTGTGGGTTATGAACTGGATCAATACGAGCTCTGCTTGCTAGAAAACGAGGCCCTGAACGTGGCATGAGGATGTAAAAAGCCAAACATCTCCATTGAGCAGAACAAAGATCAACAAGCAGAGTTTACACAACGGCAATGAACTTTAGGAGCACTGCAGCTCACCACGCTCTACCGCATCGCATGTTGACATCCAGCCGCTCTTACAGAAATAAACACCACACTCGTGACCTTCATTGGCATTGGCAGCGCAATGGTGAGTGGCGCACTGGGCTCGCAACCCCGGGGTCAATGATTCGATTCTATCTCCCGGCGCGGAAATCAGAACAATTCTATGGAGCAAGTTTCTCATATCTCCCCCCCCACCCATCCCCCTGGCAGAACGTGCGGGACGCGGGGGACGCCAGCGGACGCGGCTCGTCTCGCGTTTCCCTGCCCTGGCGGCGCTCAGCCGAGCCCGCAACCACGAAGTCATCTTCCAACAACTCCCAGAGAGGAATGGCGCGAAAATGGTGCCAAGGCGCTGTCTTTTGTTATTCAAGCATTTACAGAGTTTGCTTGGGGGAAGGGGGGGGCGGTGCGAGTCGTGGGACTCTCGACGTTCCCTGTCCACACACGAACCTCCGGCTGAGCACGACGCCAGGACCAGCTCGGCCCACGTGCGGTGCCACCCGTGGTCCCTTGCAAGCCCTGACCCCTGACCCCTGCTACCATCCACACCTCTCATTCACACAGTTGCTGAGCACAGGCCAAAGGCACCAAGTGGCCAGCAAATAACAGCACTGTCAAAGTTTTCATTGGTAAAAGTTATAGATGCCCATAGACACAGAGACATAGCAGGCAGGGTTGTTACTAGGTGGTCTATAGTTAAAAAAAAGTCTTCTTCTTAGTTCTTTCGGTAAAGTCACGTAGAAGGGAAATAATAAAATAATTCTCACTATTTATTATTTTTATTATCTTATTATTTCTCTTCTACGTGACTTTACCGAAAGAACCAAGAAGATGAATCCCTGCAGTCACAAAAGCTTTAAATCGAAATAAAAAAGTCTTGTATAGAGACCCAGAAACTCACATAAGAACGCATAAACTTACACAGAAACCCACTGGCTCACTTAGACAAGCCATATACTGTCATAATTTCGAAACTCATAGACTAACATAGAGACCTGTAGTGCTACATAGAGATCCATGAACATAGAAACCACACACTGCCATAGACAGCCATAGACTTATGGACTCACTTAATATAACCCACAGACTCATGCCGGGATAGATTGTTGCCCCCTCAAATGCGTCGGTTTTCTCCGGCTGTTCCGGTTTCCTCCCACATGTATAACAAGCACCCATCATTAATTGGTTAAATGATGACGCTCTAAATAAACCCAACTCAATATTACATTTGTTACGGGAGTTGTGGCTAAGCGGGATGGGGGGTGTTGGTCGCACCTGTCTTAGTGTTGCCCCCCTTGTAGCGGACGTTGCGGATCCCGTCGAGCAGAGACTCCCGGCTGCGGTGAACGTTGAGGTTAAACTCGGTGCGCGCGTCGTCGCTGAACTGGGCCATGGCCACCTGAAGGGCACGCCGTGGCACGTCGTGCGGTGACAAGTCATGCCGAGGCATCATCGTCGTGACCAAGATCATCACTGTCTGGCATCTCTGATACCGCACCTGCCACGCAGCAGTACACCGCGTCACGCCACGCCACACGGCGGTGCACCACACCACGTCACGTCACACCACACCACGTCACGTCACACCACACCGCGTCACACCACACCGCGTCACACCACACCGCGTCACACCACACCGCGTCACGCCACACCGCGTCACGTCACACCGCGTCACACCACACCGCGTCACACCACACCGCGTCACACCACACCGCGTCACGCCACACCACGTCACGTCACACCGCGTCACACCACACCGCGTCACGTCACACCGCGTCACACCACACCGCGTCACACCACACCGCGTCACGTCACACCACACCGCGTCACACCACACCGCGTCACACCACACCGCGTCACACCACACCACGTCACACCACACCACGTCACGTCACACCGCGTCACACCACACCGCGTCACACCACACCGCGTCACACCACACCGCGTCACACCACACCACGTCACGTCACACCGCGTCACACCACACCGCGTCACACCACACCGCGTCACACCACACCGCGTCACACCACACCACGTCACGTCACACCACGTCACATCACGTCACACCACACCACGTCACGTCACACCACACCGCGTCACACCACACCGCGTCACACCACACCGCGTCACACCACACCGCGTCACACCACACCGCGTCACACCACACCGCGTCACACCACACCGCGTCACACCACACCGCGTCACACCACACCGCGTCACACCACACCGCGTCACACCACACCGCGTCACACCACACCGCGTCACGCCACACCGCGTCACGTCACACCACGTCACGTCACACCACACCGCGTCACACCACACCGCGTCACACCACACCGCGTCACACCACGTCACGTCACACCACACCGCGTCACACCACACCGCGTCACACCACACCGCGTCACACCACACCGCGTCACACCGCGTCACACCACACCGCGTCACACCACGCAACGGCACAGCATTGGCGACGAGCCGAGCGGGCGGCGAGCGGCAGCGTACGGCCGCTACGGGCCCTCACCTGCGTGCCGTGCGGGCCGATGTTCTCCAGCGCGCCCGCCAGGCTGCCCAGGAACCTCATGACCTTGTGAAAGTTGTCGTCCCCGATGCTCCACGAGCCGTCCACCAGGAAGACGAGGTCGGCGCGGGCCGAGCGGCACTCTGAGTGCACCCACGCAGACAGAGATGCCCCCGTGACCGATCCACTCCGGGCACTCGCTTGCTCACTGGTCACCAGTCGCCTCTTTGTCGCTCTTCAATTGCTAGTGCTGCAGTTTTTGTGACCCTAAACTTCACTCGCCAATTCCTCCTGCTGTGTTGAGGACTCAGTCTGCTAATCACCGACTGCTTTGACTCGTCCCCAGAGTTGCAGCCACTACACTGCAGGCCACAACACTTCTCTTTCTGCTTCTTCCCTCACACTGCTCCACCTTGGAATGCCCTCCAATTACTATCCATTTCCACCAACCTCTTGCAATAAATAACCGATCTCAATTCAAGAGACATGTTATACCATTATTTATTACAACATTGATGGTGCTGATTGTTGCTGGCCACTTGTCACTTTGGGCATCGGGGCCTGTGCTGAGTAACAATGAACCCAGTTTACAGGGGCAAGCAAGGGCACATGAAGAGAAATACAAAGATGCCCCATATACCTTTAATAATTAATTTGCTGGGGCAAGTGGTGTGAGTTGACACCTATATAAATGCTGACACGGTACACGAGTGGGTGAGTGGCCTGTACCACACCTTTGTCTCCCCAGTGCCAAGGTTTACACCCCACACCAGGTACTAATTTGTGGTTGAGTCGGCCTAGGGGAGGCCCAGGACCGGTTCAGATAATCGTCACTGGTGTTGGCCGAGAGAGAAATCGAACTCGGGTCGCCGGGTTTGCAGCACAGCGCACTAACCGCTACACTACTGCTCCCCACGCATATATATGCGCACACACACACGCGCGGAGAATATTTATGAATGCATATATACATATAATGAGCCTGTAGAAATTCTTTGGCAGTGAGCTGCAATCTGGGTTTGTGGGGTTTGTAGCGCAACGCACTTTACTACTCGCCACCACGAGGGCACGCACACACACACATGCACGCATGCACGCATGCACACACACATATGCACGCATGCACGCACACACGAACACACGCACAAACGCACACACGAACGCAGGATCACCTTCGCGAGGCTGCGGGGCGGTGGTGGGAGGAGCCCCGATGGGCGTCGTGTAGGGAGCCTCGGTCACCACGGAGCCTGGTCCATCACAAACACAAAGCGATAACAACAATCATAATCATCGTAACATTGTCAACTCACAATGCGCCGCCGCCGCAGTGTTCACTCACTCGTGTAACGAGAGGACAACTCAGAAGTGTGAAGAAAAAGACAAGCAGGGAAGCAGCCACGCGACGAGCCGGTGCCAATGATTGTCCAAGCTCTGCGGTCCTCTATATATTAAGGTGTTATCGACCAATTACATGTGGGAGGAAACCGGAGCACACGGAGAAAACCCATGCATGCAAGGGGGAAACACTCTATCCCATGCAGAGAGAACAGGTGGAGACCATATTTTTGCCATGCCACCTTCTCCTGGCAAGCTAGGGTACAGCATCTCCTCGATGCCCACTGGTAGGAAAATAACTTCACAGCCATCTGTGCAGTGATCCGCCAACTCTCACTGCCGCCTCCACAGTGCTGGATCGCAGGCCACCTGTGTGCCACCAGCACCTGGCAACGTGAGGAGCTATCATGGATCACGTGACGCGGCCCATCATGAGCCTGTATCGAGTAGGTAACACTGCCGCGAGCTGGCGCAGCCCTGGTGGTGACGCAGCTCGTGGTGATAGTGGTGGTGATAGTGGTGGTGATAGTGGTGGTGATAGTGGTGGTAGTAGTGGTGGTGATGGCGGTGCTCGTGTTGGCAGTGCGACACCGTTGCTGGTGCCAGTGCCGCATGTGGGTCGTGCCGCGCCACTCACGTGTCCGCTGCGTGACGTTGACGGCTGGGCCCTCCGCCTCCCGCACCTGCGCGTGGACGCCGACGCGGTACTCGGTGCCAGGCAGCAGCTCGTAGTAGCAGTGCGCGTTCACGCTGGAGGACAGCGTCACGTCCTGCTGGGGACCGCCTGAGGCCAGCAGCAACACCCAACAACTCAACTCCACTCAATTCTGCACCATACACATCTCAACTCCACTCTATCCCGCACCATACACAAGAGCATTATTGATGCTCATGCCCTGTTGAAAGGCGGGCAGGGGCAATGGTGGACGTTACAATTTTCTGTTGAACACGTTGGCTTTCGCGATCAATATCATCCATAAGATAGGTTTTTTTTACGGGATCTAACTAAAAAACTATATTATGAATTACACGTTTCTATGGCGGGGGCAAGCCTATCTATATGATAACAGCTGTTGAATTCCTTACAAAGCTGCACACATTTCGTCGATGCTCATACCGGCGACAGTTTGATTTGGCAGGCTGTGTCGAGTGGTGGAGGGTTGAGACACAAATTTGGCCAGATCAAAATGCGACCTAACCCAGTGTGGTTTAGAGTAGTTTAATTGGTGGTGGTGCAGTGGTAACACTTGTGCCTCAGAGCAAGAAGGACCTCTGTTCGATTGCAGACGATAGTGATGTATTAAAGTTGTATAGCTTGTCCAATGATTCTTAATACATTTATTGGGTTAGGCTATGTAATAACCTGGCCAAATTTGTGTTGTGTAAATCTGCGCTACCAGACACAGCGAAACCAATTAAATTGTCACTAGCGCAGGCTTTTATTTAATGTGCCAATTATCATTGTTCCAGCTGTCCATGATTACTGCATGTGGCGGTAAGAATTGTTCTCGTGAGCGTGACCATTTAACTTGATTGGTCGTGCCAGGTAGTGGAGGGTTACACGACCACCACGTGGCCCAGCCCAAAATCATCCATTACGAATCCTGACACTGGCTGTGCTCGTCCGACCGATGTCTGTGACCACGGTGCCCACAAATCATCTCTGGCACCTCCGCTGAGAGAGCTTTGCAGGAGACAGCGGTGAAGGATGCGAGGCTCATGGCCCCAAGGGGCCTGAGAGGCCGGAGGCCGCCCCAAGGATATTTTCTCAAGTGGCCGAGCCAAGGTGGGGGGCTGGGGCCACGTGATGGGGTGATGCCCCCTCCCCCAGACCCCCTACCCCTTGAGACCAAACAAATTGGAATTGATATTTTAGCAGAGCATATCAATGCAGGGCCCTATTTTAAAAGCTCGTGCTCTCACTCAAGAAGAGCTATTAGGGCCACACGCTCACAGGGCAGTTATCGAGTTGTTGTGTTGGTTGTGCTGGTGCACCACTGCCAACACGACGACATTGTTGGCAGCATCGCCAGGCGATTCGTTGAGGGTGCGAGGTGTCACCTAGAGCTTCCTGCAGCACGACGCGGTACGCAGTGGCGTCGCGCTGGGGTTGCCACTCGACGCAGAACCCCGTGGCTCTCACATCGTACACGAAGAGGTGGTTGATGCCCAGGTGCCCTGCGAGAAAGAAGCGGGGACGGAGACGCGGGGCACGCCAGTGACGCCCAGCCGGCACAACGCGGAGGAGCGCAGTAACGGAGTGCGTGCCTTACGACGAACCCGGATTCGACTCCTGCCACGGATAGCCTAATATCGGTCCCGCACCTCCCCTCTGGAGTAAACAGACCGTCGCGCTATGAACCAAGCAATCCGAGTTTAATTCCCGCTCAGGTAGACTCGGCATTAAATGAGTACCCGATGTGTGGTGTGAAAACAGCATCACTGCGGAGTTAAAGGTGGCCGGGCATGGTGCTGGCCACCGACCCCTTCATGTGCTGTGTCGGCCTTCAGAGGCCCTATTCGCGAACAGCACTCAGGGCCACCACGGGCTGGGTGGCCAGATGAAGGAAGTCGAAAGTGATTTCCTGCTCAATGAACATGGACGCAGCGGTACTCATCTCCTGCTGGCAGCCCCCAGGCAGTGGCAGACATTCCTCTCTCTTATGGTGGAGGTGCGCATGTGTGGGCTCGTGCGTGTGTCGGCTCGTGCGTGCGTGTGCTTGCCCAAATGTGTGTGCTCTCGTGCGTGTGTGCGTGCGTGCCCCTACGTGTGCGTGCGAGCCCCGTGAGTCCGACGCTCTCGCCCGTGCTGTAGGTGGCGTGCACGTGGGCACTGTACTCCGTGCCGGCGCGCAGGCCCTGCAGCAACACCGAGCTGACGCCCGCTCCCACCAACAGCACCTTCTCCTCGCCTCCCGCTGCGCACGCGCGCGAGTGTTGTGCATGTGTTTGGGTGTATGTGTACGAGTGTGCGTGTGAGTGTGTTTGTGTGTATGTGTGCAAGCGAGTGTGCATGTGAGTGTGTACGTGTGCGAGTGAGTGTGCGTGTGTTTGTGTGTACGAGTGTGCGTGTGTTTGTGTGTATGTGTGCAAGTGAGTGTGCATGTGAGTGTGTACGTGTGCGAGTGAGTGTGCGTTTGTCAGCACGTGTGTGCAAGGGACACAGACATGTACGGGGAATGAGGGCAGGGATGCGTTCCACGATGTTTCCTGCTGCAAATCGTCACACAAACGACGCCTTGGCGTCCCACCGAGGCAGGGAGCCAACGCAGCGGCAAGACCACCGCAGGACGACCACGGTGGAGCCCAGGGTGGTGGAGCCCAGAGTGGTGGAGCCCAGGGTGATGGAGCCCAGGGTGGTGGAGCCCAGGGTGGTGGAGCCTCGACATCGAGCACGGCCACAGGGGGGCTCAACTGTTATCAACCTGGCCGAGGTTATTTCTGTTTGCTTATGAACGCATTCCACCTGGGTAATCCCTTGAGATGGAACATCTCGTTTGCAAAGTTGCCCAGGGTGTTGATTGCCAGTCCCCTCCTTACCACTATTCTTTTGCAACTACCACCATGATTACTATTGCCGAAAACTTCACTCCTCTAGCAGACACCGACTACTTCGTCGCATCCACACAGTGTTCAACCACCACAAGACACAAAAACAGACTCACCCACCCACTGGCCACACTGTGTTCAACCACCACAAGTCACAAAAACAGACTCACCCACCCACTGACCACACTGCACTTCTCTTTCTGCTTCTTCCCTTGCACTGCTCCGCTTCGGAATTTCTTCCAATAATCGTCCCTTTTCCCCAACCTCAAGAAATGTATTCACTCATATATTTAAACTGTGATAGTGCTGTTTGTTTCGAGATGCTTGAAGTTTTTGGTAACTGGGTTCTGTGCTCATCAACTGTATTAAAAAAAAGTATTCTGAAACAAGCGTCATGACTGCCACAGCACCGGGTGGGCACAGGCCAAGGAGCAAACCCGCTCGGCGTGATTCACACGGGGGTCACGGGGGTCACGGGGTTAGAGGGGGCGCTCTGCCGGAGTGACCTGCACCTGCGGACGGCCAAGACCAGCGGGGAGGGGAAGGGAGCAGTGGGGGAGCCGCGACCAGAAAACTGTTAACGGCTCCTCCGAGTTGATCTGAGTTACGCTCCTAAAGACGCCGGAATGAAAGGTGATCACTCCTCCCAGGCGCTCGCTCTAATCGCTTGGCGAACCGGCGCTCACGGTACTGCCTGGTGACGATGCCCCCACCCAGGCTTCTGGGCTCACCCCTCGTTCCCTCCGCGTTTCTGACCCGCGTGCCAAAGCCGTGGGATTGCAGCGATCGAAACACCGCAAGCTCGAGAGCGTGCGCAGAGAAACGAGTAGAGGTGGGAGATGGAAATAGGGGCACCTGGACCGAGGAATGGGCTGGAGCGATAGAGGCCGCATTACTCAGAACGCAGAGCGGGTCGGCGTGAGACTCATCGTGGCCAACAGGGACGACGGCCCATCAGTGAGACGTCGTGGAATGGCAGCTCATGGAGAAGACACACTGGAGATGACGGCCACCGTGGAGATGCAGAGATGTGGTGAGCTCATGTACAGGAGCGATATGGATTGTGGTATCGCAGGACTGTGAGAGATGGGGATATCGTGGGCAGACCTTCATCCAGCGGCGGATAGACCATGGCTCACAATGATGATGATGTACCAGTTGAAAGGGTAAAAACCTATTACTAGATGATGATGAACGTTTACATGTCACTTGCCGCGAATGTTTCAAGAGAACCTGGCTAAACTGATGAGACACTGATTGTCAAAGCTGGTCCATAGTTTGTCCTGTGTTGAACCAATGCTGCTGAAATGATGCACTCCTAGACATAGGTCCGTGATGGGATGTGTAAAATAATACTTTTATATATTTATGTGGAGGAACAGATATGGGAAAGAGGCAAATATTTTTCAGAAATGAGCAAATCTCCAGGCTAGTTCTACACCGACGCTGACAGTGCACATGTGGGGGTTGTGTGTGTGCACGTGTGTCTTGCGCGGGGATTTTACGTGTGTGTGTATCTGTGTATGGAGGGAGAGCATGCGTCCGTGTGTGCTGTTTCTACTGTATGTGCGTGCATGCGGTTCCTATGTGTGTGCATACTTGTGCGTGTGTGCATGTGTATGTATGTGTATGTATGTGTATGCGTGGGTGTCTGTGCGCTCGCGCGAGCGTACAAAAGATGCGATGCGGAGCACTGGCCCTCTGCGAGTAACCCGACCCCTGTTCTGGACTCGCACCGGAACTCCCATGGTGCGGCACAAATCGGTCATGAGCCGGCACGGCAGTCTCCGAGATGAAGAACCTCACCCCAGCGCGGAGTGGGCTGCTCAAGCGGGGGGGGGGGGGGGGGGAGTTAAGAAGCTTGTGCCAATGTGTAAACTACTGTGCCGAGAGATGGAATCGAACCAGCCACCATCTGGATTAGGGCCACAACTTCTGCGCCACTGGGAACTGTCTCCTGGCAGGAGCCTGCAACGGTGCCGATGGAAAGTGGGTCAGACGGGTGCGGCAGCAGCACGGGGGATGTCCCACGTCTCGCGGCCACGCGGGGAGGGGGGGGAGATTCTCAGCGGTGCGGCCGCCGAGTGACCTCAGCTGACGTCAGGGGGAAACTATGAGCGGTGATTATAATGAGCGCTTCGAGTGGCGAATGAGATCATGACACAGAGAGGGAGGGGGGGCGGTCGAGCCAAGTGCCGGAGCCGGGAACGCCGGTCCCACGTTCACGCTTTAAACGCCGCTTCTGAGTGCAAGCCCAAAGGGCCACGTTAAGCGGCCAGCAACAAACAGCACTTTTACTGGAACCGATGACGGTGTCACACGTTTCTTGAGTTTGAGCAAGGTTATTGGGGATAAGAGAGGAGCTGTGGCAAGGAGAAGTAGGAAGATAAGTGAGGTGTCCTGCAGTGCGGGGAGTGAGTTGGTGAGTGAGTGTGTGAGTGGGTGAGTGTGTGGGTGAGTGGGTGAGTGAGTAGGTGAGTGTCTGGGTGAGTGGGTGAGTGTGTGGGTGAGTGGGTGAGTGAGTGTGTGAGTGGGTGAGTGAGTGGGTGGGTGAGTGAGTGGGTGAGTGAGTGTGTGAGTGTGTGGGTGAGTGGGTGAGCGAGTGTGTTATTATGACCTACAGTGTGGTGACTGAACAGTAGGTTCTCGCTCACACCACTATAGTGCGAAAGAAGTTCAACATACATAAATAGATACTAGATTGAAAACGAATCTCTTTAGAACCGATTTGTGTTTAGTTTGTTGTCCTTCCCCTGCACCTTCGATAAGCACGGTTGGCTCCGTAAGGTGTGACTGAAGTTCAAGTTCGACATATATATACATACACACATACATACGCTTGCACGCAGAGTGCATCCCTGTGTGGCTGATGCTTATCATTGCCACTGCTAATTACATACAATTAAGGACAAACATGTGTGGAGCATACGTGTGCATGCTTCACACGCGTCTCTCCTACCTACGACTGGCTGCACCACCTCTCTCTGGGTGCAACAAACACGCCCACGGTGTCCGCCCAGCGCCTTCACAAGGCATCACATTAATACGCCGCTGTACTAATCTGCACTGTTTTCTATTGTACTCTTGGCGGCCCTGAGCCAATGTTCGAAAGTCCACATTCCTATGACAGGGATAGGTCTATCGACAGGCAATGGGTGCTGCTGTGAGTTTAGTAGAAATTCCACATTCCTATGGCAGGAGCAATCCCTCCACGGGCGCCGGGCGCTGCCGTGAGTGCAGCGCGCGTGCGGTGCGCACCAGAGGGACGGTGCACGACGCGGAATCCCAGCACGGAGGAGTCCCCAGGGACCTCCCAGGAGAGACGGAACCGGTCGTACGACTCCTCGGACACGTGCAGGTTGCTGGGAGCCGCCAGGCCGGCTGCAAACACACAAAGACAAAGGTTCCCCGTGTCGCCTTTGACAGACTGGTGGGGTAAGTGCTGTTAGCGAGCACCTGTTCAGGCTGGGAATTGTGACCCCACCTATCCCCCCCCCCGATCCACCCAGCGACCGACCTACCCGATGATGAGCTAACGTCGACTCTTTCCTTAACGAGGTGGAACGAGGAGGGCTTGCCTGTGGGCATCTTGCTTGTGGGCATCTTTGGCGTGGCTGCAGCGGCTCCTCGTGCAACTGCCAATGACAAAGTGCAACAGGCTTGGTTACTGCTGCCACTTAACAACGCGACCGGCTCCGCTCTCACCCAGCTGCTCCCCTGCGCTCTGCCACGCGGCCCGTGTCCCGGGCTCCTACAATCATAGTTTTGTTTAGACTTTCTTAATAAGCAAAAAAAATATGTACAGTATTTTAAAGTTACCGCCAAGCGGCTCTTTATGCTGGTGACATCACCACAACGTCACTGCCAAGTCCTTGACGAGTTTTAATTGGACGTTGATGCAGTCTCCTGACGGGGCGCCTGAAAGTCAATGTAAGGCTTTTTTCCTCACCAATGTGGTTACAAGCATAAGAATCACAACGATTTTTGGATTAGGCCACGTAATTATTTACTCAAATTTATGTCATAAGAACCTCCACCACATGACACAGTCAAACAAACGAACGTGCCACATGTACAGGCTTCAAATGCTCGTGTACACGGGGGGCAATTACATTTATTTGTCGACATCGGATGGTGGAGGGGATTAACGACAAATTTATCCAGATCATCACATGGCCCAATCCAAAACTTTAAATTAAAAATCCTAATATTTTCTGCGAAAACCAACCAGTTAAAAGGTTCTTAGTTACGTTTTTATTATTTCCCCCGCATCCACGCAAGCATGCGGTATATTTACTCAATGTGTGCGCCGACTCCAAACCCGTCACACATTCCGGCGCTGCACCGCAAGCAGGTGGCCTGCAAGCAGTTAGCGCGGTGTGTTGGCGGCGAGCCTGCGGCGCCGGCGACGGCCGTTTGTCTTGGCCGAGACACGTCGCGCGTTCCGCTCCCGGCACCTCGGACCGCTGCCAACGTCAGGAAATGCCAGCGAAGCTGCGCCAAATTGCCAAATCATAATGCCGAATCCTAACTCCGAATCTGAATCCTAGCGCCGAATCCTAACTCCGAATCTGAATTCTAGTGCTGAATCCTATCGGCCTCTGCGCTGCGAGAACCCCCACCCTACCCAACCACCGTGTCCTTCCTCTGTCTCGGCTAAGGAACATTGTCCGTGTCACTCATCTGGCTGAGGAGTCATCGAGGAAGCTTGGATTTCTTGTCCATGGCAGTGCCTTCGTCTTTAACTTGGATAAATGATCACAGCTGCTGCTGCTGCTGCTGCCACATCTGGGGTGGAGTCTTCAGTCCCTGCCTCACTGCTGCACCCAATAGGGTTTAGAGTGCAGCAGCAGTTGGGTCCAAATTTGACAAATTAGAAAAAAAAATCAAATGGCATCGCATACAGCAGCAACAACGCCCCCTCTTGTCAAACTACTACACATCTGAAACACAACAGTGCCTTCAGGACGATAGCCTTGCGCCTTTGGAATGAATTCCAAATGTACTAAATCATCATTATTAATCGATGGTGCAGACATCCGCGTGCCTACCTCTGAGTGCTCCTGAAACGGAGCAATCGTAACCTGCCCCTGTGCTCGTGGCGTCACCGGGGATCAATCTCTGACAAAATATTCTCCACGTCGCTGGTAGACTGAGACGTGGCACGTAATTAGTAGCCACGGCCATGACTCACGGTAGATTGGATGCGGTGTGCCGGGTGTGGGAATAGTCTCCACGTCACTAGTTAGACTGGAGGCGGCACGCGACGAGTCGGTTCTCAGTAAACGCTAAACACGTTGTGTTTGTCGCTCTGGACATTTCTGTTCAGCGGCATCGGTTCAAGCGAGTCTAACTCTACCAATGACCCACTGAAGGTGTGAACCAGTGCAGAGTTTTGCTTGAGTTGAACCAATGCTGCTTAAACAATTCATTGCCAGAAGGCCGTGCGGCCGATGGATGGTGTGAAAGATGAAGATCAACCCATATCCCCCGCCCCCTACACAGCCGCCCACGCCCCCCACCCCTCCACACTTCGCTTGCCGTGGAGACGTTTTTCCAAAAGTGGGACAGAAGGCAGTCTGCCTCACGTGATTCGACACAAGCAAGGGAACATCTGGCACTCGTGAAAGGGAGGCTTCTTCATTCAGTTGCAACCCCACACGGCAGTGGTTGGGCCATGGAAAAACCCGTCACGCCATACGAACGTGGAATGTTCAATACGCGATGCCTATTTGGGAAGCATAACACTTTGATGTGAACCTCGACAAAGCCTCAGCTCACTCATAGCTACTATCACCCACAGCCCCGCTCACCCACAGCCTCGCTCACCCATAGCCCCATTGCTCACCCATAGCTCCACTCACCCACGCACATGAGGCTTCACTGTGCTTTTGACGGTGGCACAGCAATGTTACCAGAACCCTGACGATTCCCCAATGTGAGGTCGACAGTAGTGCTTGTACAGGGGTGGGGAAGGTGGTGGTGGGGATAGTAATGACGGTTAGTGGTGCTGGTAGTGGTGGTGGTGGTGGTGAGGATGGTTAGTGGTGGTGGTAGTGGTAGTGGGGATGGTTATTCGTGCTGGTAGTGGTGGTTGGGGGTTGGAAAATAGGTGGGAGGCTTCCTGGGCTCATGATCGTTGGCGCCCCCCCCCCGCCCCCCCAGGGCACGGGAAGCTGAGCGAGCCAAAACCAACAACCCCACGGCTGCCTCCAGACTCCCCACCCAATGGGAGAAGCGCTTCTGTGCATGAAAAAGTAAAATTTGAAAACATTTCAAATGGTCGCCCAATGCAGATTCTTTCCCTGCTCATCTCCGTGCCAGTAGTTGGTGAGAACGAGCGTCGGCACCGCCTCCTGCCACGCATTGCTGGGGAGTCTGGGATCCGTCTCCCACGTGCCGCAGCCCCGGTGAGCTGCGGGGTTTGGAGCAGGCCGATTGTAAGAGAGCTTTTCTCAAGTGGCATGTACGCGGACATGCCCACGGGCATCTGGAACTTGCGAGTGCATGCAAACAGGAGGGGGGGGGGGGACCCACGCGTCACCTCGGTGACGGGCGGCACTTGGCCCTCATCGAACTCGGACACGGCGGAGAAGTGCAAGTTCTGAGCTCCGGACATCGGCACTGACCATGCACAATCCGCGTGACAACAACGAATATCAACACTGCACACACACCGCACACACCACATACACCGCATACACACGACACACACACCACACACACACACACCGCACACACACCGCACACACACCATGCACACACACCGAGCACACACACCGAGCACACGCATGTCCTGATTGGACAGACCATCCCTGCCTTCGTCTCAATCTCCCTACGACTGCCACTGCTGCAGGTACAGCACTCAGCACAAACCCGGCTTCAGCTGACCTCCTGCTGCTGACCTCCTGCTGCTGCTGCTACTTCGTCTGGCCTGCTGCGCCCAGTCCCTACCTCACTGCTGTACCAGACAGGATGCAGGGTGCAGCAGCAGTCAGGGTGATTGATGACCCAGCACTCATCAAATCACTCCGGTCACTCGCTCACTCATCACGGGTGAGGGAGGAGGAGACGGGAGGGAGGGAAGTAGTGGAGCGAGTGAGATGTCTGGAGCGAAATGAGAGGGGAAAGGCAGGAGAGTGAGGGGTGAGAGTTCAACCTCAAGTTGTTTTTGTGTAACCAGGTGAGAACTCTATAGAGGCCAGTAGAGTGACCTGAAGGTAGAGGAGGAATGAAGGGAGGGTGGGATGGAGGTGGGGGGATGGAGGGAGGGGGCGATAGGAAGAGGGACCCACGCGTGGTCTCCTGGCCAGTGAGCGGGTCGCTCGCCTCCTCGCCGTACATGGCGTACAGCGTCACCGTGTACTCCGTGCTCGGCGTCAGTCGGCTCAGCTCGATCTCCGTGAACCCCGCTCCCACTTTTTGCTGCCGATGGTGGTGAAGGGGCGAAGGCACCGAGGTGGGGGGGGGGGTCACAAGGAGAAGAGAGCAGAGATACAACACTTCACAAAAGGACTAAACGAACGGAGCAACGACGACTCCAAGATGCCACTCGTCACACTTAGCGAAAGTTATGGCACCACAGTGCTTGTGTTAGGTTAAGTGCACTTTGAGGCCATCATGTAGAGACTGACTGAGATTACTGAATGTGACCGCATGCCAAGGTGCTCTGCAGGAACGGTGAGCGCGTTGGCGACTCGGACTGCCAGACACTCACTGCCTCGTCTTGTCCACCACGTAGTGTTCAACCACAACCACCACTACCACCACCACATTGCAGGTCACAACAACACTCTCTCTCACTCACTCGCTCACTCATTCACCCATCAACTCACTACACTGCAGGCCACCTCAATTCTCTTTCTGTTTCTTCCCTTTCACCGATCCACTTTGGAATCATCATCATCATCATCATCATCAACTCTCTTCCTCAGCTCTTCCGGCCGAGTCACCCTTGAAAAATAGCTCAATGGGCTTTACTTGGAAAATAAACTTCTCTTTCTGAATCACCTTAAACACCCGCCGGCTCAACCTGGGGTGCACGTGCACTGCTGCTGCTATCGCCCTCCGCTCTTCAACCGCCAAGTGTTGCGCAAGCACTAGGCTCAACTGCGCGCACCGTTGCATGGACGACGCTATGAGTCACCCCACTTCCTCGGCTGCCGGTTCCTCGAGGTAGCGTCGTGAGGAATGATCTCATCCAAATATTGAGAACCCCTTCCTCATTGGCGACCCCGCTGCTGTTCGTCTCCCTGGTCACGGGCCCTGCTGCTCAATGGGGTCTGGGCGTCCATGTGCGGCCACCCTCCCTGCACATTCGGGGCCGTCGCGACCACCGCCCACTCTGGCTGCACTCAGCGCCAGGCCGGGTTGTCGCTCATTGTCGACGGATGGCCCCTGACCGGCCCCACCCTCCCTCCACGCAGCCAATGAAGTGGCTGGTGCCTGGCTCAGCAAGATGAGCGGACGATATATAATAATCTTTATCAATTGAAAAAACCTGTTGCACTCTTTTATGGTGCTGTTTTTTGCTGGCTGCTTGGCGTCTTGGGCCTTTGATCTTGTGCCTGTCAACTTTGTTGGTAAAATCCCCCCCCCCCCACTGTGGTTGCTCAGTGGCCCCCTTACACGCAGTGCCAGATAAGAGATCATCGCCATTCCACAAGCAACATTCCGTTAACATTGCTCAGTTTCTTACAGCGAAACCACGCGGAAGCAAACCCGAGTTGTAAACACGCTTAAATGCCCAATGGCAGGCAGGGGACGCTGGGAGATGTAGACACTTGGAATGACACTGAAAGACGGGATTGGGAACATGTGGATCAGAGAGCCAACGCCAATGTTGCCCTGGCTCTCTGGGCATGATGCGTCACTGGAGGTCGGAGCTTGAGACTAACAATGGAGCGGCAGCCAAATGAGAGAGCACGCGTCCACCATTAAGATGGAGCGATGAAATCAGCTGATGCGTAGGAGCTCAGTTGCATCACGTGGCCATGGGAGATGGTGGCGGTTTGGGGAGTCCTTCGTCCAGCAGTGAATAGAGCATGGAGTGCGATGATGGTGGTGGTGAGATTGTGCACCTCCTTGGCATCACCCTCCTCTCCGCCCGCGTTGGCCGAGTAGAGCAGCAGGTAACCTGTAGCACCCGGGGACGCCTCCCACGCGACGCGCATGCTGCTGTGCGTTACGTCAAAGATCCGCAGGTCCCGAATAGGGGGCAGGTCCACTGTAGACACACACACACACAAACATAGTACGTAGTACACACACACAGTCCACACACATAGTACATACACACATAGTACACACACACAGATAGTACACACACTGGACACACACACACGGTACAGCCACACACTCGTAATGGGAAGTTCGTCATGCAGCAGTGGATTGATCGTCACTCATGGAAAGGAAAATGTCACGGGAGGAAAACTCACGGGTGGAGTCGTGGTGGGGGGGGGGGGGGACTAACTGGTTGAGTCGTGGGGGCGGGGTGGGGGAGGGACTCACGACTCACGGCTGGAGTCGTGGGGGGGGGGGGGAGGACTCACGGGTGGACTCAGAGCCACGGAGGGCCTCGCTTGCCGCGCTGGCGTAGACGCCGAACACGGCCACCTGGTACTCGGAGGCCGTCAGGAGGTTCTGCAAGACGGCCGAGTTGGCTGAGCCGTCCACCACCACCTGCAGGAAGCGAGCCACGGGTAAGCGAGCCACGGGTAAGCGAGCCACGGGTAAGCGAGCCATGGGTAAGCGAGCCACGGGTAAGCGAGCCGGGACGAGCACACGGATGCACGAGCACACAGACAGAGATCCCGCGTGCAGCCCCAAGACTGTTGGGGCTGGGGCTGTTAGCTGGCACCTGTGCAGGCCGGCACGGCACACGGGGCATTGGGTGGCCAGAACCACGCCTGGCCGCCTTTGTCTCCAGAGTGGTGATGTTTAAGTAATGCACCAGATACTTATTTGAGGTTAAGTTGACCTAGGGAGGCCTAGGAATGGTTCAGATGGGCGGGAATTGAACTTGGGCCATGGGTTTCATCTTGAAACATGCTAACCACTACACTACCGCTTTCCAACACACACACTCGTGCTTGCATCGACACCTGCATACAAAAATTAATAAGCAAAGTCTACATGTGCATGTGTATTTGGGATGTCCTCCTGGACATCGGGTAAATGTATACATATCTGTGTGTGCATGCGTATCTACGTGTGTGTGCACATGTGTCCGAGTGGGGAGCTGTAGTACAGTGGTTAGCGCAATGCGCGACGAGCCCGGCGACCCAATTTTGATTTTAGCTCACGGCCAACATCGGCAACGAATATCTGAACCGGTCCCAGGTCAACTCGGCCTGAAGCATCGGCCCTGGGGCGACAAAGGCAGCGCCGGCCATGGTGCCGGCCACCCCGCCCACTCGTGCGCCGTGTCGCCCTTCATAGGCGCTCGCTGACGCCACTTGCCGCGACGGCCTGCGTGGGCTACGCAGGGAACCTTTTCCACACCTCGTCAGGCTGGCCGCCCTTGGTGGGGTAGAAGACGACGCGGTACATGAGCACGCGGCCCGGTGCGCGTGTCCAGGACACGCGGAAGCTCGTGGTCGTGATCTCCGAGGTCACGAGGTCACGCGGGGCCTGGGGGCCGGCATCGGCAATGCTCGCCGCAGCTACGCCCACGGTGCAGGGCGAGCCACCAAGTACGCACACACGCACGCACACGTGTACACACACACACGTACACACACATACGCATGCACGCACGCGTAAACACACACATGCGCGCACAAACGCACATACGTACATGTACACACGCACGTACATGTATGTACACGTACACACGCACGCACGCACACACCCAAGCACGCATGGGCATACCCGCACACACACGCACACACACAAGCGCAGCCGCACACGCGCACACACACACGCACACACGCACTCACGCAGGCGGGAGGTACGCACATCCAAACATACACGCGCAGACACGCACACGGACACACGGATGTAAGTACACGAGAACAGATAGGAATGCACTGACATACAGTTGAACTCACTACCTTGTGTCCTACCCCTCAGCTACAGCCCCTCCAACTTGTCTTACCCCTCAGCTACAGCCCCTCCACCTCATGACCTACCCCTCAGCTACAGCCCCTCCACCTCATGACCTACCCCTCAGCTACAGCCCCTCCACCTCGTGTCCTACCCCTCAGCTACAGCCCCTCCAACTTGTGTCTTACCCCTCAGCTACAGCCCCTCCACCTCGTGTCCTACCCCTCAGCTACAGCCCCTCCACCTTGTGTCCTACCCCTCAGCTACAGCTTCTCCACCTCATGTCCTACCCCTCAGCTACAGCCCCTCCACCTCGTGTCCTACCCCTCAGCTACAGCTTCTCCACCTCATATCCTACCCCTCAGCTACAGCCCCTCCACCTCGTGTCCTACCCCTCAGCTACAGCTTCTCCACCTCGTGTCCTACCCCTCAGCTACAGCCCCTCCACCTCATGTCCTACCCCTCAGCTACACCTTCTCCACCTCGTGTCCTACCCCTCAGCTACAGCCCCTCCACCTCGTGTCCTACCCCTCAGCTACAGCTTCTCCACCTCGTGTCCTACCCCTCAGCTACAGCTTCTCCACCTCATGTCCTACCCCTCAGCTACAGCTTCTCCACCTCGTGTCCTACCCCTCAGCTACAGCTTCTCCACCTCATGTCCTACCCCTCAGCTAGAGCCCCTCCACCTCGCGTGTCCCCCCTCGCTGTCCCCAGCTCCCCGTGGCAGGGCACTCACCGACGATCTCCCGCTCCTGCTCGCTGACGCGCGCGCACACCGTCTTGGTGAGGCTGCCCACGATGGAGCTCATGGCTGCGAAGTCGGCCACGTTATGCACGTGCATCTCGTCCGGCTCCGACGCGATCTCCTTCAGCTCCGCCTCGTCCGCTTCCTTCACGCCTACACACGCCCACAACGACATATATACTCGATGTGGTGTGCTGCGTGCGAAAATATTCTCCAGGTCACTGTGTAGACTGGAGTAGGTGGCAGGTGGCTAAGAAGCACAGTCGCAGCTATAGTGACATGTATACTGGATGCGGTGTGCTGTAATTTTTCTCGGGGTCGTTTGCGTTCACCGTGAAGGTTTTCACTTGTAACAATCTTTCTGTCAGAGGGTGGATATTAAAGGTCCCAGTGACGTCGCTTTAAAACATTCAGCGATTTTGTGCCGGCAACACGGTCCAATGATAAATGTCACCGCTAATTACTCGACTGGGAAACGCGTAACTGCCTGCCGCAAACACTCAGCAGCACCCTCCTGAAAAAGAGTCTTGAGACTCAGTGAGGCTTTCCTGGGTAAAATAATCGTAATAACAATGAAACCGGAACATGCCGGAGCGCAATGCTAAAAGCCATTAGTGTCAGCAGCGAAAGCACAAAGGCTCGCTTCATGGTTTAACTAAGGAAAGGATAAAGTTTTGCACCGCGAGGGCGGCTGCTGGGCCAGCAGCGCTCCTCCCGGAGCTGCCAGCCGTGACGTAACACCACGCGTGCGCCGGAATGCAGCCAGGGAATACAGGAGCGGCGGCATGGGAGGGGGGTCGCCTTTCACTCCGCCGACCCTTGCGTTAACCCTAAAACCTCAGCCACGTCAAGCAGCCATTCTACCAGACGGACCGTTTCCTCAAACAATCTGTTCAACCACCACACTGCAGTACACAATGCTTCCCTCCCTCTCTCCTCCAGAACACCACGATCTTGAGGTCCCTTCACGTGACCAGCTGTCACATCCTCCAAGCGTCGAGCTGATGTAACGCATCTCGGCGTCCTTGTCGACGTTGAGGCGACATTTGCCGCTCGCATCAGGCGTTTGACCGGACGGTGCTTCTAGCAACTGCTCACCGGCCGTCGTGCACCGCCAGCCAGGGTGGCTGTCCACGCGACGCAGTGCGCAGCGGCGGCCTCAACGGGCCACGATCGACGCCGTCTATGATCCGCACCCCACGGTGACCCTGGCGCTGCGGCTGCTGCTGCTAGACATGAATACAAACCTTGTGCTGTGATACGGCCAGCCCAGCTTCACTGGGGTCTCCGGTCAGATGGTCACTTTGTGTTCGAGGCCCATCAGCTTTGTGTTCGAGGCGTGTTAGACCAGAGGACGCCAAAAGGCGTCCCATGATGTAAGCTGCTCACCCTGAGCTCTCATTACTCTGATAGTGAAATGTCTTTGTGCTGTACGCCTATTGGCGTCCTCTGGTCTAACACCGTTTGAGACTAGGCTCGAAAGAAAGATGTCTCTGGTGTGGACCAATCAGTTTCAAAGACAATGCTAATATTTCGATTTAAAGCTTTCGTGACTGCAGGGATTCATCTTCTTGGTTCTTTCGGTAAAGTCACGTAGAAGGGAAATAATAAAATAATAAAAATAAAACATAATAAAATAATTCTCACGACGTTTTGGCCACAACGCAAGTAGCCGTCCTCAGGTGAAGAACAGGTCTGTCGGAAAGACAGCGTCTGAATGGGCACCACCAGGCTTGGCAGCGTATATTTACCTTCACCTGAGGACGGCCACTTGCGTTGTGGCTGAAACGTCGTGAGAATTATTTTATTATGTTTTATTTTTATTATTTTATTATTTCCCTTCTACGTGACTTTACCTAAAGAACCAAGAAAATGCTAATATTATTAGAGTATGTTTTTTGTTTGCATTCTGACCACAAGTATTGTGGTTAATGCACACATGATTCCTCGTAAAAGGTTTCAGTTTGGTGTTTTAACATCTTAACACCTGTTTTGTTGCCAGAAAAAAGGGGAAAACCTATTCTCATATTTTGGTACACTGGCAAAGGAGGTCCCATGATGAAGTTTAGGTCATCGTGTAATTAAGTTTACGTCTGCTTTGGCATGACGATGAACACTCTGCAGGGCATATGCACGTTGTGCCCCGAGAGACCAATTCAGAAGCAGCTCTGCAACGTCATATTTTGGGAGCTGTTCTCTGTCACAAGGTGATACACTGCTCACTGCAGAGTTCTGAATGAAACGTCCTCGTCACATGACGATATGAACACCACGGACCGACTGCCATTGCTGCCCAGCTCAGCGAGTCAGTAGTGTCCTGATCCATGGGGAGGGGCAATGGGGGCAATCAACCCCTCCCCCCTTGAGACCCAGAATAATCTATAACAGGATATCACTTTAGGGCTATCCCAACCAACATTGCATTACCTCGCTCATCGGGAAGCACACACAGAGCTGATGACTCAGACATGAGGGAAGAGGGAGGGGGGCGTGGCTCTGCCGGACTTGCTGCTGCCCAGCGTCTGGAATGTTTAATCTGAGGGATTGGTTGTATCCACCGAGGCGAGGGACGTGGGGAGAATGGGATGAGGCTTCTGTGGAACCGTGGAGCTGAGGGGGGATAACCTGCTCGCACAAGCAAAGGACAAACCCCAGGGACTCAAACCTTTCCGGGCGGTCGGTTGCAACATTCGAAGCAGGATGCTCGACCAGAAGTGACCCTAATCTATCAGAACACAGGACTCTCCTCTGTGCCTTGGAGAGTCCCATCCATCTCTTCGCGTAGCTAACAAGTGGGAGCTCTGACCCGTACGGAGGAGCACAGACATTGTGAAGGCTTGAGAGATGCTCACGAAAGAGGGTTACATAAGAGCCCGCTTAAAATAATCATCGCTAGGCTTGGCATTCCAAACGCACGGCATCACAGGTATTTACCAGCTCGGAGTGCTGTCGGTGAGTGAGAGAGAAGCGTTGCAGCAGTGACAGAAAACCTCGCCCGACAGCTAAACCATGAGAGGCAAATAAATCCTCGCCACAGACAACAGAGCGGCCAGAGCACCGCTCTGCGGGAGGGAGCCCCATTTGTGGCCTGGGCTGCTGCTGCTGCATCCTAGAGACAAACCTGGAGCTCGATATGCATGGCCACTCACTCCACTCACTCCACTCACTACTCTCCACCGACTCCGCTCCACTCTGAGCCATCAAATTAGGTTTCTACATGGGGCGGAGCTCGTGAATCAAACGAGAGTGAAATTCAGTGGTAAATCCTCCCCGGATGGCCCCAGGCGTTCGTCTGGTGCCACTCAAGATGTAATGAACACGCATCTGGACTTGTCCAGGCGTGCGGGACTTTCTCCCATCGATGGTGACACACTTGCGTAAAAGTAGCCTGTTCCTCTCTTTTCCCAGCTTAGGGTGCGCAGGAGGCCAGCAGACATCTCTAGATATCCGAACACTTGACTCAAGGTCCTTTTCTACAGCACAGCCAGTAACACCGCTCTGTGTACCTGGAAGGAGCACAAAGCCCTCCTGTAGATAACTCACTGCACCAGCTGCTTACACGAGCTCGCCCATCAAGACTACACTGCACTGACGTCATCTTCCCGTGCTGTCGACGTTCAAAAGTGGACAAGCTAAGCGTGTATGGAAGCACGTGCACTCATCCATGCTTGTGTACAGTTACACACACAATCAGAGTGTCACGATCCCTTGAGACAATGTGCGCCCCAGAGCGCTGCGGTCATGACCTCATGCGGTGGCTGCGGTCGTGACCTCGTGCGGTGGCTGCGACTGTGACCCCCCAAGGTGGTTGTGGCCGTGACCCCGCGCGGTGGCTGCTCACCGATAGCGAAGAGCTCGACGCCAGCGTCCTTGAGGCTGCGCGCGGGCCCCTTCACACCGTCCTGGGACTTGCCGTCCGTCACCAGGATCCCGATCTTGGGGATGCCGGGCCGTGCTCCCGCCTTCACCGTGAAGCTGTTTTGGAGGATGTAGGAGAGCGCCAGGCCTGCCCCACAATCACCACCACCGCCGCATCACCCCCCAACCCGCCACAGAAACACGAGACTACAGTCAGTAACGGATTCGGCAAAGGACCAAATGGAGCAGGGCCCTCAATACAAATCAGGAATAGGAACGTGTGAGCACGTGCCTGTGCGTGTCTCTGTATGTAGCGTGGGCAGCGGTAGTGGAGCAGTTGGCGCATTGTGCTACAAACTCGGCCACCCGAGTTCGATGCCCGCTCACTACAAACACCAATGACGTTTTATGAAATGGTCCTGGGCCTCCCCCGAGGTTGGCACAGCTTCAAATGAGTAAGGTACCTGGTGCGGTGTGTAAGCATTCCCACTAGGGAGACAAAGGTGGCCGAGTGTGGTGCTGGCCACCCACCCCCTGGTGTGCCATGCCGGTCTCCGAAGGTGCTTTCTAAAAGGGCTATATGGGAGATATTTGTGTTTGTGTGAATGAGAGCGTGTGGAAGTGCGCCGCTGTGACTCCCACCGGTGAGGGTGTTGCCCCCTTTGTAGGGCAGGCCCCTGATGGCCTGCACCACGGCCCCCTTGGTGGGGTACGAGTTGAGGTTCCACTCGGTGCGTGGGTCCCCGCTGTACTGCACCAGGCCTGTGGGAGAGAAAGTGCCATTTCAATTATGGCTCGTACACCGTAACCACAACCAACAACCGTTTTCCGAATCAATTGCCAGTTATTACACCACAGTTGATTTTAACAGCTACAGATACACGTCACTCAACGGATTATCGGTTTATTTTCTGGACTCATCGGTTAACAAAAAGTCTCAACCCTCTTCCCACGTGTGCCGCTGGATGGGAGGTGTGGTAGACAGGGCGTGGCGAGCCCATCGACATCATTAGCCATGCCACGCTCTGCGTGGCTCGCAAGGGGTTTCCCGCCTTCTAGAGGCAGGATGTGGGGTGGGGGTAAAATTGGTAAAAAATGTCGATGAATCGACAGCAATGATATTGCGATGTGGATTGAGGATTTTAAAAAAAAAATTTGAGCAATTTCTGCGCCGGTAGATGGATTCGAATAGATCGAACACGAATCGGCTGCTGTTCTTCTCGCGCAGGTGATGACGGCGACTCATCCTCCAGAGACGAGGAAGCACCATAGCCCACAGAAGTTTTACTCTATGGCCGTAGTGGCGGTGGTGGCGGCAGTGGTGGCGGCGGTGCCGGCAGTGGTGGCGGCGGTGCTGGAGGAGGATCGCACCGACGCGCGTGCGGCCGGCGCCCACGTCGAAGGCGTGCACGAGCGCCTCGAGGAACTGGCGCACGAGGCGGAAGTTGTGGCGCCCGATGCTCCACGAGCCGTCCAGCAGCAGCACAATGTCAGCGTGTGGCGCCGAGCACGCAAAGCGCCCGCCTGCGCCAGGGCAGAGCGCACACGAGTACACACACAAAGACAGGCAGGCTCACACGCAGGCATGCACACGAGCGGTCTGTGAAGTCTGCCCAAATGATTCTGCACCGCCGTTGTTTTTGCGCCGTCTTCTATTTTCTTCATTACTGCACTTTTATGTTTTCGCTTTTGACATTTTGGTGACCCAATTCGCTCTTGCAAATTAGACCCCAAACCTGATCTCCTGAGCTTTCACCTGGTCACACCAAATAAGTACAGAACTACAAATTGTGAAACCTAAAATCGGCCAAATTGTATTGCATTTCAAGATGTTGTGTTGAGCTCCCCGTGCGATGTTCTGTGCACCTCACGGTCGGTTTAGACAATATTCAAATGTCTGGATGACTGGTACTGCGATGGATGAACTGGGTGCAGATTGTAAGTGAAGCAACCTCAATGCAGCAGACTCATCATGGATGCATTGTGCTGAGTAGAGACATTGTACCGCATTCCCAACTGCACAAACGTGAAGCAACTTGTATTTTGAGCTGGAGACAGGTATCCCTATCCTGCATGAGAATGCGCTAGGAAAACCATGGGCTCGTGAATGGGCCCGTGAATTAATTCAATTTCATGAGAAAAGGGGCACTCTGAATGCAATGCATGCAGACATGACAGGCAATATGAGGCATGCAATTCACAGATTTGATTTGACCAAGAGTTGTATACAAACACAACAACAAACAAATATTTGACCATTTAAAATAAGCACAAAAGGGTAGAATGTCATGCGATTGATGTTGATGGCATCGTGTGATGGTCTTGTTTGTATAGAGCAATGGTGCAAAGTTGCGTGTGCAATGTGTGATAATGTGAGTGTGCGATGTTGTGCCTGTGTGGGGTGCGGCGGTGTTGTGTGTGTGTATGCGGTACCCGACAAACGTGCAATGCTGTGTCTGCGGTGGGCCTGTGGTCACCGCATGAGCGAGCTGCTGCTGTTGCTGCTGCTGCTGCTGTTACTGCCATTCCGCTCCGCGCTGATGACAGCGGTGGCCATGCATGGGGGAGCGGGGTGGTGGCGGTGGTGGTGGTGGCGGGGCCGAGTGGAGGTACTCACTGGTCAGGCGGTGGGGCCATGCGGTTAGAACGTGTGCCACCGTGGTGTGCGCATAACCAAGGCGACGGCACCGATCGGCCGTGCGCGAGGAAACAACGGAAAATTGGGGTTTAAAAAAGAAAATACACGCCCGCTGACACACGCGACAGAAATAAAATCACACGCGCGTCATCGCGTTTATTGTTCCCCAGACACTCGGCAGAAATGTACAATTGGCGCAAGCGTGCGGTCATTTCTCGCGTCAGGGTCAGACGTCCACTGGGGCGCAACGTGGGGTCACTTGCTCGGTTTTTAATTGTTGCTGACGCTCTCACCCGTGGCACGCATGCACTCATGCACACACCGACGCACGCACGCACGTTTATTCTAGTCGCGACACGTTATGCGCATGCGTGTAAGGATCACAGCGTGAGGACTTCAGTTAGGGTACAAAGACGTGCAGCCCGGCAGACCGCTGGGTAATGTGCGGTTAGTGGAGCACCTATCAAGGCCAAACAAAGACACAGACGGACACACACGCGTTACATTAATGCAACACATGCAGTACATGCTGTTACTCAAGAACAATCCCTGTTCAAAGCGTCAACGCGATCTGTTAAAGTGCGCAGAGGAAAAAACGACTCGGCTGAAAGGCAGCGTTTTGCTCGCACCGCCATTGCCCGATTTAAATTGCTCCGGACTTCATCACAGAGTTTGAAAGACTCAGCGCTGCATGCCCAATCCCTGGGGGCGTGAGTCAAGCTGGCATCACTGGACACACCGCTGGATCACACTGGCCTAAAATAAGGTCAGAGATCTCTTTCGATGAGAAAATACACGTCATATATACTGCTCAACACGAGCCATTAATGCTTTGATATTTGCGCCTATCTGTGTGCCGTTTGTCTTTTGGCGCCCTTTTGTCTCAGACTGGTGAGACAAGACCATAAGGAGTCTGTCCCTGGTTTAAGCCTTTCAATTTTAAGGACAATGCAAACATTATCAAAGAACGTTTGTATGTTTTACCACAAGTACGTGTGGTTAATGCAGACTTGGATCGTGAAGCTGGCTGTGAGAACCTCCTGTGGGTTAGACACGATGCCTCACTCAAGGCAAGAGTGCAGCTGTTCAATACATTATGCAGCCTATTCAAACGATTCCCCTGACAATGCTGCATATTCCTGCGATAAATTCCCATGGTCCAGCCCGAGGTGCAGGCCGCGGTCCGGGCCCTGGGTTTACCTGAGGGCTCCGGCTCCATAGTCGGTGGCTCCGGCTCCATGTCGCCAGTCGAGGCCTTCCCCTCGAGGCCCAGGCTCTCCCCATCGGCAAAGATGGCGTGCACGCTCAGCACGTACGCCGTGTCAGGCCTGCACCGTAGTGCCGGAAAAACACTCGGTGAGAAACACTCACGCCAAAACTGCCACCGTCGGCTCCATGCGACGGTGGACAGCCGCTGACCCCCTCCAAACCCCCCTGCTCCACCTATGACCCCCTCTCCCCTCTTACCGGAGGTCATCGATAACGGCCGTAGAGTCGTGCGGCCCGACGATCACCTCACGAGGCAAGGCCGCGTCCTCGTCTTCGGCAGCGTAGGCCACGCGGTACGCCACCACGGGCCCTGGCGCCGGGCGCCACGACGCACGCAGGCTGCTCGCCCATGCATCCGTCACGCGGAGGTCGCGCGGGGGTCGGAACTTGACCGCTTGAAGATGGGGAGGGGGGGGGAGGGCGCAGACGTCATCAAACCACCTCGACAATGACGACGACGACGATTTCGACGGTGGCGGTGGTGGATGCAACGGAGGCGCGGTCACGTACTAGGCACGGTGGAGAAGCGGCCCTTGATGGGCTGGCCCTCCCCGGAGCGGTACACGGGGTACACCAGCACGTCATAGTTGGTGTTCTGCCGCAGGCGACGCAGCGGGATGGTCGTGGCATCGCCGGGCACCTTGAGCACCACCGCCTTGCCGGGCCCGCTGGCGGCACGGAACGATAAACGGTACTGCGTAACGGCGCCGCGGGCAGCGCTCCAGAGCACGCGCGCGCTCGCCGGGGTGATGTGCGAGAAGCGGAGCGCGCGTGCCTCTGCCGAATCTGTGGAGGGAGAGACGCCCGTCGCGGAGACGGAGCGACGAGATCAGATAGCGTACGAGAGCTCAGGAATATTGCTCCGCGGGACCGCGAGTGGTGACGGTGGCGGCCTAGGGAGGGCTTCATCCAGCAGTGGATTGACGGTAGTAATTTTATTGAGCCCAGAGTGGAGTCTATACCACCTGACCAGGATTTGAACTCGCGAACTTCCGATTGAGGCGCCCACTCTTCCGCCCGAGACATCTGGCGGGTCCCGCACAACGTCATCATCAGTTGGCTGTCATTTTGGCGCAGAGCCCAAATTCTCCTTTAGGCAATTTCGCTTCAAAGTACTTGGCCTGAATTCCCCAAGTGAGAATTCAGGCCAAGCAGCAATACACCAATCAGATATGTTAAAAGACTTTAGGAATTTTTTCTATCACTTTTGATTTAACACTCACGGTATTAACTTAACTTAATCAGAAATGCCATCTTGGCCAAATGAGCATTGAGGCATTGGCATTCATCTCCTCTTTAAAATCCTACAGATTCAGCGGTGAGAATTCCACATTACTATGACAGGGACGTGTCTATGCAGGACACGTTGTGACAGTAACGGACAATGCCCATTGGTTGATACTAACGACGAAGTGACGACCAACAGGACATCTACCACGAAGATGGAGCGATAGAATGACTCGTATGCAGGAGCGAGACGGAGTGGTGCATTACAGCATTGAGAGACGATGATGGCCTGGGGAGCTCTTCACCCGACAGTCTAAGGGAGCTACATGGGGAACCTTTGCCTTTGTACGAATGTGAATGCAAAAACTACGTTAGGATAACGTTGTGGGTCTGACATGCAGGCTCAAAGGCTTGGCAACGCTGAGTCAGGGCTCCCAGCATGGGACCCGACACTCAGCACCCCACCCGTTGCGCTTTCTCATTGCATTACAAACGACGTCACAATTGGTTCCCTGCTACGACATCCAGCCCTGCCGTGTGGCATCATCCCCTACGCTGCGGCTCTCGCAGCTAACGAAGGCCTGCTCCAGCACAGGAGTCTCCTCCCCGACGTTTACCACTGTCGTCTTGATTTCGCTACTGCGCAAACTACTTTTTAAAGTAAGAAATCTTCACGCGGCCACATTGCCAGGACATACTGCCGTCACCCCCCACACCAAATCCGGCTCGACTGCCGAAGAGAAAATATCAAACTCGAGGACACGATCGCTCACCCGCATGTCGTCCATCGCGAGCGACGCGGGATGAGGCGCATTCCGACTGGCGGAACAGAAAACGCTCCAGGGACAATCGCACCAGACGTGGTGGAATGCGCCGCTCGATAGCGAGCCAGAGAGTGAGAGCCAGAGAGTGAGTGAGAGAGCCGGAGAATGGGAGAGAGAGCGGGAAAGTGAACGTGATACTTTTTAACTCTAGTAGCAACACAAATCCATAACTTTACCGCAATCACGAATACTATACGTGTACATTTATTTTACAAAATATAGAAAACTTACAAGAGGGAGGGTAGGAGAGGGTTTGAGAGAGTGGAGAGAGTGAGAGACAGTTGGAGAGAGCAGGAGGGAGAGAGAGCCTGGGTAGGTCTGGATGTCACAGTGGTTGTGTGATTTACGCTGCTGGTCAGCAAATCTTCACAGCCATCTCAAAGTCAACAAGCGCTAAATGGTGCACTTCGCGAAACTCAAGTACGGCTTGGATTTCACTTTTTGCACAGGCAGGGAACGCGTGTGAAACAAAACGTGGTTTACTCGCTGCCAAAAGAATGTCCACGCTCTGGGATATTTTTTTGTTGGTGCCGTTTGGAGCGTGGCTGCACCAGCGTGCAGGACCCCCTTAGCCCCGCTGCCCCCGCCACGTCACCGCCTCCCCATCTGTGAACTTCGCTCTCCAGTACGGTCGCCAAATGGTAAACCGGTAACCATTTGCAGAATCGATAACTGGTGCTAAAAGTCAGGCACCAGCTGTGCCAAAGTCCAAATTGAGACCACAAACATTGCTGTTAGATTGGTGCTGAACATCGTGGTGCTGATCAGTGCACCACGGGAGCTCCCTACGCTTCTCGGATAGAAAACTTAACCAGTATTAACCGTTTTTTTTATTTCTTTCTCACGCGGTTACTAGTGTAGTGTCTTCAAAAATTACTCACACCGACACGTTGTAACATGTCACCTGCTTACACTTTATTCACATAATCTTGCAACAGTTGTAGGCACTCCTAGAGCTATCTATACGGTAACTTCTCCCCACTCTTATCTACCTTTTACCTCGCTTATCCTGCACTCAACGTCTCTGCACGCAGCGTCTCCCCACGCAGCGTCTCCGCACGCAGCAACTCTACACTGCCACCGCTGCCCTCACCTACGCTCCCTCAGACCCGCTCACCCATCTGGCCCGGGCGGGGGGGTCAGCCACCACCCGCCCGGCGACGGCGTGAGGGTTGAGGTCCTGTTGACGGCTGGAGCGGCAGCGGCGAAATGTCTTCACACTTGGTCCCGGGCAACAACTCTCCGCTCCGCTCACGCACACGCCCTTATATTCAGCTGCTAATTATCCGAGACCTCTCACGCGTTTCTTTAAGCTCTCACCAGGCTGGCGCCTGTTGGCCCATCAATCAACCCTCATCTCCCGTCTCCCTGGCAACACCTCCGGTCTCAGCGTGCACAACCGGTCGACCCCGTGTGCACCTGCTTCGCCCCTTAACAACTGGTGGTTTGTCCGTGTAAACCTCACGCGCACCTGTTTGCCCTCAGTTGCCCTCGGTTCATTGTGCGCACCGCGTATTTCACTACTCAACACTAGTAATGCGAAAAACGAAACGATTTTATGAGCTCGACTTTTATCTGACAAATCGTGGCGTGGTGCCGGCACCCACCTTCGGTCGTGAAGTTGACGGAGGCGGGAGGGCCCCGCTCGTCGTCGGCGTACACGGGCGTAACGACGGCCTGGTATGCCGTGCCGGGCGTGAGGCCGTCGAGCGCGCCGGATGTCGCCCGCGCCACCGCGTCACGAGCGCCGTGCTCGTCCCCGGCGGCCGAGCGGAACTCAATGCTGTACGCCTCGACGTGGCCCGGCGCTGGTGCCCACGACACCGTTGCGGAGTCTGCCGCCACGTCCGAGGCCTCCAGGAGTGACACCGGCCCCATCTCTGCAAGTGTAACGCCGCAGCCGTGGGGTTAAATCCAAGACGTCCTGGCTGCGACTCGCAAGCGATCTGACCAACCCTGTGTAGCCTTGAGACACCAAGTCTGACCCCTAATTTCGGCTGAAGAAGCCCACGAATAAAATTGTGTCACACAGGTAGTGCTGCCACGGGGTGTACCCGTTCCTAATGTGTTGAAGATGAGATGTGATGATGTGAGTCACTTATCACGTGTAAAGCTCTCCGATAAGATGCCCTGGTGTAAAGGAGGGCGTTTATACCAAAAGAAGCAACTACCACAACAACCACAACAGCGACTCATCGTTTTTGTTGTTGTTATCAATAAAGAGTGACAAAAAAATCCCGGAGTCCTGGATAGAGAGGAGAAAATCAAGGCCACCAGGTCAAGGACAGCGGGCTCCTATACAATGGATACGTGGCCAGGATAGATGGCAGTGACGGATCAAAGGACGGGGGGGGGGGGCTAGACTCCAAGGGTAGAAAGTCGAGTATGAGGCCAGAACATTTTAAACTGAGTAGATGACAGCTGACGAAAGCGGGACGAGTGTCACCACGTCAGCAGAGCGAGACTTGATCAGAATCAGAATCTTTATTCAGACTGGAAGAATCTTATGAGATACAAAGTTCTTATTCACAGATGTCCGGGGCCCACACCTGGCAGCGTGGTGCCCTCCACGGAGGCCCTCTCGCCCTCTCCCGACGCATATTCCGCCATCACGGAGATGGCGTACGTCGTTTCCGGCCTCAAGCCTCGTATCCAAGCTCCCGTGGCATCGGGCCGCAGGATGGCCTGCTGCTCGCCCAGCCCGGGCCCCGCGCCCACGTCCCAGAGCCCGCTGCCGGCCTCCTCCCCCCCCGCGGTCTCCGTCTCCGCCGTCGGTGCCGAGTACCGCAGGTTATAGCGGGCTACTGGGCCCGGCGCAGGGCTCCAGGTGAGGCGCAGGCTGCCCCATGTGGTCTCCAGCACTCGCAGCTCCGTCACGCCGCCCGTCTCTGTGTGCGAGGAGGGGCAAAGAGAGCGGGGATTTGCTGCATGTTGGCCACTGCCTGTCTCTCCCCTCTCATCTCACGATGACGATTTATGATCATTAAGGTGACAACGATGATGGTGACGATGACGATAATTGGTGATGATGACGACGATGATGATTGGTGATGACGACGATGACGGTGATGATGATGACGACGACGATGGTGATGATGATGACGACGATGATGATGGCACTAACTGGTGATGACCATTATGATTGGTAATGGCAATGATTGATGATAACGACGACAATTAGTGATGGCGACGGTGATGACGCCGCGGCCGCCCTCACCGCCCAGCGTCTCCACGTCGGCGACGAGTGGGTCGCTGAGCCCGGTCGCGTACTCGGCGATCACCGTGACGCGGTAGCGCGTGCCGGGCGCCAGGCCCTCGAGCCGCGCGCCGACGAGCTCGCCGCTCACCGCACGCTCCCCACCCGTGCCCTCCGCCGCCCCCGCGCCTCCCTCCAGCGGCGCGTAGCGCACGCGGTAGGAGAGCACGCGGCCCGGCGAGGGGAGCCAGCGCACGAGCACGCTGTCCGACAAGCGCTCCTCCACCTCCAGGCCGCTCGGGGAGCCCCGCTCTGCACACGGAGACGCCCCATGTAGCCGCTTTGCAATCTTGCAATTATAAATCTTTCTCTTGTATGCAATGCATTCTATTCGCGGTATGTTCTTTGTGCTGGTCGGACCGTGTCAATGCATGACCTTGCCACCAAGAACTTCACCAGGTTTTGTTCGTGTTTTTGCTGTAACCAGGTTATAAATGAGTGCTTATTGCCCAAAGGGTTTTACCTGTGCCGCAATAAAACCTAAAACCTAACCCTTTAGCAGCGAGCACCTTTGAAGGCCGGCACAGCGCACGAGGGGGTGGGTTAGATCACGTAAATATATAAATGTGTCGTTAAACCCGCCACCACCCGACACAACCAATTAGTACGGTTAGTAAGGTTTGTCACGTTACTAGTACAGCACACCGGTGTGTTGGAGAGTAAACCCACAACATTTACAATTCGAGTACTTTCCAACACACCAGTGTGCTGTACTAGTAACGAATTGGCATTATTTTTAACGTGACAAACCTTACTAATTGGCTGGATAATATTGGTCGCGAAAGCCTATGTGTTAAACTAAGGGGGTGGGTGGCCAGCACCACGCCCGGCCGAGCTTGTCTCCCTAGTGGCGATGTTTTACACACCGCACCAGGCACTCATTTAAGGCTGAGTCAACCTATGGGAGGCCCAGGACAGGCTCACATATTTGCCACTGTTGTTGGTCATGAGCGCATTCTGAGCACAGCGTGCTGACCACTCCCCACAAGTTTGTGTCCTCGGTGCACGAGCGCCCAGCCACCTCTGCTGCACCCGCCCAGCCAATCGGCCGGAGCCTCGTGTGGGCGGCATAGGGAGTGGTGGCACCGCAGTGGAGGCAGTGGCCGTACCATCGAGCGTGGTCTCCTCAACGGCCCCTGACACAGCCTCGCCCCCGTCGTACACGGCGACGACGTGCACGCGGTAGCGCGTCTCAGGCTGCAGGTCGCTCAGCGCCAGCATCGTCACTGCCGCATCCACCTCGGCCTCCTGCAGGCTCGGCCGCTCCCGGTCTGCGTGATTGAGGCAGAGGTCGCCATCATGATCATCATCACAATCGTCACTATCATCATAATTATCATTATCACCAAGATTACCACCGCTATGGTCGCCACCATCATCACCACCACCACCATCACCACAATCAGCCAGAGCAGGGGGGGGTGGAGGAGGAGATAGGAAGAGACAATGAGCAAGTGGATGAGAAGGCGGAGGAAGGAGGGAGGTAGTCAGGAAGAGGGAGGAAAATGTTGATGGTGGGAGGGAAAAGGATGAGGAGGATGGGGCGATGACGCCCGTCCTCACCCTCATCATCCTCCTCGTCTTCGTCGCTGTCATCTCCGGGCACCAGGCTCCGGTACTCGATGCGGTAGTGCCGCACAGAGGAGCGCGCGGGCGACCAGGACACTCGCAGGCTGCGTGATGACGCCTCCGTCAGCACCACGTCGCCTGGCGGGGTCAGCTCCCCTGAGGCAGCAGAAGGAGAGCCCCACGGCACAGGCAGCACATTCACCCACCAGTTCGCCACCCTCTTCACCCACCAGTCTGCTAGCCTCATCACCCACCAGTCTGCTGCCCTCATTACCCACCAGTCTGCTGCCCTCATCACCCACCAGTCTGCTACCCTCATCACCCACCAGTCTGCTGCCCTCATCACCCGCGAGTCTGCTACCCTCATCACTTGCCAGTTCGCTACCCTCAGCACCCCACACACCAGGGTCACCAGCTCTCTGGGTTGGACCCAGACAGGGTGGGAGTGGTGCGTGGGTGGCAAGGAATTGATTTGTTCAAGGTCTGGTAGCGGTGTTGAACTCTACCATATAATACTGCACTGCACAGTTTGTGATCATAGACCTGGTGGGAATGGCTATATACATTCAGGATTGGTCTATAGTGGTCTATAGTTATCTATGTTAGTCTGTGTCTCTATGCGAGTCTGTGTGTCTCTACATTAGTCTGTGTGTCTCTATGCGAGTGTGTGTGTCTCACCTCGTCCGTGGTCCTCGGTGGTGCTCTCGGTGACGACGAGCGGCTCGCTGGAGCGCTGGCCCGACACGGCATAGATGCTGACCTGGTACTCGGTGTCGGGCTGCAGGCGCGACAGCTGCACGTGCGTGGCGCCCCCGGGCGCTGTCGCCTCGCGCCGCGCGGTGCCCTCGTCGTCGCCCACAGGCTGGTAGAACACACGGTAGCTCGACACCTCGGGGCCCGGCGCGTCCCAGCCCAGGCGGATCGAGTCGCCCGTCCGTTCCAGCGTGCGCAGGTTCTGGGGAGGTAGGATTTCTGTGGGGGGCGGTGAGGTGGGTGGGGGGGGGGGGCAAAGGGTGGGGGGGGATAGTGAGGGGAGAGATGTAGAAACGAGACAATGGCGGTGATCTTAAGGGTTCGCAATCGGTTTCATTTGGGCAATCGTGATAAGCTGCTGGCGATTCCGCGGGATCGCTGGCGATTGCGGTCGACGGCAGGCGACCTTGGCCGATGGCGGTCGGCCGCAAGCGACGTTTGGTGACCGGGGTCACTCACGGCTGGTCTCTTCCTCGATGCGCGCTTGCTGCGCCTCCACGCCGGCACACATCTGGCCGATGACGACGCCCTGAGACGACTCGAGCTGCTCGAACCCCCGCACGGAGAAGACGTGCGTGGAGAGCGGCGGCGACGCCACCAGACGCAGCTCGTTCTTGTTCGCTTGGGCCACGCCTGACGCAGAGAAGCGACGGGAAGGCGGTCAGCGGAACAAACTCATTTTAATGGCACGAAGATCGAGATCAAATGAGCTCGCACACAGCAGCAGTAGTCATTACCCACTCCCAGCAGACTAATGCCGGTAGCAGGTAAATGGGTGAGTGAGAGAGTGTATGAATTCATGAACCAGCGAGTCGTTGAGCGAGCGAGTGGTCGAGCGAGCGAGTGGTCGAGCGAGCAAGTCGTTGAGCGAGCGAGTGGTTGAGCGAGTGAGCAGTTGAGCGAGCGAGCGGTTCAGCGGGAAGGCGAGTGCTCGCACCGATGGCGAAAAGCTCGACGCCGGCGTCGCGCAGCTCCTGTGCGTGCTCGGCGACGTCGGCGCCGTCGTCGGCCGGGCCATCGGTGATGAGCACGGCGAGCTGCGGCACGCGGCGCCGCGCACCGCCGCCCTCCGCCGATGCCGCCGTGAGCACCGAGGCCAGGGTGAAGCGCAGCGCCTCGCCTGCGTGCCGTCGCAACAATGGCAACTACAACGTTACCAACAGCAGCAACAGCAACATTACCAACAACAGCAACATTACGAACAACAGCAACAACACTTTAACACGTAGGCTGTCGCGACCAATATTATTGATAATAAAAGTAGAAATGCGTCGTAACCCTCCACCACCCGGCACAGCCAATTTGTAAGGGATTTGTCACGTAAACAAAACACCAAATAGTGACTACTTCAGCCCACCGGTGTGTTGGAGAGTAAATGTTTTCGATTAAAATGTTGTCGATTTACTAACACAAAAACCTTTGCTATTATTACGAGTAACAACATTACCAAGAGCAGCAACGACATTACCAGCAGCAGTAACAACATTAACAGCAACAACATTAACAGCAACAACATTACCAACAGCAACAACATTACTAACAGCAACAACATTAACAACATCAGTAACAACATTAGCAACAACAGCAACAACATTACCAACAGCAACAACATTAACAGCAATAACATTACCAACAGCAACAACATTAACAGCAACAACATTACCAACAGCAGCAACAACATTAACAACAGCAGCAACAGCAAGGCCGCCACCCTAGGAGGACAGCGGGCACAGATCACGTGCCCTCAGGGCTCCGGGAGCCGACGGGGCTGTGCCCCTCCTCCTCCTCCTCCCAGGCGAGGCCAAGGGGGTCTGGACAGAGTCTCAGGGCACCACCGGGGGCCCCCTGGGGTCAGGGTCGGCATGGACCCAACTCGACAGGTGGCACAAGCAAAGAGTTGCTACGAGCGAGCCAAGAGACTCGCGCATCTTGACGTTAAGGGCTAAACAAAGAGCCATACGATGTCAAACCAACATCCCACTGCAGGATAATTACCTCTAAATGACACAATTGGGATTTACACAGTAGCAGCAGCAGCAGCAACATCGTGGCCCCTGCTTATTGCAAATACTTGGCAGCACCCTCTTGAGAAGGGAGTGTGGAGACTCGGTGAAATGCTCCTGCGTAAACACGAGCACTCACGTGAATAACTACAAAATTAAGTTAAGATGAACATCGTGAACTTCCCCAATTAACGTAAAACGTCGGGCCAACGTTGAACCATAATATTGGTCGCGAAAGCTTACGTGTTATACATTGAACCAACAGTTCCAACCACAAGCCAACGTTTGTCCAACGTTGCGTGTTTACCAGGCGAATGGTTGCCTGGGGCCCTGGACATCTCCCGTAGTCAACGAAGGGTGGGGGGGGGGGGGGGGCCCGGGGCGACCGTGGCACCGCTCACCCGTGTTGGTAGCGCTGCCACCCTTGAGTGTGACGGCGCGCAGGGCCTTGTAGATCTCCGCCTTGCTGCGGTAGCGGTGCAGCGCAAACTCGAGGCGCGCGTCGCCCGAGAATTGCACAAGGGCGACGCGCGCACGGTCCGGCCCCAAGGTGAAGGCAGAGACGAGTGCCGACACGAACGCCTTGACGCGCTGGAAGCTGGCGCGGCTCACACCCTGCGAGCCGTCCACCACGAACACTAGCTCCGCGGGCACGTCCGGCGGGCAGCCTTGGTGGGAGAAATGGGGAGGTGGTGAGAGGGATGGGGAGGTGGTGACGGACAGGGAGGTGGTGAGGGACAGGGAGGTGGTGAGAGGGATGGGGAGATGGTGAGAGGGATGTTGAGATGGTGAGAGATGGTGAGATGGTTGGAGAGACAGGAGAGGTGGTGAGAGGGACGGGGAGATGGAGGGGTTGGCTTCACGTGCACGCGTCAAGGCCAGCTAATCATTCCCGTGGTGCTGAGCACGTGTTCTCACGGACGCCCGAGTCGACACGCCATGCATGATACTCCGCCACGTTTCAGCTGCGGACTCGCCTCGTGTCTCTCACCGCCACGTGACCCCAATTTGCCTCCACTGCCCACAACTCCTCATCTCCCACCTCCTCCTCTGTGGCCGGCTTCTTTTTGCTAGATGCTGACCTCGTCTGCTCCTTCATAAAGCCACTGTCTCCTCTCCCTGACCGGCAGTGCGGACTGTGACCTCATCAACCTGTTCCTGAGATTCCTCTTCCCACCACCTCACTCGTAAAATAGAAATGTTCCCCGTATAGCCTGTAACAGACTCTTGGTGCAAGTGCTGTTAGCAAGGACCTATGAAGGCCGGCACGACACACAAGGCAGGGTGGGGGGGGGGGGGGGGGGGCAGCACCACACCAGGCCGCCTTTGTCCCCCTAGGTGATTGTGAGGTATTATAAGGGTAAGGTGAGGAGGGTGAGCTAAGGAGGCTGCCGTGGTTGAGGTGAAGTAATATCTGTACCGGTCCTGGGCCCTCAATTCTCCAACCTGCGCTGACGAGAGTTGTGATCTACGGACGAACAACCCCCTTAAGTGGCATGGCGAGTCCATCAATAGGTGAGGATTCCACATTACTGTATTAACCACGGAGGCAAAATTAAAGAAGAGTAATCTCACAATGTCCTGCATTGATTCTGCTCCCCATCCCCGTGGGATGGCCATCGGCAAGAGCCAAGACCCGGACCGGGCCGAGCGGATGTAATGGACCGGGGTTCGCGAATCGGCAAATCGCACGCCACTCAAGAGCAGCGGTGGCAGATGGCTCCGTGACCGCGAGGACATCGCGGCAATCCGCGCCGAGTCTCCCCCAGGCAGAGCACGCGGCCAACCGGCCCCGCCTCCCCTCCCCCCTTCACCCCAAACTCCACAAACTCACATCTCCCACCCTCGCTCTCCCCTCTCGCCTCCTCCTCCTCCTCCTTGCGTCTTGCTCAACCTTAATCCACCTCGCAGCAGCCCAGACGAGAGGAATCTCCTGGGGGAGCTCCGCGTTTTGGGGTTTTTTCCCCTTCTCCTCCCTCCCCCTTTCCCCCTCACTCACTCGCTCCCTCCCCCCTCCTTCCCTCATGCATGAGCGGTCATGTGAATGCCCCGTATGTCACAGCTTAGTATTATATATGCGTGTGCAACTATACACGTGTATACAACACGTAGAGTAGGACAATACACAGAGCGGTGGGACTTGTTTGATGTGTGATTATGTCCCTGTGCACCACCGTCAATGCCGAATAACCCACGTGGTCTCCTAATCTTTTCTTGCGCACGGCAGCCGCAAGATGGTTCAGGAGCTCGATGCCAATTTCGAGGTGCGGTGCCGGCCACGATGAGATGGCTCAGCAGAGGGTTCGTGTCACTTTCCTGTTCCTCCTCCTCTTATGAAGGAGCGCAGACCAAAGTGGGCTTACTGCATGGTCCATAGTTTGTGTTGCATGGCCATCATCGCACCGCTGTGACTCCTGTCTGGAATGTTCAATTTAGGAAGAAGATGTGGACATACGTCTGCTCATGTGCAGATGCAGTTGATGGTCCCACCAGTGTCTTCAAGGAGGAGGAATGCTAAAGCCATGAGGAGATGAGTTGATGTTTGCGTCTTGAATGAGGAGTTGATTCTGGATGACCGCGTTGTTCTACCTCTGTTCGCGCAGCAGCAGCAGCAACGTTCCTCTGGATCTGTGTGGTGACATTCCAGGAGGATGGCGACAACAGCAGCATCGCGATCCCACATGGGATGGCATCGGGATTTGAATTGCCGGAGGTTATGAGGTTCACAGTCGAGGTCTTGGTCGATGATGGGAAGGGTTGTTATTCATGTTCTTCCACATCCATGTGTTCCTCTTCCCGCTGCCTGCCCAGGCTCCCACCTCGACCTTGCGCCTCTCCTCTGCCCCACGCGTTCCCCGCCGTCTCGGTGTAAAAAATACAAACTTATAGGCTTAACAGACTGTTGGGGCAAGTGCTGTGAGTGAGTTCCACCTAAGAAGGCCTGAACGGGACACGCGAGGGAGTGGGTGGCCTGCACCATGCCCTTTTCACACGCACATACCCACACTCACAAGACAAAGCTGACACACACTGCCACGTGTACCCACGCATGTGTACCTCTGATGTGCGTGGGGCTGCTGCTCTCTTCTTTTTCCTTCTGAATTTTCGGCGCCTCTGCCAGAGAGGCTGATGTTGTTTCAACTGGAGAGGGGAGGGAGGGAGGGGTGGAGGGGGAAGGAAGAGGGGGAGGGATGGGGGATAGGGAGCGTGAGGGAGATGTCAGCCACGTCCTGCTCGTCCCACCACACCGCTCGATGACTTCTCAAGAACGTTCATAAGGTGGTCCCTCTCGTGGAACGTGCTGATGAATTACCGAAGGGTTCTGGGGGGCGTTGTAATGCGTACATCACGCGAGGAATGGGGACTGGAGGTCCACCGTGGTGTGTGCTGCTGTGAGCAATGCCATCGGAGGAAAAGGCTGAAAATAGCCGTTTATCCTCATGGCGCTTACAGCCACTGAGGTGGCTCACGGGGGGCGCGGGCACGAAGAGCCGTAATTATTGACCAAAGAACCACGGAAAAAACAAACTGAGCTTGTGCCGGAGACCCCGAGGGAACGTGGGTCGATGACGTCTCTTGGTCAAACCCCAGATTCTGAAGCCAGGAGACAACTCCCCCCCCCCCCCATACCCCCCCCCCTCGCCCCTTGGGGTTTCTCCAGAAACAGCAATAAACCACGGTGGCTGGCCACGTGGAAGAGCCAAACGTTCGCTGGGGAGCAGAGGAGGCTGCCATACGTCTTTCAGAAGCTGGACCAGCACTGCTTGGACCTGAGGAATACGGGAGCTCCGGAGGGCTATTTCTGGCTCCAGTCAGCACGAGTGGACCAGTTCTTAACTTGGGACAGGCAACTGCCAAACATCAAGGATCGTGGCGACGAGGTGAGGGAAGCCGTGAGTCTGAGTCTATTGTAGGCTCACCTCCCCATCAATCAATAGCAGGCAAGGAATGGTGGTGATGATAATGATGGTTGTGGTGATGGCGATGTTGGTGGTGGAGGTGGTGGCCTGCGTCCCTACTGAAGATGAAAATCCGTGGGGGCATGCAGGTAAAGGGCCATGAGTGACACAGACACGAAGAAACACATGTAACCATACACAGACAACTATCACAAAGTGACGCGAACATTTATACACAAAGACCAACACAGACGGCACAGCGAATTGTTCATGAACAACAGCAACCCACTCGCCCACGCGCCTCCCCACGCATGCCATGGGCCATTAGCCTTGGCCTCAGAGCCAGAAAAAACACTCCTCCACAAGGCGTGGGGGGCTTTCGACTTTTGTGGAGGGGGTTGTCTCACATACCCACAAAAGACAAAGATCCCCTGTATAACCTTTACCAGGCTGTTGGGGCTGTTAGTGAGCACCTATGAAGGCCGGCAGAACACATACAAGGAGGGTGTGGCCACCACCACGCCCGGCCTCCAGAGTGCTAATGTTTACACACCCCACCAGGTGCTTATTTAAGGCTAAGTCGACCTAGGGGAGGCCCAGGTCGAATTCGGATATTTGTCACCAATGATGGACGTGGGCGAGGATCAAACTCGGATTGTCGGGTCCGTAGCGCAGTGTGCTCACCATTGCGCCGCGGCCTCGCCAAGCAAATGCACAGACACAGGGTGCGAGGTGAAGACATATTTACACGCGTGTGCATATTTACACGCGTGCATGCGTGCGTGAGTCGTTACATTGGGGAGGAGGTTGCGGACTCACTGACGATCTGCTTGACGAGCGGCGTGCTCTCCCCGTGAGGACCATACGCGGCCACGCTGACCATGTACTCAACGCCGGCCTCCAGTTCGCGCACCACCGCCCCCGTGGCGTCGCGTGCCAGCGTCATCTCCTGTGGGGAGCCCTCGCCTACTCGGCGAGCGGCAGATGCACGCTTTCCGTCAAGATGTATCGAGCACACTGGCACGCACAGTGAACGTGCAATGTTGACCGACATTGAGCCAACTTCTGACCGACATTGGGCCAACGATGCATGTTTACTGCGCACCCATCAGAATGTAGAACACATTGGCACACTCTCACACACAATACAAATTCCCAGACTGGTGACAACCCGAGTCTTCCGTTGCATGGCCAAAACGGGGTGGGGGGGGGGGGGCAACTGTTATGTCTGGGGTTCTAGAACCCTCCTGTGTGTGTGGGGGGGCACTGATTGGCGACACCAGCGATGGATGTGCACTTCGCTAAAATAGCGGCTCTTCTCTTGGCGAGATCCACACCGCTCGCTCGGACCTCAGCATCAGCACCAGCAGCCAGACCAGGCTCTAGGAGGCACTGGCGATCACTCGCGGTCGAAATTAAATCATTAGCGTCGTTCGTGCAGAACGTAAGCGAACATTTTAATCATGGGACACCACGCCTCCTTCACATATCTGGCCCAACACGAAACATTTAAAATTATTTTTCTACATCCCATCAGCCACACGGCCTTCGTTTGGAGAGTGCATCATTTTAACAGCATTGGTTCAAGACATGCAAGTTCGGGACTGGATTCAACATGTCTCATCAGCAGTCAGACTTGCTTGAACCAACGCTGTTCGCAATGATCCAGCTGAGGTTGATCCTGGAAGCGTTGAGACTACAAATGCTGAACGGATTGGGTCAGCACGAGACGCAGAGAACGACACCGACTCCCGTGTCTTGGACATGCGACCAGAAGGGAAGGCATTAGAGTACCACCATCGGTGACCCTGCACTGCCACGTGGCGAGACCGAGATGTAGGGGGCAGCCACGCAAGAGGAGGATTGGAAGCGCGAAGAGGATTGGAAGCGCGAAGAGGATGTCACCATCATTAGCAACAGCAGCAGTGGCCATGGTCATTCCACTGCTGGATTGAGGACTTGGCAGAGAGAAACGTGGGGAGCCATGGGAAGCGAGCGCCGTGACCCAGAGAAGGTTGAGGAGCCGAGGACGCCGCTCTGCCGCCGTGTGGCGAGGGGAAGGAGAGGGGGGGGGGGCTCGCTCCCCCACACCAACTTCAGGCTGCTCAGAGGGACGCCCCGTGAGCGGGCGGCGCACGAGTCGCCCACACCGACCGATGGAGGAGGCGCCGCGAGACACAGCGCTTACAGCGCGGGGTGGGGGGAAATGGGGTGGGGGGAAATGGGGGGGGGGCGGGCGGGGGAGGGGGGCACAGAGCCAGACGCTTCCAGCCGAGCCAGAAACCCACCCCACCCCCCAGGCCCAGAACAAATCCGTGCTGGCGTTCTGTAATGCCGCCCGAGTGTAATTATATTATTTTTTTCAAGTTTATTTTCTCTTTGCTTCCCTGAGCCAAAACCCATGGAGCACGACTTATGCGCTGCTCTATGATTTCCTGCTCAAGTCTCGTGTGTAACAAAGAATTCTCTTCCCTCTGAAGAACTTCCCCCCTCTCTCCGCACTGCACGTGCTCGGGCAGTGAGGGTTCTCTCCACCTCCCCGATGTGAGATCTACTCAGGACAGATCCTAATATCCGCCACATCTACTCCTATTATCCGCACAAGCAATAACATTGAAATATTTTTCTCTCTCATCTGTGCAGTTTTTCTCACTGCGTTGTCCTTAAGAAGAAATTAGCAAATAATCGCGAATCATATAAACGTAAATCATAAATAATCGATTTGGGGGCACGTGATCAGACAAATCTCTAAGCGGAAGAATCAGTTGTAGTCGAGGAGTTGATACAACCCTCCGCATATAGCCCAGTGGTCAGAGAGGCCACGGTCGGTTGAGCTCAGGGGGCAGCGAGAGAGGGGAATGACGAGAAGAGGGGAAGGGAGAAAATGAGAGAGGAAGAGAGAGAGAGATTGGCAGGGTACTGACCCGAGCTGGGCAGCACAATGAGGCGGTACCCCTTGAACCGCCCACGCGCTGGTTTCCACGACACCTTGACGCTGCTCTCGGACAGCACGCTGACTTGCATGTTGGCCGGCGCCGGCACCGCTGTGCGGGGCGACAGCCAGGGGGAGAGAGCCGCAATGTCGGGGGTGAGGAGGTCACGGCGATACAAACGGCGTGCGCCAGCACCCGCGCTGGAATTGCGAGTGATGAGCCAAGAAGTGTGGCGATGCCTCCCCATCGATTTCCCTTCTCAGCGAAGTTGTAAAAACAAATCAAGGTGGACCTTAATTTGCCTGGGATAGCCTCGCTGAGTCTCAAGACTCCTTGTCATGAGGGTGCTGCCACATTGGGATGTTTTTCCAATTCCAGTTTGGCTTTAATGGAAGTAAACTAGAGAACCCGGAGTAAACATACGAGGCCGTTCACACAACTCCCCCTGTGTGTGTACATGGAGAGCGGCAGCACAGTGGGTTACCGCACGGCTGGGGTTCCGAGTTCGATTCCCACTCACCACCAATAACAGTCGTAATATTTGATCCGGTCCTGAATCTCTCCTGCCTCCCCTAGGTCGACTCAGTCTAAAAAAAGCATCTGGTGTGATGTGCCATCATCAGCAATGGGTGACAAAGGCGTGGTGTTGGCCTGTATAGGTGCCCGCTAACAGCACTTACCCCAACAATCTGTTCAAGGCTATACGGGGATCTTTGTCTGTTTTTTTACTGTTCTGCATGAGTTTCCTCCCCATAGCTAAACGTGCACACACAGTGGAACTGGTATTGGCCAAATCATCCCAATGTTGAAAAATCACCCGCTAATCACACACTTGGGATTCCACACGCAGCAGCAACGTCGCTGCTCACCCCCCACCTCCCCTACTGCAATAACTTGGTAGGGCCCTCCTGAAAGACAGTCTTGAGAGTCGGAAAAGCTTTGCTCAGCAAACTCGCGAAATTATTTTTTGGCCAGCCACGTCATCACTCTCGCCCGCTGCCTCGACGTGGCGAGGCGCCTCGCGTCATCGTCGGCTCTGCCCGTCGCGTGGCCGGGAGAGCGCCGCTGCGATTCCGGACGCGTTCCCCTTCACCGCGCACACCGGTGCCACCGCCTGCTAACTGTTGACACCTGCTGACCCAAACAGACTGGGCACGAATCCCTCCCCCTGCTGCCCACGGAGCGTAGCGAGGCTCCGCCAGCTTGGCACAGCGCCCCAGCGAGGAGGCCCTTGCCAGAGGGAGGGGAGGGGTTGGACGCAACTCTAGAAATGGGACGGGGTAAACAAGAACCGGATTGAATGGTGACCCTGCGATACAGTTCATCAAGGGTTAGGGTGGGGGGGCTGTCGGAGAATTATCTCGATCCGTGATCGTGAATCGATTAAAGAATGTATTATTATTTTCTTTACACTGTGGGGAATTGTAGCGGCCTTTAGTGGCTGTTGAAAGGTTTTCACATGGACGCATTACGCCGAAAATATTGAATCATGGATGATTCCCACGCGTGACGGTGGATGGCCGTGTATGGAGATATGTATGTTGCTTCGTTTGATTTTTAGTACTGTATATCTTTGATTTTCATAAATATTCTTCATACATTTATTTTGGAGATACTAAATTAATGGCAACATATATTGCATAACTTCTGCTATGTTGGATTAGTTATACATGTTTGACTTAAAGTAATATATTGAGTGTCTATTAAATATATCTTCAATTATTGGCAAAATTAAGTTACGTATTTAATGTTGTCGATAATTGAGGATATACTAAATAAGCTTATTAAATTATCATTAGACCTCCTTTGCCAGTACAAAAATATAATAATAGAGATTTCCCCTATTTCCCCAGTTTTGTTGCCAGAAAAAAGGGGGGAACCCCTATTATTAAGCTTATTAAATATGTTTGAAAACTAACCATATTTAAATAATCAAACATAGCAACCAGGAGCGACCAGCACGCGTGATGTAGAGCACCACCACCAATATAACACCACCACCATCACCACTATAGCCCCACCACCACAATAGCCGGAACCACCACCACCATAGCCAGCACCGCTGCCACCATGGTCCACACCACCACCACCACCACCCACTGTTGTCTCACCAACTTGAGCAGCAGCAGCAGCTTTGTCACTCCGAGGTGTCCTCCTCTGCGCGAGTCGCCCGACTCGGCGTGGCTCAAGGCATCACTCGGCTCCGCCTCTTCTCTTCCGGCATCGCCTCCCCCTCGTGGCGCTCGGGTCCAGACCATCGTGGATCCATGGATTTATACGCAGCGCGACCCCCGCCCCGTGAAGCGCACGCGACGCCCCCTGCCCCCTCGTGAGCAGCACGCGGCACCAGGCAGCGCCGGGCGGCCGCTGGAGTCGCGGCCACTGCACCCAACGTCCCATCTCCCTGACTCCACGAATGTGGCGCGTGGCTCCGTCTCTCAGTTCGCTCCGGGCAGCCTCCGTTCTCGGCCGTGGGGAATGTCACTTCACCGTGGTTGTGTCCTGCGAGTGTTCCGTCTATTGGCATCTTCGCCTGGCGGCGTCTTGCCGGGCTGAGAGTTCCGCTTGTGGGCACAGCCCATTCTCTCCGGCCGGGCCATAACGCACCCAGCACGAGGTATTGCTACCCACCCAGCACGAGGCCTCTCTGAGTGAAGAATTGAATCAGTTTTACTCGGCTCACAAGGTGTGGCCATTATTGCTATGACTGGGAAATATCGTGTCCATCTTTCCTGTCTGTCCATCCGTCTATCTAATCCTGTCCATCCATTTATCTATCCACCAGTCGTCGATCTGCACCCGTGTGGCCCATCTGCAGTTCGAGCTTGCCAGCTGCCATCTTGGCGACGCCAGTGCGGTTGGTTCGGCTCAGTGGATGCAGCCTCGCGGATTACGCGTGAGTCACGGCAAGCGGAGCCAGACTCGTGGCTGGATCTCCATCAACCAACGATCCCCTGGCAGAGTCGGTGCCTGGCTCGGACTCCGTGCTGTGTGGGTGGTTGTTGTTTTATATTCCACGGCGGGCGATTAAAAACGCATCAATGTTCTGTTAAATATTCAACTCAAAAGCGTAGAAAATAAAAGTTAGAGGGGAATCGTCTTGGGGTGAGGGGAACGCTTTACGCCTTGGTTCTTGTTTGACTGCGGCAGGAAACTAAACGTGACGATGGGAGGCCTGCAAGCGACCGCATCTATTGATTCTAAGTGACTCTGGAATGTCCTCACCGCCGTCTCTCCTTACAAGCTGTGTAAAGCCTTGCTCAATTCAAGAAGTGTGATCACTCTTATTATTCAACTAGTTCATAAAGGCTTTCTTTGCTCGGCAAATGTTTTCAACAAATATAATAATTGACCTGATATGATTTATAAAATTTGTATCTACGATCAGACGTGAACAACTACTTAAAAACATTTCCGCAAAAAAAACGCAAAGATTGTTGACGACTTGATTAAACTTCTTATATTTAAAAAATACCCATCAGAAACTGCTAGATTTAAAGATTCTGTTCTTTTTTATTAGAAATCTAAAAAATGTATGAACTTAATACCCTGAGGGAAAGCTTCTCTACTTTTTACCATTTTCTAATTATTCAGATTTGAATATCATAAAATGCGTTTTTTTTTGTTCAAAACCGCTTGAATCCGAAACATCTCAAACAATAAAAGATAGAACAATGGTTCTCGCTTAAATGTGATTTGATGTTTCATGCTCTCTCAAACAAAAACACTCAATCTTATATTTTGAACGGTGTCCGAATGACACCAGGCACAAACATGCTCATGGGGCACTTAAAATCGATATTTGGGGGCCTTAAAATGAAAAATCTAGGATGTTTAGATTTCTCCTGTTGTTTCTATCCTAAAATCTACCTACGTAACAAATTTCAGCTTTCTACCTTGTCGGGAAATACCCTAGAGGTTTACAGATGAAGGTCTTTATTTATATATATATTTCAACCTCAATGGTGCTATTTGTTGCTTGCCGCGAGGCGTTCTGTGGCCACTGGACCTGTGCTCAGCAACTGCGATTGTGCTCATTTTGCTTTTGTTCCTTGGATTTAAGTCGACTACAATAACGCGTGACACGACCCACGCGAGCTTGTTGGTGCCTCTCATGTGAAGGAAGAGGCTGAGTGACGCGTCTGTCCCAGGAGCCCATGAACCTCATTATCATCTTCTGGAGAAATGTTCTCACGCAGGGCAGTTCACTGCTCGCTGCTGGCAGCTGTAACCTCTCGCCGTCTCGTGGCGTTGAGAGCCCAAGTGGAGTGTAAACTTTTAATAAAGCACAAAGAGCACCACCCTCAACGAAAGCAGTGGGCAGCAGCCGCGTGAACTTCCACCAACCATTGAAACCTCCGGGCGCCACCCACGTGACTGCTGAGGGAGTCGAGTTGCCCCTGGGTGGCCGGGGCCCGACGCCTGCGGCTCATGGCAGCGTGACGGCCAATGGGTAATGAACGCGTGTGTTCATGTGCCCGCGCGCGTGTGTTCGCGTGTTGAAGTGTGTGTGCGTGTTGAAGTGTGTGTGCGCGTGTGTCCATTTGTGAATGTTTGCACGGGTTCGCATGTTGAATCACGTGTTCACGTGTTTGTCCGCGCATGAGTGTGTGCATGTGTTTGTGCATCCATGTGTCCGCGTGTTCGTATGCCAGTGTTGTCCATACACTGTTCACGTACGTGGGCATGTGTGCATGCATTATATGTCAGCGTGTTTGCATGTTACCTTGAGCGGTGGTGGGCGGTGTGAGGTGGAGGGAGAGGAGACAGGCCCAGGCCACGAAACTCGCCACGTGTAGTCTCATGGTCGCTGCTGGGAGGTCCACGCAGGCCGACCTGGCATGGCCAGAGCACAAAGCCAAGTTCAGTGCCGGTGTGGGATCTGCTGCGATGTGTCCCAAGCATTTGAGGGATACATCAACCTGGGCAATTATATCATCCACTGGGATGTGTTTGGGGGTGACTGCAAAATGGCAGTTACACCGAAATTATCCAATTTCGATGTCTGGCTACGGCTGACATCAGTAGTAAGGGTTAGGGTTACATTATATATCTTAATAGGGGTTTTCCCTTTTTTTCTGGCAACAAAACTGAAACCTTTTTACAAGGAATCATGTGTGCATTAACCAATACTTGTGGAGAAAATATATTATCAGAGTGTTTTTTTTTGCAATTTCTCCACAAGCATTGGTTAATGCACACGTGATTCCTTGTAAAAAGGTTTCCATTTTGTTGCCAGAAAAAAGGGGAAAACCCCTATGACGATATCTAATAATATATTGGCATTGTCCTTGAAACTGATTGGTCCACACCAGAGACGGCTTTCTTTTGAGCCTCGTCTCAATTGGTGCTAGACCAGAGCACGCCAAATGGCGTACAGCTCAAAGACAATGCACCATCAGAGTAATGAGGGCTCGGGGTAAGCATCTACATCATTAGACCTCCTTTGCCAGTGCCAAAGTAGAATAATAGGGGGTTTCCCCTTCTTTCTGGCAACAAAACTGAAACCTTTTTACAATAGGGAGTGTGTTTATTGTTTGCATTTTGACCACAAGTATTGTGGTTAATGCACACATGATTCCTTGTAAAAAGGTTTCAGTTTTATTGCCAGAAAAAAGGGGGGAAACTCTATTACTAAACTTTGGTACGGGCAAAGGAGATCTAATTATGAGATATATTGTTTAGGGTTATGTTAAGGGTCTTTGTTAGCTCGAAGGGTTTGGTTAGGATTATTGGTCTTAGGGGTAGGGTTTTGGTGAGAGTTAATGGTCTTGGTTATTGGTTAGGGCTAGGGTTTTAGTTTGGATTATTGGTCTTGGTGATGTTTATGGGTTTGGTGCGCCATCCACAAGACAGGCAACATCCTGAAAGCATGGAAGTCAAAGTCATTGCCATCCTGAAACCCGGAAAGCCACAAGACTCGCCCTCGAGCTCCAGGCCACGATCCTTCGCGTCCTCCACCTCCCCGCGCGTGGAACGTGCCGTGCTCGCCACACCCCCATTATTGACCCTCAACTGCCTCCCGAAAGAGCCGGAGGATTCCAAACCAACCGGAACTTCTGCTGCTAACAGATCATTGCCTCTATCATCCTCACAGAAGCTGGTTTCCAGCGCCAACAGAAAACCGGCACGTCAATGATTGACTTCTCTGCTGCTGCTGCCTATGACTGTTTGGCGTCATGGCCCCATGGCCGTCCTCGTCTATTTCCCTCTCTTCCACGTGGCTCATCGACCGTCCTTGTCTATCTCCCCTCGTGGCTCCCCCACCATTCCCCCACCTCCCCCCTCATGGCTCCTCGGCCGTCCTCATCCCCCTCCAGCCCCCCCCCCCCCTCCGCGTGGCTCCTCGGCAGGCCAAGGTGCGGCCCGAGGACCCGGTCTGGACGTGCCGAAATATGCGCGGCACGGTGTTGATTTGACAAAAGCCGAGGCTCACACGGGGGGTGAGCGGGGATCGGGGCGAGCCCCACCCGCCCTCCCCCACGGCTAAAACGCCAGCGAGTAGTTCTGTTCAAATCGTCTCCATCAACACTGCCCCGCTCGTGCTCCGAATCCATTCGGTGCCAGGGCAGAGCAATGAGACCCACAGAAGCGGATATCACAGGGCTAATGCTTAGATTAATTCGCGTGACCCTCTGGTCCACACACAATCATCATCAGCGTGGTCGTGAAGAATGTTACAAAATAAATATGCGATCAATTCGCCTCCTTCACACATCTTCCTCTCGTTACATGATACAATTAAGAGTTTTCTCACATCCCATCAGCCACACGTCCTTCTTCTTCGCCGAGTATTAAAACCGGTCCAGAGTTAGCTTGTGCTAAACCGATCTTGCTGAGAAGATCGACTCCCCAAAAGGCCGTTTGGCTGATGGGATGGGTAAAATATATACCGCGTGTGTGTACATGGAGAGACAGAAGTTAAGCAGGCGCCCTGCCTGGTCCACACTGATTGGTGAACACGGAGACGCGCAGTGGCTGCCTACAAAGCCCAGAGCCGTGCGGGTTTTTCCACGAATGAATAACAAAAAACCTCCAGAAGCGCTGTGGAAAGTTAAAAAAACGCGAGTTCCGGCTCAAATGAGCATTGAGGCATTGGTACTCATCTCCCGTTCACAACCCTGCAGATCCAATGATGACCATTCCACATTCCTATGTCGGGAGGTGAATCTATCCATTTCGCAACCGCTGTTGGCATCTCAACACAAGCTGGTAGTTATTGTATCGACTCCGGAGGGGAGAGATGGTGGGGCTGAGTCAACCCATGCCATCCAGGATTTGTACTCGCACGCTTCCGATTGCTGCGAGCCGCTGGCGCTACCGCTGCGCCACGTGGCCGGGTTCCCCGCTCGCCCCCAGCGTCGTCGCCCGAGGCCTCCTCCTCCTCCTCGCCTCGCTCGCCCACGCGGAGCGTCGACGCGAGCAGCCAATGGGCGCTCGAGCGCAAGCCGCGCTGACACGGACACCGCGTGGCACGGCAGCTCCTGTCGGACCCTTCATCCTGGTCACCCGATTTGATGTTTAAGGCGCTCGCCGAGGAGATGGAGCAATGAAATCGGGCTCTAGCGCAAATCGATAGATGGATGATTACGTGGCAGGCTTGTGAGAGGCGGCGACGGCTTGGGGAGGTTTTCACCCAGCAGTGGCTTGATCGTGGCTGATGTCGAGCCGGTAATTGCGCTGCAACGGCACTTGCGTTGCGGCACTTCACAGCGCTCATCGCAGCTCGCCTGACTCCCCTCTCACGGCGCGGTGTGCGGGCCCAAGCCAGTAACATAAATTCCCCATTCACATGACGGGACCACGTACAGTATAGCACCTGCCAACGGCTGGGGTTACAATCGTCGGCGATGTGACACGTGAACAAATAATTTCGTTCAAACTGGAGAGACCGAGCGTGGCGTGACCCGGCCACCTTTGCCTCACAAGGCCTCGTGCATTAACGTAGCGATCGGATGATACCACACGTTGACTAATCCCCTCGCTCGCTGCGACAAGCACCCGAATATAACTTGCCATCTCTGTGGGTAAAGTGCTGTTAGAGAGCACCTGGCAATACAGGCACGGCGCACTCACCAATACTCATGCCTGGCTGTCTTTGTTTCGCCAGTGCTATGCGAGTTTAATTTATTTGGCACCGTACGTAGTCAACCGTGCTAATCGGAGCGCCCCACGTATTCACTTTCAGGCTGAGTCGACATAGGGTCCAGGACCGGCTAAAATATCACTCGCCACTGACAGTAGTCGCGGACGCAAATCGGATCCAGGTGGGCCTGGTTCATAGCAGAGTGCGCTAACCAGTGCGCCACCGCTCACCGCACACAGACACGCGACTTTGTTGAGAACCAGGCGAGTAACCATCGACACGAGTCTCATGGGTGAGGAGCACAAGGGGAGCTCGGGTTGGGGATGGCGAACAATATTGGTGGGTGATGGAACACCCTCCAGAGGCATGACCACCGCGGATATGGAGCGACCACGTAAGTTATGAAACGTCGCAAGAAGGGAGATGGATCGTGGCATTCGCTGGACCGTGAGGGATGGCGACGATGTGAAGATAAGCCTTCATCCAGCAGTTTATAGACCACGGCGGATGATGACGAGCGGCGGAGTTATTGTGGAAGGTTTAGTAATTTCAACCGTGCGTGCACGTGCCCACTGCGTGTTCGCTGAGCGTTAGTTGACATCCCGGGACACCCTCGCATCGGGCATATTCCATCTCCAGGGATTATCCAGGTGAAGCGTGGTGATGAATAGAAAGGGAGCTGTGGATGAGAGCTCGGAGCTCAACGGATTCGTTCCCCGAATCGACGGATTGAGTGGGAGCCTCGGACTGTGGCGACGGTGGAAGTTGCGCCCAAGTTGACGCAACGCGTGTGGTCCCCGCATGTTGCTCACCCACTCGCGCACACCGCAGCGTACACCTCGCTAATCTCTCGCTTACAAACTCACCAGTCACCCTTTCACACACACTCACCACAATTCCACACTGCCACAATTGCACACTCACCACAATTGCACACTCACCACAATTGCACACTCACCACAATTGCACACCGTGTCGTAATCCTCACCACTCTCTCGCTCACAAACTCACCACTCACTTAGCCTTGTGATGCAGCCTCACTGCACCAATACCCACGTGCATCCCATGAACAGTCAAGCACGTGCTGTGTTAGCGAGCACCTATAACGCCCGGCACAACGCACAAGTGGACGGCGGTGTTGGGATCCGCCCTCGGTCTTTGTCTCCCCATTGCCGATGTACGCACACACACCTCACCACCAAGTCACTCGTTTAAGGCGGCGTCGACTTAAGATGGTGAGGACCAGTCCAAGTACTGATACCGCTCGCCACTCATGTTAGCCGTGCCTGCAAAACGAAATGGCGTGGCAGGCTGGGTCCGTATCGAAACGCGCAAACCACTGCGCCACCGCTCCCCACACAGAGACAGCCACGGAGAGACAAAGAGAGGCCGCAGAGACACCTGGTCCTGTACCTGCACGGGGTAGACAGACGCGCGGGCGAAGCAGCAGCAGCCTCTGCAGCGTGCGCCTCCAACAGCACGGACTGGGCGGGACACAAAGCAGCAGCCGACTCGCTCAGCCTCCCTCCCACTCACACAACCTCCCACCCACCCAGACAGCCAGCCACGCATCCACCCACCTAGACACACACCCACTCACCCACCCA